GCGGGGAACGTGACGAGGAGAGCCCCGGTCGCATTTCTCCACCGCACGGCAGTGCCGCGCCGAACGAGATGGAGGATTCGGTGCCGACTCCCCCCCCCCCACTGAGGTCGAGACCACCAGCGCCGAGACGGTTGCCCATCGCACGCCTACTCCAGCTGATTCTGGGCCAGCTCTGCGGAAGAGTGACCGAGCCCGCACGCGCCCAAAATACCTGGATAACTATGTCACTACTCTTCCTTCGACCAACTCACAGGGAAGTACTTCAAATTGTGTACAATATCCCTTGGCTGCTAGCGTGAGTTACGAAGGCTTTAACCCTCATTTTCGTGCTTTCCTTGCAGCTATCACTCGCGGTGAAGAACCCCGCTACTTTCATCAGGCTTTCAAGGATCCACGATGGAGGGAAGCAATGCGTCAAGAGATCTTGGCCTTGGAAAAGAATGGGACGTGGAGTTTGGTGGATCTCCCACCCGGCAAGCGTGCCATTGCGGCTAAATGGGTGTACAAAATCAAGTACTTCCCGGACGGCACTATCGAGCGCTACAAAGCTCGCCTTGTGGCCAAGGGCTACACTCAGATCGAAGGGTTAGATTTCCACGACACATTCGCTCCAGTAGCCAAACTTGTGACTGTCAGGTGCCTCATTGCCGTAGCTGTCAGTCGAGGATGGGATTTACACCAGCTAGACGTAAACAACGCGTTCCTCCATGGAGATCTTGATGAGGAGGTTTATATGGAAATTCCCCAAGGTTTCCGTACCCCTGGTGATACGCGCGTTTGCCGACTTCACAAGTCACTTTATGGGTTGCGACAAGCCTCTCGCAACTGGTATCAGAAATTCACGGCAGCTTTGACTGAGTTCGGCTTCCGACCCTCACCTGCCGATGCGTCTCTCTTCATCCACAAGAAAGGGAAGTCCTTTGTCGCTGCCCTTATCTATGTTGATGATGTTGTGCTTACTGGTAATGACTTACCTTTCATGAACAGGCTAAAGACCTTCCTCGATGATCGCTTCAGCATCAAAGATCTCGGGCCCCTTCGTTACTTCCTGGGAATTGAGTTGGCGAGAACTTCCACCGGCGTTGTTCTTAGCCAACGCAAGTACGTCCTTGACATATTGGAGGATGCAGGAGTTCAAGGAGCTCGACCAAGCGCTTTCCCCATTGAGCAGAACCATCACATGACGAGCTCATCGGAGGACCACCTTGCCGATCCCTCTCTGTACCGACGGCTGGTTGGCCGGTTATTGTACCTGACCATCACCCGTCCTGATATCACCTATGCGGTTAACATACTCAGTCAACATGTGCAGGCACCCAGTCAACTGCACTTGGACGGTGCTTTTCGTGTCCTGCGCTACCTCAAGAACTCGCCCGGACAGGGCCTTTTCTTTCCTGCTGACAATTCCCTGCAGCTTAATGCCTACTGCGATGCGGATTGGGGAGGCTGCCAGAGTACCAGGCGATCCACCACAGGCTATTACATCAGTCTGGGTGATGCTCCCATTTCCTGGCGTACCAAGAAGCAACGGGTCGTTGCTCGCTCCTCTGCTGAGGCCGAGTATCGGGCCATGGCGAGTACTGTTAGCGAAATCATTTGGTTGCGCTGGCTTTTACAAGAACTTGATGTGCCGCAGCTTACTCCTACTCCGCTCCACTGCGACAACCAGGCGGCTCTTCACATCGCCAACAATCCGGTTTTCCACGAGAGGACAAAGCATGTGGAAATGGATTGCTACTTCGTTCGTGAACGAGTTCAGTCTGGTCACATTTTACCTGTCAAGGTCCCTACTGATCTTCAGCTGGCCGATCTCTTTACAAAGGGCCTAGGTGCGGTTCGCTTCCATTTTCTTCTCTCCAAGCTACACGTTCGTGACCTCCACGCGCCAGCTTGCGGGGGAGTATTGGGCCGAGACCACCCAGCCCATCGCATGTCCGCTGCATCCGTGGCCTGCCATGCAGCTCACGTAGGGACTGTCTCCCTAGAGGAGTTGGAGACTCACTCCGAACACGAGATTGTAACCCTAGCTGATTGTGGAATAGGGTATAAATTGAAGTGTAATGGCCTTGTGCCGCAACAAGTAATAAGATCATAAGCTTTCTCCGTGGATGTAAGCCTCACACACTGTGAGGAAGAACCACGTTAAACCAAGTGTCATTTAATTTTCGCACTATTTCTCAGCACATGGCGTGGAAAACAGAGTGTTGCACTGCATGCAGAGGTTACCAACTCTGTAGATAGATGACCTGCACTGCGAATCTCTTTCGACTACGTACACGTGACTCAATAAGACTCGCTTTGTGCGATCATCAGCCAGTGGGTTCCGAAGGATCAAACTATCTCTCTGGTTCATTGGCATCATGAATTCAAGTTCAATCATTGACATGCATTTTATAACTTGAATGATTAGAAGTTGTTTTTATAAACGATTTGTGGATGGTGGTAGATGATCCTAATATCACTCTCATCCAATGGAAGTAATAATTTCTTAATATAAAAGTATCAATAATTAGCGATGAGATTGAAGATGACGATGATAGAAGGAGACTGCTGGACTTCTTTGTACATGTTTTGAAGTTGGATGATTCTTTTGTTATTTACGTTTGGCATTGTATAAACTATAAAGTTGTTAATTGCCTTGTCTTTCTCATTTTTATTAGTGTGGTAGTTAGGCCATAAGCATGTTCATATGTACTACTTAAGTGGTTAATGATCTGTGTTTAATGTTTAATCAAGATTAGATGCTCAATTGTGATCCTTTTCTAATATAGACACAACTTAATTTGTTATCAGTCTCTCATGCAACTTGATAGATAGAATTGTACCAATTACTACCAGGGTCAAAGTCTGGATTTCGTCCAGTCTCCAAAGTGAATCTATTTAGAGAAGAAAAAAAATATACATGATGAAATATTTTTTTTGTTAAATTTTATTATGATCCATGATATGATCTTAAATTTGGAAAAACTTGATAAATTAAATTACAGTAGTCAAATTCTCATACCGTCAACCAGAATGATTTTGATACTTGTAAACGGTGTTTAACGTCATGTGGCCCTTTTCCCTCCAGATTTTCACACTAGTATGAACAATTCGGATGAAAAAATTCAGTGATGGGAAAGGAGTCGTATTTTGTCACTTAATTAAATTTCAGGCTTTAGTTGTCAAGAACGAGCAGTACTTTCAATAAATCGAGTTGTTGGAAAAGATTCATTATGGATTTTATACAATTTACTAGCACATATCCTCAAACGAAAGCCAACTGATATGAGTTTAAAATTTGTACAATTCCAAATACCATGTATTTAACATTAGGTCACTGAAATTTGAGCACAAGGCCTATCACACATAAAAACACTAATACCATTTTAAGAACCGTTCAATTCATACAAGACGAGTGATTGTGAATGTTTAATTATGAATCTTGTGCAATTTACTAACATTAGTAACCAAGTTGTTTATGAAGCAAGCGCAGTGTCCATTTATCTAATTAACCCTATAGTATAATAGCCTCATCGAAAGTTCCTCACTTCCTCTTGATATGATTTCATTTACATCCTCACTGTCAAGAGAATATTACAGTGTGAAATAACTAATAAGTTAAACCAAAAAACCCATATTTTCTCCTATAATAAGGTAATTAAAGTTAAACGAAAATGAAAGTTTGTCATAGATAGATTAGGAGGATTAAAATAGAATAAAATCCTGCAAAGATCTGATCTCCACAATCCTGACCTCACATGAAAAGGCCACAATTTTAATTCATTATTTTGCTTTTATATATAAGAAATGAAACAGTGACCAACTCTTTTGTCACCAAATAATTATTAATAATTGTAGGCATAAACAAATCTAACAGGTATAGTAGTAACCAAGTTGGTTTCGCTGTTTCCCCACCTTGAGATGCTAACCCATGTCACATGCCAATTAGTTATTTGTTTAATTCATAGCACTTTACACTCCCAAAGAACAAGGGAAAAAACAATCAAAGACATTATAAAATATTATTATATATGTTCTTGGATCTTGAAAATCTAGCAATGTTAGGTTTGGGAGGAGCAAGATAATAACAAGCCTCTATAGTGGAGTGCTCTGGTCTAGGAATCATGGATTTGGAGGTTACAATCCTATGACACATAGGATAAGGGAATTCATCAAACGGCACTTCGATTTACTTGATTCAACTTCATGATAGATGTCGAGAGCTACCTTTACGAGAATCGTGGTGAATTTTTTATGATCATATGATAGTTCGGTCGTAGCTGTTACAGGAACATACATGTAACCCTTTTCACCAAAATCAGCTTGGGTTTTGACCGCTTTTCTGTTTATTCTTGCATCATCGAGATGTAATGTGCTCGGGGTACCATCACCAATAACATCACGACCTAATGGGGGATGGTTTTGTCCATACCGACAATATTGGATTACCCACCAATATGTTTGACCGAACATGACGATATGTTGTGTGTATGACACATGACATCATCACGCCTATTAAACAGTAAAAGACGACACACAGAACAATCCGACAATGTTTGTATGCACTCATCACGGATGAACCCACTTTTCTAAACCAAGGATTGTAAAGCCATATCAACGGTTGTACAAAAAATGTCAATAATCTAGTATTTTATGTTGAAATCGTGGTTCAACTGTTTCGTATTGCTAAAATCTACCTACCGACTTAAATTCCGATGAGAGTTTTTTTTTCCTGATCGTACCGTTGACTACAACACGATTATTCAAACACTCTCTAAAACAAAGAAAGTATAAAATATTAGTGATGACATGGTTTGAAAAATCAAAGGAACTAAAAGTAGAAACCAAAAGCTAGCTAGCTCTTTTTTTTTCCTTTCTCCCCCATACAATGATGACTTCACAATTTCACATACTACCATTCTTGCCCCATTTACTTCCATAGAATCCCCCCAATATATTTTATATTTCTTTCCCCCCATATTTTAATAATACCCTTGTTTCCTTCATCACATGCTCCTCCTTCTATAAAAAAAACAAACTCCACCTCCATTCTCCCCACCACCGTCTCAACTCTCATCCCTTCCCCACTCCTTCCACCCTTTAGCAACGACTCGTCACCCTCCTCCCGTCACTAAAAACCCCAAAAACAATGAAGGTCACGGTTACGGAAACCACCATCGTCCGCCCTTTCTCCGAGACCCCGAGGGAGAAAATATGGCTCTCCAACATGGACCTCCTCCACGGCCGCATCCACCTCCCGACGATCTACCTCTACAAGCCCGACGGCTCCGCCGGCGACAACTTCTTCGACGGCAAGGCCCTCAAGGAAGGCCTGGCGAAGGTTTTAGTCACGTTCTACCCCGCCGCGGGCAGGCTGGCGAAGGACGACAAGGGACGGATCGAGATCGATTGCAACGGCGCGGGCGTGCTGTTCAGGGAAGCCGTGACGGATCTCGCCATGAGCGATTTGGGCGAGTTCATGCCCGGGACGGATTTGCTTCAGTTTGTCCCTAGAGTTGACTACTCGGCGGACATGTCTTCTTACCCACTTTTTGTGACGCAGGTAAATGGCTCTTGTTTTCTTTCTTTTTCTCGTCCTCTTTTCTCTGTTTTCTGTCGTTTTATGAGTGGTGCGTCGTTTGGTTCAATGGATTCTTAAATTGTGGCCTAGTTTTTAGTGACCATGTGAGTGGAATATGACAAAACAAATGAGTATAAAGGGGTTGGCTAGGGTTTAATAAAATATTTTAGGTTCCATATTTATTAAAAAAATGAGTATATTTATACAAATAAAAAAAAGGGCAATGTCTATTTTTTACCCAAACCTTTTTCAGATTCTTTTATTTTAACCAAACCTATTGAATTCCTAAAAATTATCCAAACGTTAACTCTCCGTCAACTTTTCTGTTAGTAATGCTGACTAAGTATGACCATAATGAGTTGACTTCGTATGTGGCGATCAGAATACCATCATTTACTATTTTTAATAAAAAGATTATAAAAAAAACAAAACAAAATCCCACCTCTCACGTGGACAAAATAAGTAACGGTAACAGAATGAATGCCCAGACTTTGATAAATTATAATACGTTTGGATAATAAATAGAATTTCTATAGGTTTGGTTAAAATAAAAGAATCTGAAAAAGGTTTGGGTAAAAAATAGACATTGCCCTAAAAAAAATAGACTATACATTATCTTTGTGGGTAGGAAACGAACTTTTTTGAAAGTGCGAAATTCACCAGTCTTTGGCTATAAAAGATAACTACTTGCTACATTTAGCGACGAGACGAGAGTGAATAATGACGACCTGACGGGGACATCATAGTATCAAATTCATACTTAGAAACACAACTTGGTTAAGTTAGGGCCAGACAGAAGTACCAATCAAACAGCTCACCAGGTCATTTTTTGTTCTTTTGCCGCCACTTGTTATTCTCCATAGGACCACATTTTGTTCACAATGTGTCTTGTTGCCCAACTTATGTACGTGTCGGTGTCACAATTGATGATATCGGTCTTAATACTTGGTACAACCGTAGCGTATTTATGGTGTATATTAGGCAACAAAGTTTAGGAACAACTAATGAAAGATTAAATGTCTGTTAGGCATCAAGACGTACTTGACCTAAGTCTCGAAACCTTTGAGTTGGGTCCTGGAATTAAGGGTTGAAGATTATTTTTTTCCTATCCTTTCCATTGTTTAGTGAACATTCAAGCTGGTCATAGTGTACTTGTGACAGAAAATGGGTTGCAATAAAAGAGTGGTCCCATTATGGTTGGTGGAACATAGTGTGGAAAGGTCTTGGAAATTTTGTTTTTGCTTGCAACATTTCCTAGAAGGCCACTAAGAGAAAAAGTAAAAAACTACCGGTGAAAAACTATTTACCCCAAGCCAACTTTCAATTCCATGGTCACCAAAAGTTAGGATCAACATTGTCTTGTGGTTAAAACATTGTGGATTTGTTCAAGGGTAGGCTTGGTTTGGCTTAGTTTGATTTTGAAACAAGAGATTGATATCAAATAGTGTAATATTTTTTTTTACAGTAAAATAGTGTAATACATAGTGCGAAATTATAACAAAATCTCTGCGGCATTCATCTCATGAACGATAGTATTATATCGCTTTGATGTCTACTCTTTTTTTAGTATGAATATGTCACATCCAATAAGTGATAATATTATATCACGCTCCAATGTTTTGTCAAACGTATTCCGATTTTGATTCTAATTTATTTATTCCGGCGATTTTTATAGTAAAAAAAAATGTTTTGGTATTGAAATTTGACAACCGAGACATCACCACCTCCGTCACTAAATGTTCTACTGACTGTGACTTATGTAAACATTATTTTTACTGACGGGTAATGTTTTTTTTTTTTTTTTTTTGTGAAAATAGGTGACGAGATTCTCGTGCGGCGGAGTGTGCGTGGGGACAGGCTGGCACCACACGGTGGCCGACGGCGAAGGCGCGTTGAGCTTCATCAACGCGTGGGCCGACTGTGCCCGCGGTCTGCCCGTACCGGTCCAACCGTACCTCGACCGAACCCTCCTCCGGGCCCGGTCCCCGCCCAGCCCCAAATTCCACCACGTCGAGTACGACCCGCCGCCGACCATGGTCTCCCCTCCTCCCCCTTCCGCCGCCGGCAACGACGGCGCCACCTCCATGGCGATCCTCGAAATCACCCCCGAACAGATCAACAGCCTGAGAGACCAGATTACCCGCGACAACGTTACGAAGGCGAAATACAGCACGTACCAGATCCTCACCGCTCACATCTGGCGCGCCGTCACCAGAGCCCGGGATCTCGCCGCCGACCAACCCACCAAGCTCCACATCTCCACCGACGGCAGATCTCGCCTCAACCCGCCGCTACCCGCCGGTTACCTCGGGAACTGCGTCTTCCACGCGACCCCGACGGCGGAGGCAGGGGAATTGGTCTCCGAGCCGCTGATTCGGACCGTGGACCGGATCCACGGCGCGATTAAGCAGATGGACGACGAGTATTTGAGATCTGCAATCGATTACCTCGAGGATCCGAACGATTCTTCGGCGATTATGCAGGTCCCCGGGACCTGCAGGACGCCGAATCTGAAGATCATTAGCTGGATTCGATTGCCGTTCGAGTGCGCCGATTTCGGGTGGGGGAGGCCGATCTTCAATCGGCCGGCGAATCTGTTTGAAGGGAAGGGGAATATCTTGCCCAAGTACAGCGTCGACGGGAATTTGTCGCTGGCGCTATGTTTGGAGAACTATGCCATGGAGAATTTCAGGAAGACGTTCTACGAAGTGGATGGGTGAAGAAGAAGAAGAAGAAGAACAGGGGGGAATTTGATTCTGGGTTTGTGGTTAATTCGCTTGATTGTGTGTGTTTCTAATAATAGCTCCATTGTTCATCTTCATCATCATGTTTCTAATTTTCTTGCTTATGCTTTCTTGTAATGCCTGAAAATGGCGGTTCTTATTCAATGGGAAATTGGGGGTTATTATTGTAAGAGCATGAGTCCGGTAATGAAATCAACAATCTAGACTACACCGTGGACAAAGAGAATACAAGACCACTATGAAATGTTAGGAAAAAGAGTCGTCATGCGGCTCTTTTTAAGCATCGAAAGGCTTGCCTATTGAGTATTTGGGTGTAATTTGGGTGTCTGATTTATATCATTGGCAAAGTTGGCAAAGTTGAGGTGAAAAGATTGATGGTAGTTGCAGTCTAACTATTATAGGATGCAAATATGCTTGTTGGAAGCAAAAGAGAAGGTACTTGCAAATTGAGATTTTTACTCATAAATCCAACTCTAAATGCATTTTACAAACCTTTTCCAGGTTGGTCTTTCTAGCCATCAAATAGACTATCTAGTTGCTATTTATTCTAACCATAAGCTGAAACTCAAACCCTAAATATGTCAAACACAACTAACTAACCACATTCAAAATGACCCCGTCCACCATATACCGATTGTTTGCACTACTTTCTCTTTCCAGACATAACGAATGAATAATCTATACCAATCTAAATACGAAACTTAAATTATAAAATTCAAACCCGAAACTTCCGAAAGACGTTCGAATATCCTATGTTTTTCTTTGCCATTTTTAATGAGATTCGCCCTTGGTGCAATTGAGACTATGAAATGAGCGACCTAGTTCTCCTAGTACAACGACGAGTCATGCCAAGTCAAGCCACCCATCTCTACATGTCCACACAGAAAATTGCAGGACGGAGCCTTCTCTCCAAGTTTAGGACAACCCTTTGTTTGAACATTGGTGTAGGGCAGCCTTGTACTTCAGTCTTCACCCAATCCCTTTCCCTGGATTCATGTGAATCCAACAGTGGTGTAAAATCTGTTTCTCTTTTGATGGGGTTGCTTACTGTTATCCTGTCTGCCATTCACATCCAAGCTTATGAGTAGGTAGAGAGACTAGAGAGCTAACTCGGTTATCATTCAAAACGGTCATTCACACATTTGAGTATCGATGCGGTGTGTCGGTGAGGACTAACGTGTAGATCATAAGTTACTGGGATGGTCAACCTATTGGATATAATATCGAGGTGATTTTGATTCTCGAAGGTCTATGTGGTCGAGTTGTGGCGGCCTAACACCAACATTTTGTATGTCCTAGCAGCAGACCGAGCTAAATTCATATTAGATAAGATTCTTCTTTCTTTGAGTTATACCGATGCACGATTTAATTAATCTAATATTTATGTGATGATGAACTTGTACCGCCTACAAATATATGAAAAAAACGAATTTCGATAATTCTTGACGATAGGAATGATAAATGATTAAACAAATCTACACCAAATTGTTGTCAATTGATTGATTGATATACTAAGAGCAAAGTATTATGGTAATTATTAGTAGACGATCAAGTGGGTTAATGACAGGGATTGAGTTGTTTATTTGCTTAAAGTTAAAACTTTGAACCCAGTCTTATTCAACGATCCCCCACGCCACGTGATTAGGGACAAGTAAACAAGGGCAATTAATAAATTATTAAGTCGTTAAAAAAAGTAAGGAAAAAAAATTCAACACTAGGATGAGTTAAAATAAGGGAGTTGCTAAAGGTCGCCCTTAAAATTGCTAAAGGTCGCCCTAAAAAGAATAAAAGTTACACTTTTAACCCCCATAGCTTCTTTACCTTCCCTTCCTCAAACAAACATCACTTGGACTAAAAAAACACTCTCTAAGGAGAGAAAAATCTCTCATCGTCATTTTGAAGCCGATATCGTCGATAGGACGTCTGAATCATGAGTAGCGACTCCGACGAGGTAAGAACATGAACAAAAAAAAAAAAAAAAAAACAGAAAATGGGAACCGCGGGTGATTTGCGGTCCGACCATGGTCCAACCGCAAGTGACCTGCGGTTGAACCATGGCTGGACCGCAAATCACCTGCGGTTGAGCCATTGGTGGACCGCAATTGACCTGCGGTTGGACCATGGTCGGACCGCAAATCACCTGCGGTTCAGCCATGGTCCAACCGCAGGTCAATTGCGGTCCACCAATGGCTTAACCGCAGGTGATTTGCGGTCCGACCATGGTCAAACCGCAGGTCACTTGCGGTTGGGCATTTTTTGGTTTTTTTTTTTTTTTCGTTGAATAATTTTTTTTTATATGATTTATGATTGTTCCATGAAATAATTTGTTGGGTTTTGATTTATATAATTTATTAGATTTATTTGCATAATTATTTTTGGAATTGAAGGATTTAGCATTAGAAATTAAGATTAGATTTTTGGAATTGAAGGATTTAGCATTAGAAATTAAGATTAGATTTGGCCTTAAATTAAGATTAGATTTAATTTGGTGTTAATCTAGAAAATTAAGATTAGATTTTGCATTACAAATTAAGATTAATATAATTTATTAGATTTATTGGGTTTTGATTAGATTTTTGGAATTGAAGGAATTAGCATTAGAAATTAAGATTAGATTTGGCCTTAAATTAAGATTAGATTTAATTTGGTGTTAATCTAGAAAATTAAGATTAGATTTTGCATTACAAATTAAGATTAAATTTATTGCATAAATAATAGATTCGCATATGAAGTTATGATGATTATTAATTTTAATACTGATAACATTGCAGGATATTGGAAGTTACAATCCGGATGGCCATGATTACACCTCGGATTTCATTGATGGCGTGAAATACACTACGGAGTTGCAAGCATATGAAGCAGCCATTGAGATTGCAAAGGGTTTTGGGTTTTATTTGGTGAGGGCATCGAACAAAAAAAATACGAATGAAGGTACTTGGCGACATTACTTACATTGCACTCATGGTAGGAAGAAGAAGTCGAAGGAACCTGATCCGAGTAAGGAAACGAGGCCTCTTACATCTACTGAAAAGTTGGGGTGCGAGTTTAAGATCAAGCTTGAGCGGTCAGGTGATGGATATTGGTTGATCCTAGGGGTGGCAAATACAAAGAATCCTGGTGCTAATTTGGGTTTCCACAATCATCAGTTGGAGCTATTTCCGGAGGGATCAAAGGGAAGGAATGTTTTGACTACAGAGGACAAGCAATACATCAGAGAGCTGAGATCAGCCGGTGTCCCACCAAGGAATATCCACAAGGCAGTGAATGACAGAAAAGGTGCAAATGGAACACACAACAGAAAGCAGATTTATAACGAGTGTCACAAGATAAGGAAAGAAGAGCTTGGTCAGATGACAGCCTTACAGTATACTTTCCGCATGGCGCAGGAGAAGGGTTACTATGTGCAGTATATGGACGATCGTAACGTGCTTACACACTTGTTCCTAGCCCACCCCGAGTCAATATTGATGTTGCGAGCTTGGCACCATGTGATCGTGATAGATGCAACATACAAGACCAACAAGTATGATATGCCTTGGGTTGAGATTGTCGGCATGACACCAGTGGGATTGAACTTTGTCATTGCATCTGCAATAGTGTACGACGAGACGAAGGAGTCGTACCAGTGGCTTCTGACGCATTTGCAACATCTTCTTGGCCCCATTGTTCCAGATGTGTTTGTCAGTGACAAGGCAGGAGGATTGGTTGAGACCGTGGGGGTAATGTTTCCATCATCGACTCATATTTTATGTCTTTGGCATATGGATAGGAATGTGAGAGCAAAGTGTCTAACGGAGGTGCGAAGGACGACTCATTGTGGTATAGATGCAGCCAAACCGACAGTGGATCAGATCATGGCGTCTTGGCAACGTGCTGTATATGCATTGACAGTGGAAGACATGGATACTGCCTTAGAGAATTTCAGACGTGGTTGGGGAGTACAGTACCGACGTCTTTGGGGGTATATGACAGCTGAGTGGTTACCAGTTAGACACATGTGGGCTAAATGTTATACCAATCAACTGCGGCATTTGGGTAACACAAGCTCTAATAGGGTTGAAGCTGCCCATTCCTCCTTCAAGAAGTGGCTTCAATCATCTACTGGCGCAGTCGACACGGTTAGTAATCTAATAAATCTTTATTGATACACACATAAGTTTTAGTAGTTTCCTAATTGTTCTTCATTGTTTGTAGGTATACAAGAAGAACGATGATTACATTGAGGCTCAACACCTTCAAATCAGGAAGCTGCTGGAGGATTCCCGACAAAAGAAGCTGCTCCGAGCGGATGGAAAACCATTTCGAGAGTTGAATACGAAAGTCACTCTAGAAGCTCTGAGGTTGATGTTGTTCGAGGTAGCAGTGGAAGGGGAACCTTGTACATGTACGTTTCTTCCTACCTATGGTCTCCCATGTAGATGTTCCATTCAGTTAGCACGACGTGAAAATCGGGATTTCGCCTTGTATGATGTGTTGCCATTCTGGACCGTTATCAACTATCGTGAACCTCCTACTCGGCCGGAGTGGGATGACCATAGTGATTACCACCGTGGTGTGTTCCAAGGTCTAGTACAGGAGGTTCTTGATAGAGGCGACGAGACCATTCGAGGTGCAATCGGCCTACTCCGGAGCCATCTTCATCCTGAAAATGATGGCATTGATGAACCGCATGGGGGACAGCCCCGCCCCGGTCGCCCAAGGACGTCCACCACTCGAAACCTGTCTCACTTCGAGCATGTGGAGAGGAGACGAGGGAGGAGAAGTTCAAGACTTCCGACTGCAACTCCGGACAATGATGGAAATACAGGTAGATTAACTTTTTCTTTTAGTTGTGTTCAATTGTCCTCAATATGGTGTACAACTAATCTATTTATTTTAAATGAGATAGGTGGTGCCCCGAATGTGAATGCACAAACCAACTTCGAGGATGAGACGGAGCCGATCCATAATGATACAGGTTAGAAATTATATTCCTAATTTCGGGTAAACATATAGTGTAACTCTTTGTATTAATTTATCGTGTTATGCTCTTTGGCTAGATGGTGCACCGAATGGGAATGCACAAACCAACTTCGAGAATGGGACGGAGCCGGTGATCCATAATGATACAGGTTAGAAATTATATTCCTAATTTCGGGTAAACATATAGTGTAACTCTTTGTATTAATTTATCGTGTTATATTCCCAACCTCAGCATCACCGTCATCATCATCATCCTCGTCAATGGAATCACTCCAATTAGCCTGCCATACCGGTGCGGTATCTGGTGTAGGAGTACTGGTAGTGCCTCGACTAAGAGACAACTGCCCCACAGTAGGGTGGCCGTCAGGACGCACTACATCCGCCTTCTTCTTCCTTCTAACCTTAGGTGGATTTTTTTCTTCATTTTCCTTCCTACCAGTCGCCGTAAGTCTACAAGCACGACCCTCCATTCTCTCCTTATTTCTCGCCTTAATCATATCCGGTTTACCCATTCCATGTCCAGACATCTTCAAAAAAAAGTTTGAATTATTAATAATGGAGTACATAAAGTAATTAATTTAAGATTTTCATAATTAAAATTATAAAACTAATAGTTTTAACATTTATGTTACGTTCTATGTAATAATTATTTACTTTTTAATCAAGGTAAAATTATTAATAATTAAGTAGATAAACGAATTACTTTGAAATTTTGATTATTAAAATGATAAAAACACATTTTTAATTTTTTTATAATGTTCTTTAAATTTGTTATCTTTAAATAACAATTATCGAATACGATTTTAATTTTTTTTTATATAACTAAATTATAACTAAATTAACATTTATCGAATACGTTATTATTAATTATCATTATAACTAAATTAGTATTTATCAATAATATAACTAAATTCTTTTATTATGTATATTTTTTTAATTTTTTTTATTATTATTAACATTAAACACAGAATTTAAAAAACAGAATTTTTAAAAAAAAAAGCCGAACCGCGGTCAACGCGCGGTTTGACCGACGGTCAACCGCGGTCAACGCGCGGTTGGACCTGCGGTCAACCGCGGTCAATGCGCGGTCCGACCAGCGGCTGACCGCGGTCAAAGCGCGGTTTACCCATCGGTCAACCGCCCTTTGACCGCGGTCAGCCGCTGGTCGGACCGCGCGTTGACCGCGGTTGACCGCAGGTCCAACCGCGCGTTGACCGCGGTTGACCGTCGGCTCAACCGCGCGGTGACCGCGGTTCGTGCAATTTTTTTTTTTTTTTCTTACCTTCTTCTCCACGCGGCTGGAGGCGACGGGGCGGCGACGGGAGGCGACGGGGCGGCGACGGGAGGCGACGGGGCAGGCGACGGGAGGCGACGGGGCAGGCGACGGGCGGCGACGGGGGCGGCGGGCTGGCGGCGGGAGGCGACGGGGGCGGCGGCAGGGGGCGGCAGGGGGCGGCGGGCTGGCGTCGCCGGCGGTGGCAGGGGGCGGCGGGCCGGCGGCGGGCTGGCGTCGCCGGCGGTTGAGGGGGAGGGAGTGCAGAGGTGAGGAGTTGGGGGGAGGGGGAGGGAGAATGAATTTTTGAATTTGCCTTAAGGGCTTGTTTGTTTTGAGTTTTTGCTTAAGGGCATGTAGGTAATTTTATATTTTAGTTAGGGCGATGTTTAGCAATTCTTAGGGCGACATTTAGCGATTCAGTAAAATAATGTAGGGTGGGTACAATAATATTATGTTGAGCAAATTATGCATAGTTCATAGTGATTTATATCGTTGGTAATGTTGAGACCAAAGATGCAAACACTTTTCTTTGGAATCAAACAGGTCTTTTTAGTCACCATATAGCTATCCTATTGCTATTTCTACTCATAAACGATAAAACGAATCCCAAGAATTAAGTACGCTGAATGCAGCTGGCGAACCTCCTCCATAATGACCTTCCTAGTCACCACACGAATAACCTAATTCATAATTCTATCTATAACTCGAACCGCAAACTCTAGGTATGCGAAACACAAATAACGAACCTCCTTCACAATAGCCCCATGATACACTAGCTGACTGCACTACCTTCCTTTCCAATATATATTGAATGAATACTCTATATCAATCTACGTACGAACACAAAACTTTAAATTATAAAATCCGAACACAAAACTTCTCGAAGAAAAACGTTTAAATCTCCTTTTTACATTTCAAGCTTTATTAGTATACAACAGAGAGACTAGAGAGCCATTAGGTTAGCATTCATACACTTGAGTATCGATGTGGTGCCCGCGGCGAGTACTAACGTGTAGACCTATCTATCATCGGTTTGATAGAAAGTCGTTATAAACGTTAATTTGGGATCATATGATAATGATATAAGCGTTCAAAAAGCTACTTAAAGACGTTTTCTAGTCCTAGTAAAGTAATGTCCAAATTTATTGGATACTTAAACACAATGACAATGGATATAAATTTATATTATTCGTAAGTTCTTAGTCCTCTCTGGATATCATAAGTAATTGGGATGGAGTGAGTACCTTTTGGACACGGTTCCTAGATGCTTTTGATGATCGAAGGTCATGTATCTAATTGAATCGTGCATGCCAGCCCAATACTGGCAATCGATCTAATTAGTTTCTATTTGAGTGACGATGAACTTATACAAACTTCAAGATCTGTCTACGAAAGAAACTTTGATGATTCTAGTCGACATGAATGATTAATTAAACTAATAGGGAAACAAATCTACACCACGTTGTTGTTAAATCTATGGCTGATGGATTTGATTAATACAATACGAATAAAATATAATGGTGGTTAGTATGCGATCAAGTGGGTTAATGACAGGGATTGGGTTGTTTAATGTTTTCAACCCCAGTCTTATTCAACGATCCCCTTCGTCACGTGATTTATGAACAAGAAAACAAGGGTAATTAATAACAATATAAGTCATTTAAAAAATAACTTAAGAAAATTAGCAGCACGATATGTTAAAATAATGTGGGGTGTGTAAAATAATATTTTTGTTGGGAAATTATGCATAATTCATGGTGACTTCACTAGCTAATTGTTTTAATATAACTTAATCTCAATTAAGAAGTCCATGAAAATTTGAGAGACCGTTGGTTCCATGCCTTAAAAAAAAGTGTAGGAGATATGAAATCATACTTCATACACACACTAATGTTGCATGTGGAGCCCCTAGGAGGGACATTCAAGATAATTTAGTTGTGGTTGACGATTTGAATGCTTCGAGATCGTCTTCAAAGAATGTATGTTCTATATATAAGTTTAGATCAGTTTAGTGTGATATCTACGACTGTCGGTTGACTTCCTTCGATAATGCGTCATAACTCCTTTATTTGTCTTGTATAGAATTGTATTCATTTGATTTTGTCTTTTGGTTGGACGGGGCGATGGTAGAGTAGTATTGTTTTCTATTGACATGCATATTTCAATGTCTTTTTAATATCAGAATGGAGCTTGCTAAATATATTTGCTTTAACCAAATAGTAGTAGTCAGAATTTTCAATTTAAAACGTGAGAGAAAGTCACAAATGTTCTACGACAATATGCATTTTTCACGGCATCTTTCCGTCGTCGTTAGATTCGCTCATCGTTTATCTCCCGCGAAACGAGTAAGCGGTTTTGCGCGGACTCAGTGATCCGCCGTCTCTTGTTGGTGCCGCACTCGGAGAAAGAGGAAAAGGATAAGATGGTCATTTCAATTCCATAAGCGATTTGGGCCTGTTTAATTGGGTTGGGCCCTTCGGGCAATGTGGGCTAAACGTCCAAAACTCCATATTGGTCTGTTGGTTTTGGTCCACGTAAATATAGCTAATTTAATTTTTTTTCCCCATCGCTATTCAGTTTTCCCCTTCTTCTATTTGTCTGCTTCAATTCCTTTATCAAAGAGTTCGCCGACGAAACTTCCTCCGCCACCGCATCGTACACCGGCCAGTGGCCACCCCTCCGTCGCACTCATTCACCGCTGCGCGGTGGCGAGATAAGGTTTTTCAGTGATCGGATACATTGATTCGTAGTTTATTTTCACTGAATCTGCCCAATGATGAGATTGCATGATTGCTCTTGAGCTCCCCTATTCCCTAATCCTCTTCTTCTTCTTCTCTTCAAATGCGCCATGGTTGCCATTGTTATTAGTATTATTATCATTATCATCATCATCATTCATTGACCTCTGATTCCTCTTCTTGTTGTTAACTGCTACTGCTGCTGCTGCCCTTTACCATTGCTGGTAGCTGCAGTGGTTTTCACGCATGGGGGAGTACAAGTGTAAGAGAAAAATGCATTTTCCGTCTGTTGAATTCTCATAGATGGAAGGATCTGAGGGCATGTTTGATTTTGAATTTTTCCCCATTTGGATGATCTTGGCTTCTTGCTTATTGGGTTCAAGTTGAGAGTGTAGAGTATTATTGCCTTGTGCTGCCATGGAACGAATTCATGATTTGTTAACATACAAAAGCCATCATCTTTGAATGTGTGCTGAAATGGGTAATGGAGAACCAGTGAGAACTAGTTTCAAGGTGATAGAGATAAGAGCTTCTGAGCCTTCTGTGTTATGAAATGCCCATTCCCAATTGCAGTGGATTGTGATTTCCCCCGTTTTCCTGCTTTCTTGTTTGAAGGCTGTGGTTTAATGACTTTCTGTTTATCAGAATCATATCTAGTTAGGTCTGCCCGCCCAGTGATGGAAATTGTAACCCACTGATGAGAGTGGTTGCATGGTTCAGTTCATAGCTAGTCTTTTTGCACCACCACAGCTCTCTCTCTCTTTCTCTCTCCATCTCTTTCTCCAGATGAAACAACCATAGCCATGGCTTTTGCCTCTCTAGCTATCTATATATCTATCTATCCATGTCTATATCATCATTGATCTTTTCCCCCAGTAATGTACACTGTCCCAATGTCTTGTGGTGGTTTGAGAGGACTTCTATGAATTGCCATTAGCACAATCCACAATCATGATACTACTGAACAGTACTATGGTATCTGAGGGCCTTGTGGTTCTTTAACAGTTTTTTCATTAAGGATTGTTCTGCTTAGTATTGTGATTTGTGTGTGATGAGATTTATTTCCAGAATAGTGTTGGAGTTTGTTGAATGGAATACTTCGACTCTTTCTAATGCTGTTAATTTGCTAGGATAGTAAACTGTGCATGGACCTTGGATTATAGATCGCTTGTTGTCATCCATGGTTGCTTTGGATTCTATTCTTTTTCGTGTTGTTGCTCTTTCTGCAGCTAATGGAGAAGGTTGAAACTTCCATACCATAGAACAGAGGTTTACTAGTTTGAAATGATGGTACAGAGACAGAATAAGGCAACAATTACAACAATGATCATCAACAACTACCAACATCATGAACCAGCTTCTGAAATGCCACCATAGCATCCTCCTCGAGGCAAATCGCTAGGGAAAGACTCCCATCAGCATTCCTGGGGAGAAGGTTTCCTTTCCCTTCGAACAAATTTGCAGGACGACAATACAACGGCTTCCCCCACCCGAAATCACCATACTCAAAAGGCAGCCGTATCCAACTAATGATCTTCAAATTCGGCGATTGACAAGTCCCCGGAACTTGCATCACGCTAGCTGGGTCATCAGGGTCCTCCAAGTAATCAATAGCCGATCTCAGGTACTCATCGTCCATCCTATTGATCGCCTGCCTGATCCTCTCCAAGGTCCTAACCATTGGCTCCTTAACAAGCTCCCCAACTGTGGCAATTGGAGTGGCATGGAAAATTACATTGCCGAAGTACCCCGAAGGAACCGGCGGGTTCAACCTCGACCTACCATCGACCGACATGTGCAGCCTCGTCGGCTGATCATCAGCAAGGCCGCGTGCCTTGCTCACGCAGCGCCAAATGTGAGCCGTCAGGATCTGGTACGTGCTGTATCTGACCTTTGATTCATTCGTGCCAGGGTTTGCCAGCTCTTTCAGGGCATTGAGCTCTTCTGGTTTGAACCTGAGGATGGCCATGGTAGTGGGTTTTTTCGAAGGGTTTTCCGGTTGGTTCGGGTTGTTGATCAGGGTTGGGGCTGGGTCGTACTCGGAGTGGTGAAATTTCGGGGAAGGTGGGTTCCTCGCTCGAAGAATAGTGCGGTCCAGGAACGGTGAAACGGCTGGGGGAAGACCCCGAGCCATGTTGGACCATGTGTTGATGAAGCTCAGAGCTGATTCCCCGTCGGCCAGGCTGTGATGGATACCGGTTCCAAGGCTCACTCCTCCACACTTGAACCTCGTGACCTTAGAAAACACCAAGACAATTGGAAAAAACGTCAAAAGATGTGGTGGGATATCTTCCAGCTCAACTGAACTTTCAGGTACAGGAAGATTTTTTATCGTGGTATGTTTGTCTTATTCCACACAGGAACATATTAGATCTCGTCAAAGAAAAACAAGTTCTGCTTTGATCTCGTCACTGTCTAGAGCCATATTATTACTCTAAAAGGTGAGTTAATGTGTTTTGTATTCTCTTATAATGCACCTGGTCAGAGCATTGATAATGGTGGTGTGAAGCATGTGGGACATAACCACGATGAAGGAGACAGAAGGATGGTCCCATGGCACCATTTCCGGCCATTGGAATCCTTGAAGGTACATCTACCATGTTCATCTTTTCCTTCTCCTTTTATGAAAGCCATCTTTCCTTCTCCTTTAAGTTACTTATTAAGAGAGTAAAAGTTGGAGCCACTCTGTAAGAAATTCAAGGTTGAGATGCTTACTCACTCTATGAGGTTGAAATATACGTACTAATTTCCATTAATAGATGTAAGTTTGAGACGTTTACTTTAATGAGGGAAGAGGAAATCATAATATCCAATCCATACTATGATTGTTTGTTTGGTGAAGCATAGTTAATGTGACATAACAATCTGATACTTTTCCTAAATGTTGCATCAAAACCGTTTCTAATTTTGGGTTGGTTTCAGTAGGGGAATTACCTGAAGAACCACCAAAGGGTAAGAAGATATCCCTTGTGAGTAATCCACCCTAGGCACCAGCTTGAGAAGCTCGGCTCCAGGCATGAACTCGCCGAGCTCGTCCAACGAGGCATCCGCCTCGGCTTCCCTGAACAGCACGCCTTCCCCATTGCAGTCCACCTCCACTCTGCCCCCTTCCTCGTCTCCCCTCGCCAGCCTCCCCGCCAGGGGGTAGAACGTGACGAGGGTTCGACTCAACGCCTCCTTCAGCAGCTTGGTGTCGAAGTAACCCTTCTGCTTCGACGCCACGCTGCTGCTCACGTCGTCGTCGTGGTCGCCTGCAGGCCTGAAGAGGTAGACCGTGGGCAGGTGGATCCTGCCGTGCAGGAGGTCCAAGTTGGACAGCCACAACCGGCGACGATCATGATGGACAGGCTTAACAATGGTGGTCTCTAGCGTGTGAACCTTCATTTTCTCTGGTGTAAGCTTTGGTGGTGAAGAAGGTTTGTATGGTTGTGTATGGAGGTGGAGGTCCTTATAAATGCAATGTGAGAGAGAGAGAGAGAGAGAGAGAGAGAGAGAGAGAGAGAAAGAAAGGAATTGATGCGATGGAGATAAGGAAGAGTGGGAAGCAGGGGAAGAAGAAGAAGAAGAAGAAGATAGACCTCTTACGTATCCAGTTGGCCATGTATTTATGAGTGTTGTTGATGTATGTATGGCCCTATGCGTGCGTGTTTACTTCTGGTTCACGAGTCAACAGTATTCGAAATGGATCCACCGCTAGTTATTTTTTTTTTCTTTTGGATAACATGACGCAAAAGGATGTCCTCACCTTTACTTATTATGAAGGTTGTCGACTTGTTTTGAACCCTTATACAGTGAGAAAATGGGTCTGGGTCTTACACATTCATTGCGTAGTAAGGTTATTATATAATTTATAAATGTATGAACGATATAATGATTTTTTGTCATATATTCGGTTAAATCGGCTTAAAACTTACTTGACTGGGTCAATAGGTTAAACCGGATTGGCAAACCTTGCTTATTATGAATGGGATTGAGAGATTTGAAGAATTGGTTTTCTTTTTAAAATTAATGTATTATACTATGCATATGTTATATTATATTATACATGAATGAATTGATAAATTTGATGTATTGTATATCATAGTCATTAGAAAAATTTAACGTCAATTTAGGTCACTCGAATTACTGAAACATGTCACATTTAGTCACTCTCACATTGGCCTGCGTGGCTGCGTCCAACTCCGGTCACTTGAATTACTGAAACGTGTTGCATTTAGTCACTCTCCCGTTAGTACTCAACCAAAATCACTTTCCGCACGAAGAATGCGAGAATTGTTTCAGCACTCCTTATCATATTCCATTACAAGGCTAATAACTACACTATTATGCAGAAGAACACAACTTGACGTTATGAAAGATAGCTACACTTTACAAAGACAAAGTCTCCAATAATGGTGTGTGAATTGATCTTGGGAAGATTTTGATATTGATTGCAGGAGTGATATTCAATGATGCTTCTAGAATCTCTCAGCACAAAGGTTACAAATGTCCACTTTGTAAAGAAGATAGTGAAATTTGGGGCATGTGAAAACCGGAGTAATGCCAAAACCAAAAAGACGGGAAGGGTATTTTAATATTCATATATATACACTAAGAGCGGATCAGGTAAGGTAATACTCGTCCTATATCAATAGTAAATTAGGTTGGATAATACTTGTGTGGATAGGAGTCGGGGCAGGTCGACTCATTCTCACTTGTTATTTGAAGGGGGAAAAATGCTAAAAATTAGTTTAGGTAATCCGAGTCCAATTATTTAAAAAGAAAAACACTTCATGAATGGAAAATAATTGTAATGGAATGGGTAGTTGAGTCCAATTAGTTGAAAGATCAAATCCTGCACATATTCAAAGTTTCATTGATCGAAAATATGATTGAGCAATAATAAAAATAGGAGAAATACAAAAAAAAAATTGGATAAATTTAGAGAAGGTGGGTCAATACTGGTGCTCGTCTCACACTACTGCGAACTAAGTATAATAACCACGCTAGTACAAATTAGATCGAATAAAATCCGACGAGACAGGTTCAAATTGAAATCCTACCGCTCTTGAGGCCCTCCGAAAATGAAATCAGCACAGCATGTTCCAACCACCAGTTGGTTGTGAAATTGCTGGGGGCTACTCTTAATTTGGATGCTACTTACAGTGCGACTGTTTTGTTTGGTTATGAAGAATTACTTTCTTTTTGGATGAAATTAAGTTTATGAAGAGTTGCGAATGTGGAGTTTTCCGGTTCACGAGTGGAGAATAAAATGTCGATGAAAAGATGGAATAGGGTGAATTTGCTGTGGAACTTGATGGGTGGATTTGCAGTGGTAGATTGTTGAAAGCGGTGGATTGTGTTCCAGACTAGATAAGTTTTGAAATCAATGTGGTTTGTGTTAGATAAAATCAGATTATTTGCGACGAAAACTTTTAACTTCGTTGCTGAAAGCCTATCTTAGGGACGTAATTTGTGCCGTTGCACAACTCCCGTCGCCTAAACTTTGGGTTCGAGTTGTTGATTAGGGTGTGGGGTTTGGGGATCGCCTTGGTTCGCGTTCGAGTTCGAGTTGTCGATTAGGGTTCGGGGTGGATCATACTCAGCGCGAGGAAACTTCGGAGAGGACAGGCTCTCCTGACTCGAAGAACGGTGTGGTGGAATATTGTGATGACACTATTGTTTCCATGACGTTTTGTTGTTTGAAATTAATTTTCTTCATTCTAGTAAATTATTGTCGTATTTTGCCACTTATCTAACGTGAGTATATGTATGCATTTTAACATGTTGGTTGAAGTTATAAAGAGAAATTATTACTCATGGATAAACCGTGAATACCCAAAATCCGAACGGATATAAGCATGATATTGAGTTTCTACCCGATTCTTTAGGGGATATAGGTACGTGCAAAATCCGAAGTACATTGAAGAAGGTAACGGGTATGCACTATCCGTCCCGACCAGCGGCGGATCTGGGGAGCCGCCCCCAGGCCACGGCCCAACCCTCCCCTGAATCCAGAGCTAATATAGCCCTTGTAAATTTTCGATTTTAGGTATTCGTTTCAGTGCTCGTCGTCGGGTTACGGCCCAATACTCGCCGCCTCTTTTTTCTTGTTGGTAGCTAAGCATTGATGAGGAAGGGCCAGGGCCGGCGGCGAAGCTCAAAGTAAATGCAGGGAGGGACAGAGTGAAAGCGATAGATCGAGAGTGAAAAACGAGAGAGGAATAATTGAGGCTGCTTGTCTTCGTCCAACCAGGTCGTTTGCGAAAGCGATGAGCTTAATTAATTTCTGCGTTTGTTTGTTAGTTTTGAAGACTTGATGAGTACGTGGACTTCTCTTGTTCGTGAATTAATCAATAATTGAGGATCAAAAATGGAGTTTCACTAGCTAACAAATCGATAATCGAGCTAACTTGTGATTGAAGTTTGGAATTAAGTAATGGGCACGGCGGTAAAGATATGATATAATTGAGATAGTATAATCCGAATTATTAGAATTATCAAAGTGGTTCTTAATATGAATATCATAACATTTAATTGAGAGGTCGATCTCCTGTTCGGATCCTCGTTACAAAAAAATGTTGTTGTTCTTCGTCCATCAATTCCTTGAACATTCTCAAACTAGTTCAACTGCATTTTGAGGATGTTCAAGAGACTGTTGGCTGATGGTTCAATCGTGTGATTTAAATGCGCGCGCATCGGGGACAAACCCTAGCCGAAGTTGTGGCTTTTCAAGATCAAACTTTGCAACCCATACCCTAGAATTTATTACACACCTTAACCCACCCTTATCTCCATGTTTTTTTTTTTTTTGCAAATTATACTTATCCCGTTAGTTACTTCGGGCAAGGAAAAAAGGGGGTTTCTTCTGGATAATAGAAATGGTCGAATTCATCACGAGAAGATAACATTCTCACACGATGTATAGGTTTCAACCTTGCGATCAACAATTATCCTGAAAATAATTATCAAGTCAACTCCATACCATGAAAGTGGCGTCCACCTCCTAGTATTGCCAACCCATTGATCCATAAACTGACGAGAAACGAATAGCAGTTTAACGGTAGTTTAGTACTGTGTTGTGTTTGTAGGTCCGATTGGAGTTTAACATGAAGTCTATATGATGTAACTCCAGTCGTCGTTTGACTAGAAATTGTCAGAGCGTGTTTATTTATGTTAATCCTCGTATGTTCTCTCAAACCCTCTGTCGATCTCTTCCCGTGTCTTATTCTGCCTTTCTGTTCTATTTATCACGATGCGTCTCTATTCCATTCTTCTATCTAAATGCCCTAATTCTGTCTTATCCTTTCCTTCTATTAATCTACCTCGATCAAGTGCCAAGATGATGTTACCGACCATGATTTTTTGACCAAATAGAGCCATTTTTTTTGGGGTGAGAAGCAAGGTGCAAAAACAACACTACAATTAGGTGTAAAGTGACAATAGAAAGCAATAGGTGGATGCATTATCCTCGTATTATGCACATAATAATTGCACATAATAATTACACACATAGGAAGATGCTACTGCTGGTCCAAAACTGGAATGGGATCAAGGGTAGATCATATAAGGTAATATAAGGGACCAATGGGGATGGTGAATTGGTGACTAAAGGTAGGTTGCAAACATTAATGAGAGATGTTGTATCTTACCTACATCATCAAAGAAGGACATGCGACATTAAAGAATCACATGGAAAGATTGATAGCGGTCCGAATTCAACCAGATTATGTAAGGTAAAATTTACACCGTTAAATGCATGGTTTTAATTTACCACTCGAATCCCGTGCAAGTATGTGCGTGGAATCATTAGGAGAAGTGTCATTTCACAACTGTTTCCTTACCTCACTTGTCGACTTCACCAAGAGCCAGAAAACAAGTGCATGAATGGCCTGGCCCGGTCACCTTATCACTTCACAACTCCCATCTCAAAAACCAACTCGACTATTGAATGAGAATAGATATACAAAATCACTTGAATGACATTTTTTTTGTAATTGTCTCGGATTCACTCTCAGAGATATTGTGACAAGGGTCTTGATGCAAACACATGATATTCTTTTTTTTGACAATAAGGTTCAACTTTTATTCCATCATCAATACGAAAACAGAGGTTACAGGCTTCAAAGGAAATCAGAAATTAGATCAAGAACACTAATCCAGTTATCTGGGAGAGAAGATCTAGCAAGTGATCGCGCAACCCAATCTGCTCTGACATTAAATTTACGCGCAACCGCCTTGACCTTGATTTGAGGGTTGGCTCTCAGGATTGAAACCATGGTTCCAATCCATGCTGCTCCTCGCCATGGCCAACTTCTAGAATCTTGATTAAGAGCATTGACTAACGTCTGGCAGTCAGACTGGACAACACATTCTGTGCCATATTCTTGAGCTAATTTGAGACCTTCCAAAAGAGCTTTTGTTTCGGCTTCGAACGGGGTGGAACAAAGGAGGGTGTCAGCTCGCCCGTCACACACTTGCCCATGATGGTTAATGACAACAACACCATATGCCGCCGGCTGGGAGTCGTCTAAAAACGACCCATCACAGTGAATCACAAAATTATGATTGCTTGGCGGTGGAGAAGTGAGTGAGAGGGCTCCCCTGAGCTGAGGAGAAGGAGAGCAAAGGAGGGGCATCCTCGGACAGGTCGTCCATTCAGTAAGTTCCTTGTATGTTCTCATAATCACATTCGGATGCCAAGGAATCCGATTCTTGAACACACACTCATTTCTTGCTTTCCAAATATTCCAGCAGAGGAATATAACATGGGACATGGCTCTTGCGTGGATAACATCCTTTAAAAGAGACTCAATGGGGGCATTGGCACACTTGACATGTCGAGTTAGGAGAGCACTTCCTTTGAAAGAGTTTCTCTTCTGTTGCAAGCCGGTTCTTAGCACACCTCCAAACGAAGAACTTAAGCTTTGGAGGGATATCCAGGTTCCACATCGAGTTAGGAGAACACATGATATTCGAGTGTTCCATAACCGAAAATTTCTTGTGTTCTAATTTCAAGAACGTCCAATATCAAGCACATTGTATTCATACAAGTTCTCAAGAAAAAGAACCGAGTAGCGGTATGTTCAATGTTGTCATCAAAATTCATCATAGAAAAGACGGACAGCAGAGCAAATCACAGCCCTTAAGAGGAACGTCAAAACATAAGAATTTGAAGATCTTCCCTGTTGTTCTCGCCATTTTTCCTTCTGTTCTTTTCTATTACAACTGCAGAGTGGTATGCATTACCAATACATTAGATAAACGATCGCAACAATCCTGTCAATCACACAACCTACTGCTGGTAAGCCTCCATTTCAATGGCAAAGACTTTGAATGGGGAAATCCAATACTATCTAAGGAAAGTAGATTCCATTGAAGGGACAAGGCATCTCTGCCAAGAAATGCAGATCGAACTGTGAAGTTGACAACTTGCTTGCAGGCTGAAGCCATGGAGACCTTTCAAGGTGCTGTTCTATGAGACTGACCATTCATGGAGCTCACCTGAAAGTATATCAAGAGACTGATAACAAATAAGAGCTTGCGTGAAGGCACTCTTTAGTTCTTACCATTATGCTTCATCACAGCCTGCAATCACCACAATAGTTGGACCAATTTCAATAAGAATAAACTGTATTCTACGCCCTCAGATTCGCCATCGTATGAGAATTCATAGATGGCACTCATCTTCTATCAAGTCACGGGAAGCAAAAGGGGAAACAACAATGTCCCTACCACTACCAGCAAATAGTAAGAGCAGCAGTAGCAGTAGCCAGAAGTTCCATATAGCATCAATTACCATGGCAACAGCAACAACAACAATGGAGAATAGAGAGAGAGATGAAGAAGATTCTGAGAATGGAAGAGCTCAAATCAACAAGACCTTTCATCATCGGGCAAATCCAATCACAACCCTATAGTCAAAACACCATAAAGACTGAAACTTTCAGCTCACAATCGCCAAAAAATCCAACCAGAAAGTCAAACCAACGAAATCTAATGACGATTACACTCAAAGATGAGCAAAAAAAACCCGCAGAAGAGGGATAAAGTTGTCTTCTTTTCAACAAAAGATGAAATAGCAGATTGAAAAAAGCCCTCAGATCTCATAGCATAGAATCATCCAGCGCCGGCGGCATCCATTAGCCAGCCTTCACGCACCACCACGGCAGTCGCGGAAGATGAGGAGGTGGATGCCGCGGTGGTAGGTGAAGGCTAGCGATGGACAGAAAGAAAGTTCTACCATCGGCAGCCGATCAATGTGTTTGTTTTCCATCATTGGGCAAATAATAATCTATCAAAGTTCGCAAACTGTAAAACAAATTGAAACAAGAAAGCACTGCGATCTAAATTGTGTAAAAGCTTTAGACGCCATCGATTGAAGAACGACGCATATATCAGAGATTTATGAGAGAGGGGTCAGTTTGATTTCAATGGCGGCAGTGTGGGAAGACTCTGTTTTTATATTGGGCCGTTACACTTTCGATCCCTAAAGGAGCGCTAGGGTTTCCCTCTTTCCCCATTCCTCGTCGTGGAGGAGTGGAGGCAAAAAAGAAAGAATATATGGAGACGGTTGGTAGGCTTGCCAAAACGGTTGGATATGGTCGAACCGGTTTCACTCCATGTCCGATCGGATTGGTGAATGAACCAAATCAGAAATTAGAGAAAGGTATACAAGGAATAGAGCATAAATTCAATTACCTTGTTTTTCTATAACGAGATTCAACATCAATTCAAATCGAAACGAATTACATACGAAATGATTGTTGTTGGTGTTACTATTCAAAATAGTTTTCATAACAAAATTTGTTTTCACTTCATGTTGTCTTATACTCGAATACACAATCATAACAAGTCTTAGGTAATTCAAACTCAACTTGAATACTTCTTTCATAGACAAACAAATTCAAGCTACATCATCGACCATCAACAAACAAAATCGTGATAGATCATTAATTTCTAGTAAATCAGAATCCGCTAGAATTCATGTCAAACTCTTTTCCAAACAGAACGAATAGATCGAATCCAAATCTAACCAAATCATATGCCTTTTTTTTAATAACCTTTGCATTCCCTTCCATGTTATTGTCCGATTCAAAACCGAACCGAATCACCCCACCAATCCCCAATAGTCCTTGGAGTTGGTGGTGCTAATTGAAAGATACAGAACCAAAATCCACGGTCACCGTGCAGCCATCACTACTCTATGACAAAGCAATTACAGAACAATCGCTCTAAGCCCATTCCTCCGTAGATTCAACCGACCCAGAACTTAATCGAAGCATTCATCCAGCTCAGTCAGAAACAGAGTACTGCTAAAAACCCAGAATACAAAGAGCGATTCAGTTTACATAAAGTCATAGCTAGTAGTACGAGGCGGAATACAGAGGGCGCCTGGCCTCGTCGAAGAACTCTTCGCGATCCACGAACACGATCGCGTAAAGGGCGTAGATTATCCCCGGGAGGTAACCCAGAATCGTCAGTATCACGCAGATCCCGAACTCCACCTGCAACAAGCAAATTCAGAGTCCGATTGGCAGAGTTCAAGCAAAAAAGAGAGAGACTTTTCTAGATCTGTTTGGCACCCAAGAAACAGGGGATGAAAAAGAAACTGTTTTTAGCTCTAGCTCTCTGTTGAATTCGCATCAAAGAAAGTAGAGGGGAAAAAGAGTCAACGGATTCGATGAATCGAAGGAGTAGGAGGGGGGAACTTACGGTGCAGCAGCCATGCCTGAGGCAAACTCCAAGAGGAGGGAGCAAGATCGCGATCAGGATCTCGCAGAAGATCGCACAGCAGCTCGGCATTTTGTTCTTCCTTCTTCTTCTTCCGGCTCCGATATCCTGGGAAGCAGATAGATAGCTTGCTCTTTTTTCTTTATACCCGATTCTGCTGCTTTCCTATTATATGCCGGGAAGCGAACTGTAGATTCTGCCATTCTGGGGAAGTCCTTTCCTCTCTATCCGGATTAAATGTGTAAGTTGTCACCCAACTGAAAAGGTTGTAACAATTTAGTCACTTAACAATTTTCTCACCACATAAAGGTGCTTCAACATAGTTTAACAGAACTTTAGTTGAACTAATGATGTTGTCACAGAGCACAATCACTTTACTCGTGTACTAATGATATCAATTTTCTCACCACATAAAGGAGGAAATCTCGAAAACCGTAGTTAAAGTGATTGAACTCATAAACAATGGTATGTTCTCACTAATATTTTCTTCATTCCGTTCTCATCCAGTAAGTTTGTGTTGTGGGCATATTGATCTCGTCGAGCAAAAAAAATTTGATAAAGTCTAGTGATGTAGTGCTAGCTCTTATGCGAATCGTTCGTCGTCTGGTTTCAAGAGGAGGCTAGACTTTGTAGTTCAATGGTGCACTCAAAACACATGTGCTTCGAGTTCCGCTATTCGTCGTAACAATGAGGGTTCACTTATTTCGGATCCAAAGGTGGTATGACAAAATCCTCTAAAGTCCTCCTTGTCATTGCCAAAGTCTACCTTGGCTACGGATACCCTTTGGGGTAAGGGGTATCCTCCAATGCCTCTTTCCTTTAGCTTAGGAGAATGGAGGAAAGAAGACGAGCTCAACATAAACCACAAGGGAAGTAGTAAAACCAAGTGCTGAAGAAATGAGATTGCAAATGCAGGAACAAATAGAGATGTGTAGTAGGATCCAGCAAGTTGAACCGTGCGAGGATGAGGCCCTCGTTGTTCGATCGAATTAAAACGAACAAACAAAATCAGGATACGAAAATAACGCGAACTGAGAATGCAGATTTACAGTTTGAGTTGCCAAGTGAAGGGCAGACAAACAAGCAAGCATGGAAAAGGAACACAAACACTCTCAGCATACCAGTAGTCTTCCTGTTACTCCATTGAAACAGTACATCTTACCTAAAACTCCATACTTGACCTAAGCATCATCGTCCCCCCCGCAACCAACCTGCGCTTCTCCTCTACAAGAACTTGGCACACAATGCCTCATCAAAGCATCTCATCAATAGAAGAAACGCATAGCTTGAAAAGGGTCAAAATCCGGCTACTTCAAGTGGATATAATCACCTAAAACAAGTAACAATCGCACTTCTGCAAACTCAAGTAAGCATAGATGCATCTTTCAAACACCCCCCGAAATCGGAATCAGAATCACAAGTTCTAAGCATCAGTCTGAAACTACTCTGCACCATCCATGAAAGTAGTATGAAAAGGCAGAACAAACCAATTCAAGAACACAGCCAGGCCAATTCTTCTTCCCAAGCACAGATTCAAGCAGATTAAACTAACTGAGCTTCATTAACAGCAATTCCTCATAAGGAGTCTACAACAGGAAATCGAAATACAAACATCGAAACAGCAACGATTCAGCTCAGTTCAATCACTGTTTAAACAAAGAAGTCAGCTACCATCACTTCAATCAGTAGTAAGAGGAGTAGAGAGGGCGCCTGGCCTCGTCAAAGAACTCCTCCCGATCGATGAACACAATCGCGTACAGCGCGTAGATGATCCCCGGCAGGTAGCCGAGAATCGTCAGCAGCACGCAGATGCAGAACTCCACCTGCAAATTGACACCACCAAACGCGAGAACACCATCTCAATTACAAACCGACTCTCCTAGATCTGTTTGGCGAGGAGGAAAAGGAAAGGAAAATAATCTCTGTTTGGCTCCTGAGAGTATTCGACAAAAACGAAGAATCGGAGAAAGAAAGAAAAACTTACGGTGCAGCAGCCATGCCTGAGGCAGACTCCCAACGGAGGCAGCAGGATCGCGATCAGGATCTCGCAGAACATCGCGCAGCTGCTCGGCATTTTCCTTTTCCTTCCTTTCCGCTGATTCAACTTCCGGCGGGACTTCCGATTTCCGTTCGCGAGAAGAAGAGCTCGGTTTCCTTTTCCCTTCAATTGGCTTCTCTGCTTACTCTTTGAGCGAAACGAGTAAGGTAAACGGTAGCTTTCAGGCGAAGATTTTAGCTTAAGACGAGTCGCGAGCGAGATATTTTATTCAGGAGGGGAAAGAAAACTGAAAGGGATCACGTGAATTGTCGACGAAAAGTCGAAAACAGAAGGGAACACGTGTATGTCTCTGGGAAGCCTGTTGATATGTTCACATCAAGCCCGCCCAGTTTTCGGCCCATCAATGATATGGATCAGGCCCAACTTTCGAAACAAAGCCCAAACGTTCTATAGGCCGCCAGCCTTCCCGCGCATATAGCAGTTACTATGTTGACAGTACAGTAACGGTTTCCGTTCCGTCGGACGTCTGTCGGTTCATCTTGTTCGGCAAGCCACTTTTTTTTTCGAATTAATTTTATTTTTTGAATTCGGCAATTCCCCTCTCAATTATTCGTCACTCTGTTCGCGAGTCGGTTAATTTCCCATGGAGTTCAGGTACAGAGCCGGCGACCTGCCGGGGGGATCCTCCCGCCACGAGCCTTCACCCTTCGCCGCCGCCATGCCTCATTCGGCAATTCGAGGTTTGGGTATTTCCCGGCTAGATCTCTTCTTTCGCCTGCACGCTTCAATTTTTACGAGCAGCTCTGTTTCTCAATTTTGGGGCCGTGAATGATCAGGTGTTCCGCCGAGCGTCCAACTGATGACGGACGAGATACTCCATCAGGAACTGGAGAAGGCGCGGGTGTGGCAGGAGATACTCGCGGAGGAGATCGAGCGGCGTAAGGAGGTTATGAGGGCGGAGTTGCGTCGGCAGATGATCGGGGAGAGAGATCCGGAGCCCGCGATTTCGCACGTGGCAGTCGACGGCGGAGTCGGGCGCCCGACGTATCCGGTACGGCCGCCGGAGCGCCGTTTCATTATTCCTTCTCCGAAACCGACGACGCCTGAGGTCAGGCCTCCTTCTGCCTCGGTCGCGGAACCTAACAAAGCGGGGAAGCTGCCGGACTGGATTCGGGACCTCGGACAAGAAAACGAGAATTCCGATCTCGGAGGCGGGAAGCATGAGGAATCTGAAGCGGGGGAGAAACCCAAGGAAGATTTAAGGTGCGTGGTGTGCCAGGTGAGTGCTACTTCTCATAAGCAAATGATCGAACACCTTGCGGGCAAGCAGCACGAGGCCAAATCTCGCTCTTTGGCAGGGAGGATAAGGAAAAGAGTTGGTTCCCAGATGCAGAAGAATCATGGGAAGCGTGAGAAGTTCAGTAGGAAGTGAAGCCATTGGGAGATTAGAATGTAGAACGTGACCGTCATTATGGTGTTTGTTTATAGTCCTTTCTTTCCCTTAACTGTAATCTTTTGGTATTAGTAATGGGCAGGCAGACTCCGCCGTTTCCTTCCTCCTGTCTTCTTTCTTTTTCATCACAAGAAGCGAACAGCAGTATCCACCAAAAGAAGGAAACTTTACATTGCCACAGCCAATCAGACCACCTTTGACCTTTCCCTTCTTCCCCAGCTCCATGTTTTGTTCGCTTGTGCTCTTAAGGAAAGGGTAGTTACTTTGTTTCAAGTGCAAGCAACCCAGAGACAGTTTGCTTGGGTGGCAACCAGACAGAAAGCAACATCACAACTTCCCCTACCACAAAAACAATAAGTCTCTGCAGAAATGGAGGAGGAAGAATAAAGGAAGCAGCTTTGCTGGACTGATTGTTGACGCATTCAGAACCCATGATGAACAGATGAAGCCAACCAAAGCATAGCATTGTTATGGCATCTGGTTGATGGCTGTCGTTCGAGGAAGGCATGGACGAGTGTGATCGCAAGATCAAACCAATGCAGTTGATTCCTTCAGCTATAAGGAGTTGCAGAACAGATGTACCGAATGTGTGTTAACAGTTCGGAGAATCGGATCCTTTATGTGTTCAACGAGCTGTCAAGTGATATGGTGATATATACGCTATATCGTGGAATTGTTTTCTGCTTTACAACGAAGTGGGTTATCTCTCATCTAGAGGTTTTGTTCTGGCTATTACAAGGCGAAAAAACCAGCTTTGAAGGAGGGTAAAGAATGATGTAATCTTTTCTTGAGGCAAGAAAAGAAACAAACCCTCACACTCTTAAAGCTACTGGATCCTGCCACGATATCTTCCTCTTCCCAACCCGGCTGGGCATGTTCCCTAAGTTCCTACAGGCCGATAACTTCAAGTCGTTGTTGAGTTGTTCATCGATGATTCCACCATGCAATGTACTTAATATCCTAGGCTCCTCTATTCTCGTCATCGTCATTGTTGCTCCATTTGTCTGTAATTCTTCCTCTTCAGTCTGCAAAGGAATTCAACAACATATAAGCAGCTAATAATCTTGTTTAATTGGATTGAAGTAATGATTATTACGGAGTGTGACAAATTGATTACCGAGATTTGGTTCAAGTCGAAGAATGGAGCATTGTTTCTAGCAGCAGCATCCTTCCCACCGAGCATCCTTTCCTTCTCATTAAGGTCAGGAATCACCCCGGAATTCCTCATTGCAGCTTCTCTTCCCACATAATAGGACTTCTGCTGCTTCTGGTTCAAGTCAATACTTGGTGCTGCTGAACTTCTTGCTGCAACTGAGTCCTTCACAGTATAAACCCTGCCCTTCCGGTTCAAATCGAACTTTGGAGCAGGCTGCCTCGAAGCAGAAGCAGGAGGTTTGTGGTTACTGGAGATCGTTTTCTTGTTCCTCGCTTTCTTGCTCTTGTTAATCACTGTGGTTTGTGATGGCAAGAGCTTTTGTTCCGGCTTAGGGTTCTGAGTCTGGGTTTCTGTCAAGTACTCGAACCGACGCCTCAAGAAACTGCAGAAATGGCTAAACTGTTAGAACCATACACCATACTACAAACAACACCAATTCATCACAGAAGAATAAATGTGTTGATTGCACACCTCACTTCAGCCATTAGTGTCATTTTCCTCTGCTTCATCATCTCCAACCTCTTCCTCTTCGCTTCTGTTTCCTAATAACATGAAATGATTAGGGAATTAGCTCAAATTCAACAAAAAGGTGGCACCTTTTACTGAGTTGCTTTGTAGTAAATAACTGAGAACATAGAAATATGCTAATACATACTTCAATTTCATCTTAAGCTAACTTGTTCACAGTAACATGAACATCACAGAGAAATCACAGACTCCAAAACAGAATTCCCAATTCCCCTCATTCCCCACAATCAATATCACTTCTTCTCCCAAAGACACAAACTTTTTAGCTTTTAAGCCAAGAAACCCCCCAAAATCCGATCACCCTGCAGGAACCCAGATCCAGGAAACAGAAGATTTCACAAACCCACCAAATACGGATCTAATAATCAGAAATGAGAAAGAAACCCTAGAAGAAAAGCGAATTACCTTGAGCAATTCCTCATAGTCCTGCATCAGGCTCTCATGCTTGAACCTAATCCTTGGATCATCATACCCAGCTCCAGCAGCTGCATAAGGAGAAGAAGATCCCACAGTCACAGCAGCAGCAGCAACACCTTTCATCTTCATCATCATGGAGGTCCTCAGATCACACCAATACAAGATCTAAAGGCTAAGGAGGAAGAAAGGAGAAGAAATGAAGGTAGGAGAGGCAGAGAGAATGGGAAATGGAGGTGAGAATGAGAGAGAGACAAGCAAGAAAAAGAGGGGAGGAAGAGAGTGAAAGAGAGAGGGGAGAGAGATAAGGGGAAATGGGGAAGGTGGGAAGGTTCTCCGCTTTCCTTTTCCCTGTTTTCTCTGGTGAAAAACTCTGACCAGGACAAAGAAGAAAACCCAAAGAAGCCCACATAACTCGGCTTGTGTGGGGAAGAAAGAAAGAAAGAAGGAAAATGGAAATAAGAGAGGTGGTGGTGGGAGGAAGTGTTTAAAGTTTCTTTCTTTAATTTTTGCTTGTGACAGACAGCAGTAGGAGGAAGTAGAGGTGGTGTGATTGTATGAGAGGAGGGAGAAGCAAAGCAATAGTAGCCGTGATGAAGATGGGGATTCTTTTGGGAGGTTGCAGAAGGGCATTTCTGGGATATTCCTTCCTTTCCCAATCCAATCTTTTCTTCCCTCATATTTACTTTGAGGTTTTTGTCTGTTGGGAGATGGGAATGGACAGAAGAGAGTTGAATTGAGTGCTTGGCTTCTGTTTTGTTGTTGGAGATGATGGTGGGTTTGGTTGGATGGAGGACACGCAGTTGAAATACCATCCTACAGCCTCTCTCTCTCTATCTCTAACACCTTTCTCCATCCCCTTGGATAGAGAGAAGAAGGGCAAATTTGTTTTCAATTTCCATTTGGTGGGTTCTCTTCTTTTTCTCTCAAAGCTGAAGTCTTGGTGCATCTGGGCCATTGAAGCTAGAGAGAGAGAGAGAGAGAGTGGCTGGGATGATAAAAGCAAAGCAGGAGGGTGAGACTTGAGAGGCTGCATAGGTAAAAAAAGATTAGAACAATATATGATGATGATGGATGGATATGGAAGAGGGGGTGGTAATGGTGGAGAAGCTTTTCTTTTCTCTGCTCTTTCTCTGATGTTTGCTGTTCTGTTGTTCTTCTTGGTGGCCAGATCTCTCTCTTATCTCTTTTTGGTTTTTGCTTTTTGGACTGTTCCTCAGAATTTTCACCATTTTCTCTCTCTTTTCCTTTGCAACATTCCATATTGGGGGAGGAAGAAGATGCTATTATGGAATTGTTATTATCACTAAACAACAATGGTTGGTTGTTTAAGGTCCATTTCCATGTGCATTTACTCCTCTAACCTTCCCTCTTATATGTCCTCATCTTTCTATCCCATCTTTCCTTTCTTGTACCTACTCCATTTTTGCTCTTTCCATTTCTTTGTTTGGCCTTTTCAACTAGAAATCAATTTTCTGTTAGAAAAAGTCCGATTCTTTCCTTCTTTTGGGGAATAACTAATTAGACCAAACCATGGTTGTCACGCCGGTCGGCGTGCCACAGGTTGTACCGGGTTCAATCAGTACCGGTCATAAAATCGACGTGATACCACCGGTATGGCCAGCATGATCGATATACGAATCTCTAAGTAAAATGACCTTATTTTAGAGAATTTAATTGATAAAAATTATTTTATTATTTATTTTATGAGTATAAAAGTTAAATATTGATGTTATTTGTTGGATTCAAGTATAAATGTTTAGGTATTGACATTAAATGTCATGTTTAAATATGAGTATTTATAATTTTATTTGTAATATTGACCGGCATGAACCGGCACAAACCGGTATGTGCCACCGGTTGAACCATTCCACTTGCTAAACCAGCACACTGGCATAAACCGGTTTGACAACCTTGGACCAAACTATGTATTTGTCATCAAATTTTGTTTCTTTAAATATTTTAGTTATTTCGACACGCTAAGAAGGCGTAGAGATCTATAGTGTGACATTCGACTTCAAATATTTTCATATCACAAGTTCAAATATCAAATCCCGCAGATATGGTATTAGTGGCGGTGATAGTGGCGATACTTGAGGTGAATTCTTATAAAAACTTTTGGCAAAATACACGTGTATAGCCAAAACTTTCACGTTTGTGACACTTATAGCCACTTTTGGCGAAATACCACTTATAGCCACTTCCGTCTAATTCTTTAACGGTGTCAACTAACATGCTGATTGGACTAACAGAAAGGCTGATGTGGCGACACAGGTGGAATTAAACAAAAAATAAAATAAAATAAAATTTTAATTTCTTTAAATAAAATAGCCAAAACAAATTCTCTCCTTCCAATGTGCCTCTGCAAGAACTCGAGCAGACCCACCATTAATGGCGGACCAAAAATCTCTCTCCCTCTCATCTACTTCGTCTTCCCCATCTGTCCACCATCTCCATTATCGCCGTCAGAATCACTTCGACAACGGCGACAACGGCGGGACGCTGAATATCCCTTTGACTTCCCCGTCCCAGATCTCCTTCCAGCTCGACGGTGTCAACGGCAGCGGTTCCCCCAAACCCTGCGCAACCGCCGGCGACGACTGGTTCTCCGCCTTCACCGCCTTCAAACTCCCCTCACCACCGCCCTCGATTTCCCCAATCTTCCTCTTCCTAATCCCGCCGGAACAGCCGAATCGGGGGGAATTGAAACTGCCGGAGAGTCCGAATTCCGGGCGGCGTCGAGCGGGAAATTGAGGATCGCCCTGCTGCCGCAGAGGCGGAAGGCGGCGCTGTCGTACGCCTTGGCGGCCTCGACGGCGGAATCGAACGATCCCAGCCAGACCCTGACCCCCTTTTTGGTGGGATCTCGAATCTCCGCCGCGTATTTCCCCCATGGCCTCCGGCAAACCCCTCGATAGTGCTTCTCGTCGTCGTCCACAGAGGAAGGAGAATTGGCGACACCCAATTCAAGCTGAGATGGTGGTTTGGAGATGGTGGTGGTTGGCATGGTGATTTTGGACATGGGTGGCTTCCTTTTGCTCAAAGTACTGCCGCTGCCGCCGCTGGAAGACAGAGAATGAGAAAGTGTCTCTGTTTTGACAGTGGAATTGAGGGGGGTTTGTTGGAGGTGGGAGATGAAGAAAGTGTCTCGATTTGCAGAGATCGCCCCAAATCTTCGTCGGAAGATGGATTTGGGTTTGGAAAAGAAGAAGCCGATGACGGGAAGTGGCAATCGCAGATGGAGCAGCTGCAGACGATTTTTTTTTAAATTTAATATATGAATTTTTTCATTTGTTTTTATATTAAAAATATGACGTGTCACCTACGTGGCGAATGTGGCTGATTTGTCGCTGACGTGTGCGATGATTTGGCGTCCTAGTCAGCCTAACGTTAAACTAACTGACGGAGTCTCTAACACCGTTAAAGTTTGTAACGGAAATGGCTATATTTGGCACAAAAGTTTAAAAATTCTGGCTATAAGTGGTATTTCTCCAAATTTGGCTATTATTGTCACAAGTGCGAAAGTTTTGGCTATACAAGTGTATTTTGCCAAAACTTTTTTCCAAACATCAATTGCGGTTCGGAGAGTCTTAAATTAGTATAAAATAATACGCGTACTAATGGGTGTTTTTCTCTTTAGTCATGTGCACTTCTCGAATGGATGACATGGTATCTCGCACTAGTTTTTGAAATCAAGCAATCAGATCGACTCGAATGTCACAAGGGGAACGACAATGAGCAGGTGTTGAGGGCAACACGAGATGGCTCAAGTCCCGCGCCTAAGAGGTTCTGCAAACTTAGGTGAGCCAACTAGCATTAATAAGATATGATAGAAGATGACCAGACTCAGAGGATAACACAAGCAAATAAGATACTGAATTCATCAATTTCCACAATCTCCAACTCTCTTATTTACAAGTTCCAGAGTCCAGACTCGATATCTATGCATTCATGGGCATCTTTACTTAATGGGTTGATCATGCGTGATATGGCGAATAACAACATAGTGAAGACATATCATATACTTAAAAGTCGGAATGTCATTCAATTTTTGAGGATCAGAATATTTGCCGAACCATTTAGATTAGGTTGAGTAAGTATTGTAGTAGACTTTCATATTCAGTGACGATATATAGCTTTAACTTGAATTTTACGAGTTGTATCTGTATCTTATAACTTTACCTTGTCATCTAGAAAATTGGTAACGGCTCATTAGACTTTTCAAATCTAAATGTCTGAGTTTTCTTTTCTTACATAAATTTTTTGATCCAACTTTACATCCCTCTCTCATCTGACCTTTTATCAAACAAAAAAGTTAGTTTGCTAATATGTAATCTCACTAATGTGAACTAAACCATTCTCTCCACAGCTTGATATCTTTTTATCAAAGTTGTGAGTTGTGACAAACTCTAATTATCATAATCGTCAACTCAATCATAGTAACATATGGATATGGTTTAACACAATAGCCTTTGGATCGAGCAGCTCGATCTCGTCTTTCAATTGGGCTTGCGTAAAGGCCCAGACTTTCGAGCCCATGTTGGAAAAGAAAAGAAAGAACCAAACTGGCAAAACGATGAGAACTCACACTCTATCCTCGGAGAAAATATCCCCCTCTCCCCACTCTCTCTCTCTCTATCTCTGCCGGGAAAATCAGAAATGGCGTCAACGAGCGCGGTGGCAGCTCAGCTGTCAAACGTTAACGGACTCTGCGATTGGAGAAGGCCGACCGCTTCCTCCATGGCCTCAGGTTGGCAACGTAATCTCTCTCTCTCTCTCCTCTTCTCCCAGTCAGTTTTACTGTTTCGGTTGTCGGAGCTCGGTTCGTTGGGAAAAATGGCGGTTGCCCAGATAAGAAAGGATGGATCTTTGTTGGAATTACGGAGTTCAATTGAGATGGTTCTCATAAAGAAGTGTTGGGTATTGAGCTTGCGCCAGATTTTGTGAGGGATGGCACACCTCGGTTAGAGATGCGTTTTCGGCAGCTTTTCTTTAGTTGGTAGTTATGTTTGTTCGTCGATATTGGTTTGCTGTTTACTCAAATTGACTGTGGCTTTTGTCGTGTTCGCCTTCACTTGGCAAAGTTTGAGTTGTGATGGAATTTGAATATGGATGGTGGAGATGGTTGTTCCTGTTTTTATGCTCTTGCAAGCTTGTTTGTGGAATCGAAGTGCATTCTTGTGTTCAATTTTGACTACTTAGGTGGTAAATTTGTTCCGTGTAATGCCTGATTACAGGTAACTTCAATGCAAATTCAGTTGGTAAGCTGGCAATATCGTGGCCAAGCAAACAAAGATCTCGGATTGGTCACCGATCTCTCCGAGTACAAGGTCTATTTGGAGGGAAGAAGGATGGTGACAAGGGCGAAGATGGAGCTTCAAAGGTCGGACATTTCACACTTTCTCTCTTGCTGAACAGTCTATGATGCTTATAAGTTTTCCCCGAACCTCTTTAATCAGATCATAGTGCTAGGACATCCATGTCGTTCTCTAGTTATCTGTGTACTATGAGCTACGTTTGTTGATACGATCGTTGTGGGACTAACATATGTTCGATTCATGCTGCTTTAGGCAGGCATCCTGGGAAACATGGCGAACTTGTACGAGACAGTGAAGAAGGCTCAGATGGTTGTCCAAGTTGAGGCTGTCCGTGTGCAAAAGGAACTTGCTGCGTAAGTGTGGCAACACGAACAAAGCTTTCAGATTTGTTGACTTGCATACGTATTACTCAGTTCAAATGTGACTTTTGGCCTGTTTCTTCTGTCTTTGCAGTGCAGAATTTGATGGTTACTGTGAAGGCGAGCTAATCAAGGTATGCTATATGTGGCATTTTGACAATCAAGCTGATATTTTGGTTACACCGGTTTGCCAATGATAGTAATTTTCACTCCAATGTTTTTACTAGGTAACATTATCAGGTAACCAACAACCAGTACGCACAGAGATTACGGAAGCCGCCATGGAATTAGGTGCAGAGGTGAGTACTCCAAGTTCTTGTTTAAAGAATCCATTTTGGCCTTTATGGATGTATACTAGTTGATCTAGCAAAGCTGCAACTACGCTTTTGATGTGCTGAAGTGTGTCGAGATTATTTTTACACCTACGCCTCCAACTGATTGTATTGAACGAAGGAAAGCTTGTTCTCTACTGCAGAAACTCTCACTTTTAGTCACAGAGGCATACAAGGATGCACACCAGAAAAGCGTCTTGGTAGACTTCCCTTCATCATTTGCTAAGCAGATTTTGTTCCTCTTATTATAACAGAAAATGAAAACTATGCTTTTTTTGCTTTCTCAGGCCATGAAAGGCCGAATGAGCGACCTCGCCCAAAGCTTAGGGATGCCTCCAGGTCTCGGCGACGGACTAAAGTAAAAAGGACGCCATTTTGATATCCTATAACGATCAGTTTTCTGCAACCGAACCCTTTTAGAGTTTGATTTGTACCTCGGATCGAGATTTATATGCTTAATTCACCTGAATGATTGTTTTACATTAATGAATTGAAGTAGTGAATCGAGATATGATTTTTGTCTTCTCCCACTTGTTGCAATAGATAAGATGTTCCGAGGTGATGTAGCTTTCAACCATCAACTTGATTAGGATTTGCTTGCTATTCATATCTGTCGACGTGACATGGTCTGTAACTGTATTTTTCACCATGAATAGGAGAAGGTAATTTATCTATATCAATGAAGTGGGTCGGCCACTTTGTCAATCAAGTTTGAAATAATTAGTGTAACAATTCAAGAGTCGTTAGTGTAACAAATCAAGTGGATCGGTCACGCCTGTGTTATCTAATCCGGTACGGTCTGGTCCAGATAGACCACATTGAACAACAAATGAACAACTTGTTTAGTCAATCACACAAAAAATTGAACCAATTATCAAGAAAAATATTTTTTTGCCTTAAAACATAAATGCTAACATGCATGAATAATCTTGACATGCTAAATCTTAATAAATAACAAAGATACAAAGTCAAAGCATCTCAACTTGCACCGTAACGTCACAAATATTTACATAATGTAATATGGAGACACGATCATCTCTACTCTATGGCGATATGTGGTTGTGATTGAAGGAGGGGATGAGATTCTCAAAAGTAGGATTGAGACTTGGATCTCGTTGGTCGAGTGGTCGAGTGGGCTGCTAACATATATTAGAAAGTCGGCTGGGTCCACGGTTTTGGTCCGGTAAATCGCAATCTAGACTAAACTAGATCATGAGGTCAAGACATCATATAATACAAACCATGGATCAGACCAAACCATTTCTAACGGTTTACGATATGATTTTGTCCATTGTTTTTCATATAGTTTGATCTATTTTCCGAACCCTAATTTGATGCATCTAATTATTATTAATATGTTCTCTTCATTTTCGAACATGATAATAATAAGTTAAACACAAACCATTGTTGCCATAATAGAGGTATTAAACGGGGGAAAATGTAACTCCTCAATTCTACATCATTACTAATTAATTATGGTTATCTCTCTAAGGTTTGACCCAATTAATTGATGATTACAATTTGAACGGTCGAATAATAATATAATAGAAATATTTTTTCCTTAAATATTTTTGGCTATCTAAGCCTTTATACTTAATAATGTTTATCAAATTGAACCAAAAACATTAAAATAAATTTTGGGTGTTTATCTCCAAAATTTAGCCCTCACAATATATGCAATTTTTCTTCTTCTTTTCATTAGCATATATTCCATAAGAAAAATGCCATTTCCGTACAAGTATTTTTTATCAAAATAAATAGGAAACTAAAGATTAAATTTCCATATACATATAGTTGTCATTTATATATACACGTCGTTACTAATTCCAAGCACAATCACTCACCTCCTAATTCCTCTCTCGTTAATTCCATGCAAATTAAATCCCCGTAATTAGACAGAAAAAAACCCTACGCATATATATAATACCCTCTTTAGCAAGCTACCTTTGCTCTTCACCTAAAAGTACGACTCCGATCTCTATCTCCGACGTTCTTCTACAAAGACAAGAAAATGGCTCGTTTGGTTACGATAATCTCTCTCATTATTCTCCTGTCCGTCTCCGAAGCAAAGGAGTTCATCGTCGGAGGCAAAGAGAGCAAGACTTTCTGGAGGGTTCCCGCCGGCGGCGAGAATCAGAACAACCTCAATTACTGGGCCGAGAGGAACAGGTTTCGATCCGACGATGTTCTTGGTACGTACGCGGGTTGTTTATAAAAAATTTCGTCGTGATTATAAAAATTTGACACTAGAATGTCTGATGATACCTTCAAAGGTTGATACATATATATGTTGCAAACTTGCAATTGCATGCATTAAACTGATTTTTTTACTATGAAATTGATAAAAAAATGATATTCGAAATCAGATTAGTAGCAAACTAACCAATTAATTATTAATAATTGTTGGGTTGTATGAATCGTAAAAATATTTGAGTTGCTTCCACTGAAATTTGAGGACCTAATGGTGACAAACTCTTTTTCTGGTTGTTAAAGTATGGAAGTCCGTCGCTAAAAGTGATTCGGTGCTGGAAGTGAGCAAGAATGATTACGAGAGCTGCAACACGACGGATCCCATCAAGGAGCTGAAGGCCTGTGACGGGAAGTTCACTTTGGACCGGTCCGGCCCGTTTTACTTCATCAGCGGGATCGAACGTCACTGCAAGAAAGGGCAGAAGCTGGAGGTGGTCGTTCTCGCCGATCATCATGGCCGGCGGGCATTGTCTCCGGCGCCGGCGCCGGAGAAGTCGGATGGATCGAAGGTTGGGGCTTTGGGGACGGTGTCTTTGGCGACGGGAGTTGGATTGGTCACCGCTTTGTTTCTTTTAGTTTAGTGGTTAATTAATAGATGGGTTTAATTAACTTAATCTCTGTTGTCTTTTGTTTTTCTTAATTCGCTAAATGTGGACTCTTTTGCATGTTTGGATTCGTCTTGTGTTGTGATTAGTAGAAGGTAGATGCAGTGGCGGAGTCAGAAAATTGGTCAAGGGGGTGCTTCTTCATGTCATGAAAAAGTCAACTATGTAATAGAAAAGTCAACTCTAAACGAAAATATGAAAATCAACTTCATTATATGACTAATTCAGTCTATGTACTTAATTTAGAGATGAAATTGAGTATACCAAACACACAAACCTAACCCTAAATTAACACAAATAATAAAACTTTCAAGTAATTGAAATTAAAACTTAGATTTTACCTTGTTGTTAAAGATTGATGATGTCAAACAAAGTAATTTTTGTGTTGCTGGCTTGTTGCTCCCCTACCTGCTCACGATTGAAAAGAGAAAGATTTTTGGAGGTGAAGGACGGAGAACGAAAGTCTGGAGCCTAGAAATAGTTTGGATTTGTTGGGTAGGAGCCGAAAATATGGGTGGTGGTGGAGGTTCGGCGAGCTTGGAGCCGGAGATGGAGAGCTGGGCGAGCTCGGCTTGCAACTTGCAGCGCCTCTGCTACTGCTGGGTGGAGGAAGAACGAAATTGTAACTGGGGATTGCTGGGATAGACGATTAGAGTTTTGCGTTTTGATATTAGGACAGATAATTAACATTGATATAATTAAACATGTATGTATTATAAATGAAAAACTCGTAGTCGAGATGGTAAAGATTTCTCATTGTCAATCACTAAATTAGTGGTTCGATCCTTACTTCCTACTATATATATTGGATTTTTTTCCCCGTCCCAAAGCCAAGGGGGGTGCATGCACCCCCCTCAAGTGTGCACAGCTCCGCCACTGGGTAGATGGATGGCTGGTTCTTGTTTTCATAGTATTAAGTTTGCTTTTGGAATGACTTATCGATGTATTAATTTTTATAGTGAGTTTTTAAGAGAAGTATCTTCGACAAACTATTCAAATTTTTATCGATTTATTGGTGATGAACATTGTTTTTCCCCCTTCTTATAATGATGAGTTATGGAAAAAATTAAAATGGAAAGCATACTGTGCTGACCCACACATACCTTACCAGCAGTTGATACTAAAATAAGACGGCTAACATTCTAGGCTGTTAATTTCGCATGCCGAATCATGTTAAGTTTGTATGGAAAACCACGATTGATTACCAACTATGAATGGTTGATCTCTAGATAAAACAGTATTACAAATAGTTAAATCCCGTGTCTTCTCTAGCTCCATCGTCAATCGTACGTAGTTGTAGTAACATTGTTATGTCTGTCATCAGGTAGACTCCAGAATCGCCGACTTGACACAGCAGGTTGGTTATGAGGAACATGAATGTGGTTAGGAGGCGAGCCTGACGAGTCTGCAAGCAGGACTAAGACACATCTCTCATTTGGGATGCTATAACAGGTACTCCACGATCACTCGAGGGCCAATCAAAATCACCAGAAATCCTAGAAATGATAACTGTGTCACCGAAGTACTGTTAAACCTGCGACCTTAAGATCGTCCACACGGACGGTGGACCTTATGACTCTCATGTTAACATTGTCCAAAGTACAAACTGAAATTTGAAATACTCAGGGGATCGACAAATGTCGCTATAAGTTGAACCTTTCCATTTATACCCAAGCCAAACCCCCGCAACGTACGGCCCATCCAAACATTCATCCTACTTTCACTTCCCACCCTTATTCCTCAACGTCTTTCTCTCTTAAAGAACCAAAACAGAACAAAACAGAGGAGTACGAAGAAACGCAGCCAATAGCGACCAAAATTACGCCCGTCGCTAAAAAGAACCAAAGAACGACCGACAAGAAGAAACGTTGTAAAATAAAAAAAATGGCGGGGCCAGATCAGGCGGCGAGGCAGTCATCGGAGGTGCTGCAGCAGCGGAGCGGGCTACCGAAATGTCCGGTCAAGATGGCGGTCGTCGGAGCTGTCATCGCCGCCGGGCTCGGTTACACGGTGCTGTTCGCGAAGAAGAAGCCGGAGGCGACGGCGCTCGACGTCGCTAAAGTTGCTTCCGGCGGCAATCCTCCTTCCGCCACCAAATATTGAGTTAACTAGCTAACGTTGTTTGTTAGATTTATCCTTGATTTCATTAATGATCGCGTTTTGCAGAAGCTTTTTTTTTTTTTATCTGTTGCTTTGCTGTTTTTGATGAATATATGGATATCCTTGATTTCAATTTTATTCCCAATACAATGGTTTTCTGTTTTCTGATGAATCGTTCCCTAATAGAATGATCACTCAACTTTACATTCCTTAACAAAATGACCCTCTCATGTAAAACAAAGTGGCCCTTCTGATAAAGATCAATGTTTAGTGACCATTTTATCGTAACCCTGAAACTTAAGTGACCGTTTGTGTTATTTACCCGGGAGAAAAAGGCATTGCTATTCGTCGCCCTAAACTTCCTTATTCATCGCCCTAATTAAGATAAATTTACTCTAATGCCCTTATTTCATTTATTTTAGACCAAGCAAAAAATAATTCAATAATTTTCGAGCTATTTGGAATAAAGGAATCATATTGAACAGTTTTGTAAACACTGTGAAACACAATACTCAGGCTTGCAGGCTTTGCAGAGGGCACCGAGGGAGTTGGGGAGGAATGTGAAGGCTGTTTTCCATGAGGGATAATGTGAAGCAGAGTGAGCAAATCTGCTTTATTCACAACATGGGTTAGGGCCCATATCATGGCTTGCTTTGAATTGATCCACCACCACCACCATCATTACTCTTTAATTTCCTCATCACCAACCCACTCTTCCTCCGTCATCGGATTAGTGACTCTGCAGGCGGCCGGTCAACTCGTCTTCCATTTGGGTTGTGGCAGAAGTAGAGGAGGTATAGAAACAGAGCAACATGGAAGTTGCGGATTCGGGTGGGGGATGGGTGGGTGTATCTGGTTGGGATGGATGGAGGGGCGATTGGAAGCGGCGGCGGCGACAGTTTTTCTCGAGCCATATGTGATGTGAGAATTGAGTTGTGATGGCGGCAGTTCTTCTCTGCCCAGAGTGGTCATCGGTTTTGGAGGGTTAGAATTGAATTAGGGGTGAATGTGTCATTTCAGTAAAGTTTAGGGCGATAAAATTTAAATTTTAGGGCGACGAATAGCAATTCAGGGAGAAAATAGAGGGGAAGATATAATGAGATGTCTGTCTCGTTGTCACCGGAGAGCCAAAAGTTCTAATCCAGAGAGCAGACAGAGGTGCATTTCCACGGCGACGCCGAAACCCACCTCTGGAAAACTTCACTGAAGCGGCTCCAAGTAAAGCTCCGCGGTGGTTGGTGAATTTGCAAGTGCTTTGACTTCTCCTCCGTCGAGCGGTTGTACACCTCTCTTCCTTACGGTAATGGTTACTCATCTGCTTTTATTCACCATTGCAATCCTTTGGTTGCTGGCAAGTTATTGAGGGGGAAATTGCGAGCGAGATGGTAACTTCCGAACTGGGGAGATTTTGATTGAGAAAATGTTCGATGCTACAAAATGATTCCTGTATAAGCTGTGAGAGGGTTTGGAGTAGAAAGGGTTGGAATTTGGACTTGGAATAGCGAAAAAGTACCATGCTTTGCTTGCAGCTCTGTACACAAATGTGCAGGCTTTACTGTGTTAATGGTTGGATTTGGGTGTTGGCCGTTGGGTTTAACTCAGCTTCTGTGGGGGGATTTCTGATTTTGTTCTTTATCAGGGCCACTTATCTGGTATCTTGGGAAGGGAGATTCTGGCTGATCTTCAATCCCATTCCGCGCCATGGCGTTCATGCCTGGTACAACGATTGTTCTTCCTCGGAAGCTGGAATTCCACTTGGGTTCTTCTCATCCCAGAAGATCCGAGTTCGTGACAGGCGAATTTCACCAAGGCCTCAGTTTCATAAAGTCCTTGCAGGTAACTTGATGGAGCTCTCTTTCAAGTTCTGTTAGTCTTACCATGAAAACTACCACACTTACATTAGAGAGCTTGAGAGATTAAGTCTCAAGTTTTGTTCTTTGGTCGTCACCTTTGCTACATCAGCTTATTAACCCAAAGGAGCAATTTTCGATTAGGTAACTTAGGCTTTGTATTCTGTTGTTGCTTCTGTATCTTATGCACAGCCTACTACAGCAAAACTCCCTCTTCCGTCATCAATAAAGTTAAGGCAGCCGTGTGCATTGGTAGCCTCGAGTGAGTACCCTCAGAATGCTGATTTCCCTAGATACTACGGCAGAAAGGAGAAGAAGCCCTTCCCAATACCGGTAGTGGAGTTGAGGCGAAACGCAAGGGAGAGGATCAAGAATAGGAAAGGAAAACCCAAAGGCCGCCCCCCTCCAACTAAGCAAGGGCTGGTTGTCCAAAGCCTCGTCCCTCTTGCTTACGATGTCTACAATGCGAGGATCACACTGATCAACAACATCAGAAGATTGATGAAAGTGGTCCGTGTCCATGCTTGCGGGTAAGTCTCCTCTTTTCTATGACCTGAAATCCAATTGTGTAGTTGTTTGAAGTAGGGTGCCTGAACTAGAAACTTTGGCCTTCCTTTTTCTAGGTGGTGCAACGAAATCCACGTAGGGCCTGAGGGGCATCCATTCAGCTCGTGTAAAGGCAAGTACACTGGCGTCCGAAAGGGCCATCATGAGTGGACGAGTGCAGTTGTTGAAGACATACTCGTCCCAATCGAAGCATACCACCTCTACGATCGTTTGGGGAATCGAATTCGACATGATGAGAGATTCTTAATCCCCAGAATCCCAGCTGTGGTCGAGCTCTGCATCCAAGCAGGTGTCAACATCCCTGATCTCCCCACCAAGAGGAGGAGAAAGCCAGTGGTTTGGATCGGTAGAAAAGAATTCGTCGATGCAGATGAGAGCGAGCTGCCCGACCCAGTCCCAGAACCTCCTCTGAAGCCATTGCTGACTGAAATCCCCAACCCCGAGATAGTTCCCCCATCGACCCCAGAGGAAACGACTTTACTGGCTGAGGAAACCTTAGCAGCTTGGGACAAAATGAGGAAAGGGTCGAACCGGCTGAGGAAAATGTACCCAGTTCGAGTCTGTGGGTACTGCCCCGAGATCCACGTTGGACCAAGCGGGCATAAGGTGCAGATATGTGGAGCTCACAAGCATCAGCAGAGAAATGGTCAGCACGGATGGCAGGCTGCTGTGCTCGACGATTTGATACCTCCGAGGTTCGTGTGGCACCTCCCTGAACCGACTGGGGCGCCATTGGAGCGTGAGCTGAGGAGCTTCTATGGACAGGCCCCTGCTGTTGTGGAGCTGTGCGTGCAAGGTGGTGCTGCTGTGCCGGAGGAGTATAAGGCAACTATGAGGTTGGATATTGGGATTCCTTCTAATGGTAAAGAAGCTGAAATGGTTGTTTGAGCCCCGATTCAGAAGTTCTGCTAGTGCAGATTTGGAAATGTACAGAATATTTGAACCGAGGGAAAGACAACATAGTGAATCATCATATTTGCTTGGAGAAGTGAAAATAGAAGGTTGTTATTCGTTGTTCTTAAAATTACTAACATACCGTTTGGTATAAATGAATTCCATAAGTTTTTAGGAATTTATTTTGAAATGAAATCTTTTTGTGTTTGGTATTTAAAAGAATTTATTTTGAATTCTAAATTTTAAATTCTACGGAATTGGAACTAGTTATAGCAATTCCGAGGAATTGACATACATTTTTTAAATGAATTCTATAAGTATTTACCAATTATGATAAAAGGACATAATCATTCTCATTTATTAACAAAATTACTTCTACATATATTATTTGGCGCCAATTCATGCAGTATGAGAAACGCCGGCAAGAATTTGATTATAACGCTAATAGCATATACCAAACACAGGAATTCATTTTAAAACAAAATGAATTTTAGATTCATTTGATACCAAACGGTATGTAAACGTGATTAGAGCGTGATTTTGTATTCTCGCATAAGGTGATACTACCTACCAAAATTGAATGTCTTGGAATCAAAATGATTGGTGAAAATTGATTGATTAACATCTATCCAAATTCAATGCCTTGGAATCAAAATAATTGGTGAAAATTTATTGATTAAACACCTACCAAAATTAAATGTGGTGGAACCAAGTGATTCATACAAGTCTTAATTGGCCATTCATTTGTCAGAGCATTTCTCGCGGTAAAACGAGGCCTATAGATAGAACTCGAGAGTGTACATACGGAAGAAGCTGACTTGGAGTTGCAGATCAGCAGAAGACTGAGAACAGACGCAGAAAGCCACAGCTAAAGAGCCACTCGGCCAGTTCTCTCTCGAACCCTACTATTCGTTTCTCCGCTTGACTCCATAGAACCAGCAAAGGGTTCCTTCCGACTGGGCAAACCCTTTTCCCGCCACTATGGACGTCGCTTCTCGCCCGCTCCACAGTCCACTTCTCTTCCTTATAGCTTCTATCCTTTTTCCCCTTACCCTCAATTTCAAATTTCATTTCTCATGTTCTCGTGTTTGATTCCCGTTCCATTCGCAGGTTGTAGAAGACCGCAAGGTTCTTCTTTATCGCATTCGTTAACGGTAATCTTTCATTTCCCTTCCTTTGTTTCTGATTCATAGTCGAGATTGGGATTTCCCGGTAGCCTGGATCACCGTGGGACTTGATAAGGGGGCATTTTCTGGGTTGTGATTGTTCCCTGTTTGGTTTATGGGGAAATGTATGGTGTATGAGAGGAATTCGTGATTTGTTGGGCAAAATGACGAGGGATTAGTTTGTTTGACGTAATTGCTTTATAATTCAATGCAGTTCTCATCATATGGAGGACCTTACAGCAAAAAGCTCCCATCTTTGACTAGTACCAGTACCTGTAAGTGACTCTCTTATCCACTGAAGTCTGAACATGACTTTGTTTACTTGGATTGAAGCTTTTGCAGTTTGCCTGTTCATTGGATGTTAGGGATTTTGCCAAGAATCATCCTTTCCTTTGTTTTCTATTGATTGTAATTAGATATGTTTTTGGTCTATTCATTTATACCCTTTTTCTTTGTTCCTTCTTTTTCAGCTGCTCTAAGTTGTTTTTCATGTCTTTCAAGGAAGCACACAACTCTGTCTTGGTGTTGTTCTTCTCAAGAGCAGTTCAACAGTGGTAAACTTTTGATGCGTACTAAGTCATTCACACGAATCGTTGCACAATCTGAAATTGCCGGTGCTGCGATTACAGATACTGATGCTGATCCACCATCAGGTTTCTCTCCCTCAGCGAACTTGATTTCACCTTTTAGTTCTGTGCCTCAACTCTTGTCCAATTATTTACTTTCGCAATGCAGAGGTTAGCCTGCTCTCGAAAGCCAGAGGAATCGGCTTCTATGCGGTCACTGCTATTGCTGCATTGCTCCTTATTGTGCTGATGCTGGTGCAACACCCTCTGGTGCTTCTGGCTGATCAATACAGAAGAAAAGCTCATCACCTTGTTGCAAGTGTCTGGGCAACGATAACAATAAATCCATTTTTCAACATTGAGTTTGAAGGAGTGGAGAATTTGCCACCTTCAGACACACCAGCAGTCTATGTTTCCAATCACCAGAGCTTCTTAGATATATACACTCTTCTTACTTTAGGTAGAAGCTTTAAGTTCATTAGCAAGACCGCGATTTTCCTGTACCCAGTCATTGGATGGGCCATGTCCATGCTTGGTACGATCCCTCTCAAGCGCATGGACAGCAGAAGTCAGTTGGTACAAAACATTTAGTATTTTCTTAAAGAAAGCTACTTAATTTTTCAGGAAAAGCTGGAACAAGAACTCGCGTGATGTTTATGATGATGATTATTATGCTTGTAGGAGTGTCTTAGACGATGCATCGACTTGGTCAATAAAGGAGCATCGGTCTTCTTCTTCCCAGAGGGAACTCGTAGTAAAGACGGTCATTTGGGTGCTTTCAAGGTGAGATAAGGAGTTGCTATGAATTGTTGAGTTTGTTTTTTCAAATGGATTGATTCCTTGTTGGTAGTTAGTCATTTCTTTCGACGATTGAAATGCAGAAAGGCGCATTCAGCATTGCAGCCAAAACAGGCGTGGCAGTGATCCCCATGACCCTTATGGGAACTGGAGGGATCATGCCTCCAGGAAAAGAGGCCATCTTGAATACGGGGTCTGTGAAGGTTGTCATTCATAAGCCGATACGAGGAACTGATGCAGCAGCTCTCTGCGATGAAGCTAGAACAGTAATTGCTGGTCCACTTAACCAGCAAAGTTAGAGAGATGATCTAGTCTTCCAATCTTGCCATTATTCCAGTCCTAAAGCTTTGAACTCACACAACACCATCAGCAACAGCTTTTTCCACAGTAGGAAAGGAAATAACAGAAGCTGCTAAGGCGGGTTTTCTGGAACTCTGGCTGTTGGTTGTGAGAAGTTTCACTGGGACGATGTGGATGTATAGCCGTTAATCATTCTCCAGCCATGGCAGGGTCTGTTCTTAGCAGCAGATGATCTCAGCTCCATTTGGTGTTGCAGCAGGCCAAGCTTTCATGAGCTGTTGGATGATGAGTATCAAATTCTACCATGGTTCTTCTCTTTGGAAATTTCCTGTGGAAGTGTAGTTTCTGTTCCCTATTGCCATTTGTGAATTGGCTAAACTGAGAAAGGAATGAATGAAAAATAATAATGTCAGAAGTGTGGATACTTGGAAAAGAGCATCCATTGTTTGTTTGCTTTCAAACATTGTTCAATTGGAGTGGTTAAACACCCAATCTGGTTCACCCTAGACCCAGACTGTACCGTGTTTTAACCAGAAATGTGGTGAGTTAAAGACCAGACCGAATGGTTTTGTCGTGGTTCACTCCTGAACCGAGTTTGAATCCTGACGAGAACTGTGGTTAGGTCCTTGTTAAAAGACCAGAATTTTGGGATGGATCATGGATGATTCTCAAAGAATCACTCCCAAATCCTTGCATTCAACGAATCAATGATTAGATGGTTGTAAACTAATAGTTTATTATTACATATGAAAGATTTTAAAGTCGTGCTCCTCAGTCAATCAATGGTTAGTCTGCTTGGCTATCATATTGTTTAGGGGCAAAATTATAATCCAATAAAAACTCTATACAATACAATTTGACTGTCCTACGAGAAAAATAACACATTAGAAAATTATTAGAGATTTATAGTGTTGAGTTCTATCGTGATTTACAAGGTTAAGAGCTTTGAGTTAAGTTCCTTGAGTTGATATAAGTAGGACCAAGACATCCAATCTAAAACTCAAATGCACTCTTTTAAGGTGAGACCCAAATCCTTTAACTTGTTTTTTTTCCTCCCAAGGAATTCTTGAACTTGGTCTATCATATTGTTTAGGGGGGAAATTATCATCCAATAGAAACTTTATATAATACGACTTGACTGTCCTACGAGAAACATAGCACATTGGAAAGTCATTAGAGATGTCTAGCTAAGTTTGGGTTGAGTTCTACTAAGATTTACAAGGTTCGGGACTTTCGAGTTAAGTGCCTTGAGTCGATATAAGTAGGACCAAAACAAGTAAGATCCATTCGAAAACTCAAGTGTACTCTTTTAAGGTCAGACTCGAATCTTTGAACTTGTATTACTCTTTTAAGTAAGATCAATATTTTCCACATGACGAAAACATGATCTTTCTAGATTTTAGTCTCCTTTTTGTTTGAATTGTATTCAAAGTATTGTATAATGTCGCTGGAGAATCCATAGTTTCGACTACTACATAGTAACTTCAATATTTGTTGAGAAGGATGAATAAATCTCATCGATCATGTTTGCCAGCAATCATTTATCCACATTCACGATTCGTATGAGATTGAATAATAAATTTAAATCACGATTTATTTCATAATATTTTCGATTATGATAGCTAAAGGTTACTAGTTAATGGATTCATCAAGCGGATTAAAGGGAATGTATCTACTTATTATTTGTGCCTAATTTATCGAAGCATCACTTCAATCTTTGACTGATCGGGAGAGAAAGGTAAATACCATCAGTTTCTTTTCCTTTTCAAACTATTTTCCTGACGGCTATGGCTAATACAGTTGACCACCAGACGACAACCCTTCACGTCGTCAAGAAAACCAATTTCGCACGTCTCGCCGCCGGCCACAAAACGCCCGCCGCAAGGAGGCCACATCCGTAAATCACTAAATCACCAACTCCGCCACTTCATTGGAGGAAAGAAAAAAAAGGGAAATATGTATTTTCTTTCCTTTTGTCTCCTTTCCTCTCTGTCGCTGGCCAACTGATGATTGTGAAATTGTCAAAGTGTGAAACCTGAAATTAGAGAACTAATAAAGACTCTTTCTTTCCTTCCTTCCTTCCTTCTTCTCAATCTTCTATTTTTCTTCTTTCTCCAACTCGCCGGATATCACTCAAAGATTCTTCTTTCCCTCTTCTTCTTCGCCAGCAGTTTCTGAGCCGAACCCAGAGAGGGCAAGGGGGAAATCTTCGTACCCGAATCCGAAAGATTCCGCCTTTAGGATTCTGATTCTCGTTTCTATAGTATTCTTCCCCTCTCCCCGTTCTGGTTCTACATCGTGAAGCTTGCTGCTTTGTTCATGTCGAATGTTACTGTAAGTTTGGTTTGCTTCCTTGTACTTCTCGACAAGATCAATTAAGTCATCGAAGCTGTGTTTATGTTTGCATTGATTAGCGGGGTTTCTTATGTTAAAGCTCCTTCCTTTATTTCGTTTCTTCTTAGTTGGGGAAAAGGGTCTGATTGAGAATTGGGGTTGCAGTTGGTATTTATGGTGGGAAGTTTGAAAGTGGCTCCAAAATTCTGGGGATTTGAAGGAAAATTTGAACTCTGGACGAATTCCATGCTGTTTAGTGGCTTTAGATGTAAGTTTTTGAACCTTTGGTTGGAAAGTTCATGAAATTCTGGAGGGTCAACGATGAAAGTTTGCAGTTAATGGCGATGCTGCTATAGAGATCCGATGTCATCGAGTTTAGAATTTAGCAGGTTCAATATGTTGGTTGGTTTTGGGGTTCTTTTACATTGGGGGTTTGTTTGGATACTATTTCTTTATGTCAAGTGGGTTTTGAAGGTTTTGTTTCGCCTCAATTTCACAGTAATATGTGTGCTTGAATTGGTATTGAAGTTGTTGCTGTTAATATGTTTTGAAGTTACAGTAGACATGATAGTAAGAACAACTGAAAAGCTTTTATGTGAGATAAATTGGGACTTAGGGAGGATGTAAAACTACATTTTGTTTTGAAACTTAATCGAAATCCATTTCATACTATCTTGCAGGTGATGAATTCAGTTGCTTAAGATGTATGATTGTGGTTTGAAGACCCAATATCTGCCTGGCCAAAGGGACAAGTTTGTTAGGTACCATGTTTACTCTTTCGCATCTCTTTGCTTTGTTGTTCTTGAAACAGAATAAGATTAGGAAACCGTGTTTAATGTTGTATGTTCATTGCCTTTCTTTTATCTGTTCGACTATCTATTAGACTGGATGATTTGGACTCAAGAGTATCATCATCGCCCTCCGAGGCAGGGCCGAGAAGATGTGGATTTGGCATCGAGGCACTAAACTGTGCTGGCCAAGCACCCGATACACCATCCAGATCTTTTAAGAATGGAATCAAAAGGGGATCAGAAGGACTCAAATCCATAGGACGTTCACTTAGATTCGGAGTTTCTCGTGGTGTCTTCCCTGAAGATCTTAAAGCATCAGAGAAGAAGATATTTGATCCTCAAGACAAGTTCCTTTTGTTGTGCAACAAGCTCTTTTTGGTGTCATGCATTTTGTCTGCATTTGTTGACCCACTTTTCTTTTACCTCCCGGTGTTCAATGATGCGGGGTTCTGCCTTGGGATCGATCGGAAATTAGCACATACAGTGTCGACATTAAGGACAATTGTTGATGCTTTCTACCTTGCTCGAATGGCTCTCCAGTTCAGGACGGCTTACATTGCACCTTCTTCTCGTGTGTTTGGCCGTGGTGAGCTGGTGATCGATCCCACTCAGATAGCTAAGCGGTACATGCAATATTACTTCTGGATCGATTTCCTCGCCATCTTTCCCCTTCCGCAGGTATGAGATTCTTGCCAAAACCATCTGTACATTTGTTTGCCTGTCTTTGGTGCATTGATCAGTTGCTTGCTTCTAGCTTCTTATCAGAAGGCTACTGTTATAGGGGTCGATTAATAAACAGTAGCTTGGGTGTCACTAAAAAAGTGGTAACTTTCACTAATTTGTTACTGAAATTTTGGAATAACTAACATCTCCATCAAGTTTTCCATCCAAATTGTTAATCAGTGTGTCAACTCACACCATTTTAATAATGAGAAGGGTCTCCCTCGAATTCGCTATTGGGTGACGCAAGGAAAGGATTATGGTGGTATTGATATGTCTTGGAATTGGGTCAATTAATCGATTTGACTACTGGATTGGGTATGTGCTAGATTATATCTTCCATGTGAACTAAGTAGTGTATATGTGACCTTGTTTATTATTAATTTGGGAGTTCACACTCTACTCTTGGGAGGGGAAAACCTGATGGAGATGGACGGAGTGGCTATTATGTTAGTTGCTCCAAACTTCCATGACTACCTGTAAAAAATCGAAGTTCGATGACTGATTTTCTAGTGAACCCAAATTGTGCTAGCCATTTATGTGATTGACCAGCTTTCATACATAAGATTCTCTCATAGACCATTGGCTTCTGTTTTGTGCTTGATTCATTCACTTATATAAAACTCCCTACCTATAGCCTAATTATTAATGATGCATGCAGATTGTGGTCTGGAAGTTTCTTCAGAGGTCCCATGGCTCTGATGTTCTAACAACAAAAAGAGCCATCCTAGCCATCATTTTGCTCCAATACGTTCCTAGATTCCTTCGGTTCATACCTTTAACTTCCGAACTCAAAAGAACAGCAGGTGTCTTTGCAGAAACCGCGTGGGCTGGTGCTGCTTGTTACCTTCTCCTATACATGCTTGCAAGTCACGCAGTTGGTGCATTGTGGTATTTGCTAGCCATAGAGCGGAAAGACGCATGCTGGCAGAAGTTCTGTACCCCAGAAGTAAAATGCCAGACCAATTTCTTGTACTGTGGGAACCAGTTCATGACAGGGTTTGGTGATTGGATTCCCTTGAGGAACAACACTCTCGAGTCGAATTGTGTGACGAAAGAAGATGGACCGTTTGATTATGGGATCTTCTTGAATGCTTTGTCGTCCGGGGTTGCCTCCTCAAAGGAGTTTGTGGCTAAGTATTGCTATTGCTTGTGGTGGGGGCTTCAGAATCTTAGGTAATATACATATATATTCATTTTCTGCTATGCAAGTGATGGTAGATATTGTAGATGCTTAAGCTTGGGGAGGTATATGACTCGTGTTGTTTCGGTTGTCTACTTGTTTGTGTAGTACACTTGGTCAGGGGCTTCAAACCAGCACATATCCTGGAGAGGTTATCTTTTCTATAGCACTTGCGATATTTGGACTCATCCTCTTTGCACTTCTCATTGGTAACATGCAGGTAATGGTCGACTATATGTGCCATTGGGGTTGTTTAGTTACCATCGAATTATGTTTGCCTACTTTCAAATCTTAGTAACTGAAGAATACTCTTCTCCTTTTTGGGCTATTTCTGAAGTTTTGGTGTTTGCTTTGTTGTTATGACAGACCTATCTCCAGTCACTTACGATACGTTTGGAAGAGATGAGAGTGAAAAGGCGAGACTCAGAACAATGGATGCGCCATCGCTTGCTCCCAACCGAACTCAGAGAAAGGGTTAGGAGATATGACCAGTACAAATGGTTAGCAACTCGTGGAGTTGATGAAGAGATTCTGGTTCAAAGCCTGCCTAAGGATCTTAGAAGAGACATCAAACGCCATCTTTGTTTGGCATTAGTCCGGCGGGTAAGCCTCCTCATCAGTGAATCCTTTTCTTGGGTCTTTTTGTTCACCATGTAAATTCAATGAAAAGTAATCATTACTCTATTCTTCCATGCCAAATACTATATGCCAACGAACGATATAGGTATTCTTGAAAGCACATCTTCTGAATGCACGAATCGTCAAAATCCATGCATAATTCTACCATGAACCTCAATGTACGCTCTTGCTGTGTAGGTTCCTCTGTTTGATAACATGGATGAGAGGCTGCTCGACGCCATTTGCGAGAGGCTGAAACCATGCCTGTTCACTGAATCTACCTACATCGTCCGAGAAGGTGATCCGGTCGATGAGATGCTCTTCATCATTCGAGGACGCCTCGAGAGTGTAACAACAGATGGTGGCAGGAGCGGCTTCTTCAACCGTGGATTCCTCAAAGAAGGAGATTTCTGTGGCGAGGAGCTCTTAACCTGGGCCCTTGATCCCAAATCTGGCGGCAACTTACCAACCTCGACCCGAACTGTGAGGGCCATAACTGAAGTCGAGGCCTTTGCCCTGACTGCCGATGAATTGAAGTTCGTCGCCAGTCAGTTCAGGCGCCTCCACAGTAGGCAGGTGCAACACACTTTCAGGTAAGGGTGGCTAATGATTTTGACACACTGATATATTGCGTTTTCTGTTACTGGTTCGGTTGATCGAACTGGTTCACCATGCTTGCATTCAGGTTCTACTCGCAACAGTGGAGAACTTGGGCCGCGTGCTTCATCCAGGCAGCATGGCGACGACACCTGAAGAGGAAGAACCTCGAGCAGCAGCGTCGGAAGGAGGAAGAGGAAGAAGCAGCGCAAAGCACGAGTGGCAGCGGAGGAGGCGGAGGCTCGTTTAGCATAGGCGCCACGTTCTTGGCCTCGAGGTTCGCAGCGAATGCTCTTCGTGGGGTACACCGGAACAGGAATGCCAAGACGGCAAGAGAGCTGGTGACGCTGCAGAAGCCTCCTGAGCCTGATTTCACGGCTGATGATGCAGATTGAATCGATTAAGAACACCGTAAAATTCGATTATTTCTTAAAAGGTCATTATCATGATCAGTCTAATTTGCTGTTAACTCTTGCCTTTTCTTGCCCTAAAGACACTGTATATTATTATTTGCATGAAACCAAGCTTGGGTTTGATGTTCTGTAAGGCGCTTGCTAATGCTATTTTCCACCCTGCCTCACAACTTACTTAGCTCTGGCTCTGTAGATGAAAGACCTAACAACATTGTATCCCACTTTAACTATAGAAATCACTTCAAGATTGTTGCAGAGTTTGTTGATTCCATCCATGGACCATGGCTTCCACCTTTTCATTCAATGCTTACATCTATAGCCATGCATTTCGAGATTTTTTCGACGTGACATTTCGAAGGAAATGGAGTTTCGACATTGCACGAATAACCTGTTGTCCTGATTTCGCCTCATAAATACACATAGAACTTGTCTTCAATTGCTCTTGTGAAGAAGATATTGATATCCATTGCCAATGTTTGGTTTGAAACGGTGGTGCTTGGAGATCAACCCTACATAGTTACCCACAAAGATTTTCCTTAATAGTAAAAATAAATCAGTCGAAATGGAATGACCTTGTCGAAAATCTCATTCTCGATAACAGATCGTCCCTAAGAAATCATTAATATAAAATTATATGTTTCGTTCATGGTTTCACGACCTTAAGGGGACTCGACCAAAATTGGATCATAAGTGCATTTAGTTCAGATTGATCTGGTTCGAAATATCGGTTCACTCCATTTTCTTCCTTTAATATCCTTTTTGTTCTGTTTGTGGAACCGAAAATTGGACCACTAATACTCTTAAAGAGCTAGACACCAATCGCATTGTGAATGTGAGAGACCAACACGATCTCAGTTATCAAAATGATCGTCTCGATATACACCTAACAAACTAAAATTCTAAGACGTAAACTCTATTGCGTTGACTCTGGGATATAAAAAGTAAAAAAAAGCTAAGAATGATATGTAAACCATGTAGGTGCATGCACAAAGCACAGAGCCTATACAAATAAGTTTTAATTAATAAAAGTAATTGTCCCCAAATTATGATCAACCAGACTCCTAAATCTCAACTAAACCGTAATTAACACGCCCTAATCAGACTTTTTGTTTAACTGGCAAAATTACTTTTACCACCCCAACACCGGGATTGGGAGGCCGTCCACTCTCCGGATAAACACCTCCCTGTACATGTCCGTCGTCCTCGGCGGCAATACTATATCCATCCACGATCCCCGGCAACGTTTCTCAAACTCATCGCCGGCGGCGTCCTCCCTCCTCTGCTTCACCAGACCCGAGACGGCAAACCTCCCGACCGCCGCCACCGGCGTGTCGGATCCCAGCTGCCCGTCGATCCCGTGCACGACCACCTGCCCACCGTCGTCGCCGCCGTCGTACAGATTCCAATCCACGACCCTGTTGTGCAGGTACCTTATCTCCGCCGCCGACGTCAATTCCACGACCCGAATCTCGCCCCCGCCGTCGCACGTTTCCAGCACCGACCCGTTTGTGAGCGACGACCCGAATGCCGCCCGGTCCACCCGGGACCGCACGACCCGGAACCCGGGCCGCTCCGACCCGCACACGTGGTATTCGGAGCGGTCCGTCGGGACGAAGATGGTGAGGGCGGCGCCGCCGCGGAGGCAGCCCGGGTCGAATTGGGATACGAGATCTGGGATCATGGCGGAGTAGTTGCCTCGGGAGTGGAGAGCCTGAGCGATCTTGGCGGCTGTGGGGTGGACGCCGGGCGGAAGCACGAGCGGCGGCGGGGGTTGTTTATGAGGGAGATTGGGAGAGGGTGGGAGGAGGAAGAGGATTGAGGAGCAGAGGATGAAGTAGAGTATCGGGGCGGAGGAGATCAGGAGACGACGAAGCTTGACGGGATCCGCCATTGCTAAAGCTATGAGTTTGATGAGTTATAGTTCTTTCTTTCTTCGGACTCTGTCGCCAGAGGGCGAGGAGCTATATATGATTTTGGGATTCCTCAGACTCCGAGACAGAGTAGGATTCAATTTTCACCTTTTCCTCTTTTTGATAGGGATTGGATACAGTCTTAACTCACAAAGAAGTAGATACAATCATATTGTAATTTGTAAATGTGCAACCAACACTATATACATCTAACAAATAAAATTTTAAGATGTAGTAAAAATGTAATCTAAACTAGAGGTGGGTATTGGGTGGGTCGGGCGAATTTTGACAATAAAATGCACCCACCCACGCTTAATTGGATTGTCTATTTTGAATCCACCACCCACCCACATTTAATAATCTGGTTGGGTCGGGTGGATGCTGGATGTCTGGATGATGTGGGTGGGTTAGCGGGTTCACCAGTATCACAATGTACATATAATAAAGGAGTCAACTTGACACGATAATCGGGGGGAAACAAGAAGATGGAATAGGAAGGAAAAAATATCGAATTAGTTCTGAGATTGAATAGAAATTCTATTATGGAGAAGGTTTTTTTTTACTGATGGAGATGATTATCAGGTGGAGGAAACTAAGGAAATAATTCAACGGAGGAAAGAGAGGTGGTCTAGGCACCAGACTCCAAGGAAAAAATAAAGAGAAGAAGAGGGAATCACAATTTGGAAGAATGGCTTTAAGGTTCGATGTCCATGAACAACCCTAGTTTCCGTCTAACGTCTCCACTCTCCAACGCCAACGGTTTTGCTCCTTTTAATGTTGGGTTTAGCGGGCCACCCCGCGCACCCGCCACATGGCGGATGGCTCCCAGCCAATCTGTCACCCACCCACATAACAACATTTGGGTCAAATGCTAGCGGGTCGGCCCAAACCACGGATGAGCCATCCACATACTCAGCCCTAATTTAAGTCAGTGTTTGAGAAACCCGCCGTACCAGTCAGCAGGACCAAAAATATCGGATACAAGACACAAAACGGTAGGCAATTTTAACAATAAGAAATGGTTGAATGACGATTTTAAATATTACAACAAAATACCCACCGATCAACCGAACCGACTCCTAAATCTCAACTAATCCGTAATTAACACGCCCTAATCAGACTTTTTTTCTTTAACCGGCAAAATCAAGTTTACATCCCCCACAGCGGCACCGGGAGGCCATCCACTCTCCGAATAAACGCCTCTCTGTACCCGTCCACCGTCCTCGGCGCCATTACTTGATCCTGCCACGGACCCCGGCAAAGACTCTCCAACTCATCGCCGGCGGCGTCCTTCCTCCTCGGCTTCACCAGACCCGAGACAGCAAACTTCCCGACCGCCGCCACGAGGTTGTGGGATCTCAGCTCCCCGTCGATCCCGTGCACGATCACACGGCCGCCGTCGCCGTCGTACAGATTCCAATCCACGACCTCCGCGTGCAGGTACCCCTTCTCGGCCGCCGCCGATTCCTCGACCCGAATCTCGCCCCCGCCGTCGCACCACGTTTCCAGCACCGACCCGTTGGTTAGCCCGCCCGACGACCCGAATGCCGCCCGGTCCACCCTCGACCTCACGATCCGGACCCCGGGTCTCTCCGATCCGCACACGTGGTATTCGGACTGGTCCGTCGGGACGAAGATGGTAACGCCGCCGCCGCCGCTGAGGCAGTCAGGGTTGAATTTGGATATGAGCTCTGGGATCATGGAGGAGTAGTTGCCACGGGAGTGGAGAGCCTCGGCGATCTTGGCGGCTGTGGGGTCGACGTCGGGTGGAAGCACGAGCGGCGGCGGGGGGTTCTGAGGGACGTCGGAAGGATGTCGGAGGAGGAGGACCGAGGAGCAGAGGATGAAACAGAGTATCAGGGCGAAGGTGATCAGGAGGCGACGCTCGACGGAATCCGCCATTGCTAAAGCTATGGTTTGATGAATTTTGAGTTCTTAGGGACTCTGTCACCGGAGGGCAAGGTATATACGATTTGGGGGATTCCTCCGACTCCGAGACAGAGTAGGATTCAATTTTCGTTTTATATATAAAAAAGAAGCATATATTAGAAATCCATTACAAAGATAGAAACAGCACATCACCTGTAAAAACAATCCGTGTAGATATAAATTCCAGATTCAATATTTCACTGTGAATTCCTTTCTATCTTTCCCCTGTTCGGATTCGGAGAGAGCTCAAAACTATAGAGCCAGGTAAGAACTCAGGAGTAGAGTAATAACAACAGTGTTCCACACTTCTCTTCTACTAGCAACCCTCAAGAAAAAAGACTCTAACTTTGTGAACTAACTAACAAAACCCACGTATATATCAATGGTTAATCGATCTTTACCGACGAGTAAATGAGCCTTGTGAACCAGAAGCATGCGTAGAAACCGATGGTGCCGGTCAGGACGAAGAAACCGTACGAGCCGATGAGCATGTACCCGAAGTACAGGATCCCCGAAACCGGTTTGGTGATCTCGAGCTTGGTGAAGAAGTAGAATGCAGCGTAGAGGAAGAGGTAGAGAGCGGAAGAACCTGCTGTTAGGTACGACCTCCACCACCAGAGGTAGTCCTCGCTGCAGAGCTGGAAGTAGCAGAGCACGACCGTGATCTCGGCGCAGGTGACGATGAGGATGGCGAAGACGATGAACAGGAACCCGAAGATGTAGTAGAACTGATGCAGCCAGATGGAGGTGAGGATGAAGAAGAGCTCGATGAAGACTGCGCCGAAGGGGAGGATTCCTCCAATCAGAATCGAGAATGCAGGGTTCATGTACCATGCCTGCTCGGGGATCTGCCTTGGGATCTTGTTGGTCTTCACGGGGTCTTCGATGGCAGGCTTCTTGAAGCCCAGGTAGGCGCCCACGAAGACCAGTGGGACAGAGATTCCAAACCATAAGAAGACCAGAGCGAACATGGTCCCGAATGGCACAGCTCCCGAGGACTTCTCGCCCCAGATCAAGGCGTTCAAGATGAAGAAAACCACAAAGACGCTTGCAGGGAACATGAAAGCGGTTTTCAGTGCTATCTTCTTCCATTCTGTGCCCTTGAACATCTTGAAGAGGCGAGTTGCAGCATATCCAGCAAAGAGGCCCATGAACACGAAGAGCAAGAGCATGGCGGTCATCAGCCCACCACGGTTGGAAGGAGAGAGGAAACCGAGAACGGCAAAGATCATGGTAACCAGGAGCATTCCCAAGAACTGAACGCCTGTTCCAACATAGACACAGAGCAAGTCTGAGTTTGATGGAGGCCTGAAGACATCTCCATGGACCAATTTCCATCCCGTCTCTTCTTGGGCTTCTTCCTGGGTCTCAAGTTGGTTGTACTTGGAGATGTCCCGATAAAGTGTTCGCAGCATTATCATGGCTACCATGCCTGAGAGGAACAGGACAATCATCAATGAGTTGACGATAGAGAACCAGTGGATCTGATCGTCAGCCATTAGAAGATAGGTGTCCCAACGAGACGCCCACTTCACATCACTTTCCTACAAGATAAACAGAAGGGGAAGTGTTAACAGATACTTTAAAATAGTACAAGCAGCAAACGTTTTAGCTCGGAGGAGATAAATCAAATATGGAATCACCTTGAACTCGACATCATAAGTGAATATAATATCCTGCTTATCCGCAACCTCTTGGGGAGTTTCAGAGCTGGTAACAGCTCGTTTTGCATGAGGATCACATGTCGTTAGGCGGGTGTTCTCTCCCTTCCATTCTCCCTCATACTCATGTTTGACACTGGAATAAGCAAAACCAAATAGATTGATGAAGAAGCTCCAACAGGAGAGTTACCAAAGTAAAGTTGAACAATAAGAATGACAAACCGTTACCTGTATGGTTTGACCTCAAATCCAACAATCCTTGCAGAATCAGTCTGAACATCTTTGTGGTACTTGACGGTAAATGATAAGTGGTTATGGATAAAATGCTTTTGATCCTTGCTCTACAAACAACAGAACAAAGAACAGGGAAAACGTATGCTCGTAATTAGATAAGACGGTTCATTCTTAAAACAGAACATTGTTTGGCACATATAAGTTCCCCCACTTACCCCAGCATACTGCCCTTTCAGACCAACATGAAACCCTTGCTGATATACCACCGAATTTTCCTGATCGAGCCTTGGAATTGGTACAACCAAAGGAAGATTATCCAATATCCTGTTACACAAAGAACAAAAAAGTGTTAGACTAACGCATCTCAGCCAATTATCTAAACCTACCCATAAGATCAAACTACAAACATAAAGAGAATGTCCAGAAAACGAAAGCCTTACATGTTGACCCGATACTCATCATCGATCTTTTCCTTGAACGCCTTAGTGGTCTTATCATTGAGCTTCGTGTGGCATACAATCTTGCACATCTGTGGTTCCCTCATTTTAAACTGCACCAGCAAAATACACACTTGTCAAACACCCTATCCCCACAAAATAACTCTATCAGCCTTCTCCAACACATTAAACTTACCACATAAGGAGAGTTCTCAATGCGATCGCCACGAAGAACCTCCCCGAGATTCTCAGTGCTGTCGACAATCTTCCCCGGCCGGCATAAAGGGAGGGAATAGAATGAATACGGAAGCTGTGTCTTCGTGGAAGTCAATTTGTTTACTTTCACTTTCAATTCATCCCCCTGAGTCCATAAAACCAACAGAAATCAAGAGCTCCAGAGTCAGCTAAATAGAATCCTATCAGCTCAAAATCCAACTGTTCATATGCAATAACGAAAATCACTGTTCTCAATTGATTCAGGTTGCTGAATTCAACACAGCACGTAATTTCACATCAGTTACCACAAATCTTGCGCAATCCCTCGGAATTCAGCGAATCTCGCACACAGGAAAACGGCCGGGAGGAGATTTGAGGGGGAATTGAATTACCGTGTGGAAATCCTCGGGGGCGACGCCGGGGAGGTAGAAGGAGCGAGCGGGGAGGAAGAAGACGGAAGCGAAGAGGGAGATCCATAGGAGTCCGCGAGAGAGAGATGCCCTCGCCATGGCCGCCGAACTGGATCTGGAACGACGGTGGGGAGAAGCAGATATGGCGGATCGAGAGAGCGAAGGGAAGGAAGAAGGAAGAGTAGTGCGCGCACGGGAATAACGAGAAAACGGAAGCGCCACTACTGTGTAAATAGAATTAAGGAAATAAATTTTATTATTTATTCCCTCCTTTGGAAAAAAAAAAACAGTTGTATAATTTAATTTGTTTCAACTTAGTGCCCCCAATACTTTTTATCTGGTTCATTCTCATCCTTTTGGCTTGTGATTAATTACTCAAAACTCGAGCAGCAATGACAATTCCAACTTCATGCTAGATATCTGGATAGAAAATAGTTATCTCGTATTGATTGGATATGATATCGACATAATGAAGATTTATTTTAAAATTTTTAAATAATGATAAAAGAATGAGTTCTGTTGAGAATTGCAACTGTAACATCCGCATACTAATCATGCGTGTCTTTTCATCGTTTTAGGCTGTAGTTGTTACAAATTGTGAAATTATATAATCAATTCTCTTCCCCCGTCACAACTTCAAGTCTTCATCATTTCTCGTGTAAAATTTTCTATGTTGGTCATTCCGTTCTTAAAAGCGACCTCAAAACTACAATTACGATAAAAAGAATGAGCTAAATGAAACCTAATATTGATTTGTGATCGAATGTGGAAGTATGGGGAACTATATTGAAACTTTCCTTCTTCTTTCATGGTGTCACTTATTTTGTATTTGTTTGTTGGAGTGTGAAAATGCATTTTGGTAAGAGAAGTAATTTGCTCTACTGATTTTGATTAATCCATCCTAACCACCCCCATGTTCTACACTTCTTCTAGAAGGGAATCCAATCAACCAAATTCTTGAACATGAAAAATAAATTGAAAGCAATATGATCGGTAGATGTAAAATTAATCGAAACTTTGATACAAATTGATTTAAAAAAGCTCATATAATCAAATGAAGTCGTTTTCCTGTCGTACTCTCAACAAGCATTACGCTCTAATGTACATTTATTTAAATTTATGTGAAATGTATATAGCATTCTTCTATGTATTATAAGTATTTCACACATTTTCTCGGAAATGATCCCTTATTTAGTGGAGTAATTCAACAATTCAATGATGACTAGGATCTTCATATTTCCTCCTAAAGTTGTCAAATTCATACCACTCCAAGTCTCTTTCAAGACAAACCGAGGGTCAGGAGTCAATTTCCCAACTACCATTCAAAACCAGACTTGTAGAAAGAGGAAAACATCTCCCATCTCACAATCTTCATTATGAAAAAACTACCCAAAGTCTCTTTCCAGCATAGCTTCTAAGACAACCAAAACCCAACGTAGAACATGTTGGGAAAGTTTCCAATTTGGTCCTAGAACAACAGACAATCCTGCTATAAGACCAGACAACAACCTAGCTACACATTCTTGCAACAATCAATGAATCGCGGTATGAAATCGACCAGAAAAGTAAACTTGGAACTAGCGAAGACCCTGGATTTCCATTCATGATGCAGCTTGGTTTTCCTGCTCAGCACCTGCTGCTGCTGCAGCAGCTGGTGCTGGTGGTTGTTCGACGAGTCTCACAGAACGAGGAAGCATGAACTCGGCGAAAATAGGGTAGTGAGCGGAAGGGTAGAAGCCATCAATATTGTCGCTCACTACTTCACATAACGATGGGATCAGAGACCTCCCCCTATAGAGGATCCAATCTATGTGGAGGTCCTGTGTCTGCCTGTCCCAGCAAAGGCACAATGCTCGGAAGATTAACTTCACAAACTCGAGAGCTCCTTGCTTGTTGCCTGATAACCGGGAAAAGAAAATGTGAAATGTAATGTCACATATAAGGTTATGGGGACATTGAAGAAAGAGCAGCAGCTTTACTAAATGAGCAGAACCTTTGAATCCATGGTACGTGCGTATTAAAGAGACATTCTTCCTCACTCGAGCATTAGGCCAGGCGTCTTTCATATCTCCCATGGATCCATGCTCTCTGGGATTGATTAGAATGGGCCCGTGCTTAGAAGCAATGAGTAGAGGGATTCGGGCCAATGCAACAAACAAATACATACCTTGATCTACCAAGAAGGAAACGCCCTGTAGTTGATTCCTTCTTGGTGTTGAACCCACCACAGTAAACAACTGGAAGGCTGGGAGGTAATGAAGCAATATGCTGCCAAGTGAGCAAAGCACTTCGTCTTCTGGCACGAGGGCTCGACTCATCCATGTTTGTGTTCACTATCTGGAATGAGAACCCTGGGGGCTCAGCTCCTTTCAGTTGGAATGTGTGGACTCCACGTCAAGGAAAGCAAGCAAAGAGGTAAACCAGACAAGCCATATAAAGAAAACTGGAGGAGTTTGGAAGGATATCGCCCAAGTTGCAATGCACGGTACTGAAGCACCCCATGATATGCTTCCCGGGACAGATGGAGACTCCGATAACCAAAACGTTCCTCCTTCTAGTAGTTCTACCTTCATTCAACCAGATACAAGAAAAAGAATGCAAATGATAAAACAGTTCACTAGACCAAAGAGGTTAACAACAAAGGGAGCCGATGATTTGCATAAATAAGTACCTTCTCCTTGTCGTAGAAGATGGTGCAGTATTCATCAGTACTATCCTCGAATCCTTTTCTCGACACACCAAATTGATCATAACCTGATGGACCATAAAAAAATGCATAATTCCTGAATAATGAGCTCAATATCCAGGTTGAGAAGAGACAACAGGCCAAATTTGGACTTCCAACGACTCCGAACAAAATGCATCATTCATAGCACCAAAACAAAGCACAAATTATCACAAAACTATCTTCCTTGTGTAGAAAATATTGACTCTAAACTCGCACTATCATGTCCAACTGTTGATCCGGGCAAAAAATTATCAATAAACCGATATTCACTTGGCTGCTACACTTCAATTAACTAATTTAACAGCCATAAAAAATGGCAGATTGCTTCTGGTTAGCCACGACCTCTTCTATGGCCTCGCATGCAATTGACTAATCACTCAGTCTTTCACTACAGCATTTCTTCACATATCTGCAGTCCGGGGAACTTCAACAACATCCAAAGTGACTCGTTATCAAGATTAGAGTTCCCAATTCCATCTATAACAGTAATATCATAGACACACAAAACAACCAGTCTATAAATAGAGCATTGTTTTTCATTTACAAATGGCAACAAGATTAACAACTAAATCAAAATTATCTTCAACTAGACTACTATAAAGCACGCAGGTAATACAGAAGCTGACGAGGTCAAATGACGATGAGCAAATCATGATTAGGGAGTCGTCACCAACCCACCTGGCAAACCTTGCTGCAGATACTCCAACTGTGACTTCACTCCTGAACCCCACCAACCATGGAAAAGCGGGGAAAACAACAGACTTTCAGTATCGTAGAAGCAACCCAGAAAGACAAAATCGATAAGAAAGAACACCCAGATCAGCAAATTTGGAGCAAGATCGAACCTTGTTGAGTACAAAGGATGAAAGGGGAGTAACTAGTAATGACACTCAAACACAAATCCCTCCTCTTCTCCCATGAATTGGGGCTACTGCTACCATCCTCTGCCGCCCGATCTTCATGCAGATTGAAGGTCATTACAGTTACACAGACACTCATACTTCCTTCTTCTTCGTAAACCCTCTCCTTCAACTTCTTCAAGCTTCACCCACCAACTGATCAAAATCAGGGAAAGAAGAGCGACATAAAGCCGCTAACTTCGGTTAAAGTCTCGACCTTTTCCATTCGTTTTTTCCTTCCTAGTCTTCTCTTCTGAGCTGTTTCGGGGTTCTGATTGGGGAGCTGGCCACAGTGGGGTGGAGTGTTGGGAGATCGCTTATGCCTTCCTTTCTTTTCCTCTGTTATTATTTTTGGAGCTATCCTCCGATTCCGAATGTCGTAAAGCGAGCTCTGAACTGTAAGCAAGTTTCTTTCTTTTTCATTTTTTATATAATTTCTTTTTTTGAACTTTGAAGGACAGGGGTTGGTTTGACTGTTCATTTGCGAGCCAAGGCGTTATGGGCCTTATGGCCTTGATTCACGTGCCGTTGCAAGACTTGGATGCACGATTTCAGATCGTGGGGCACAACAAGGACCTCTGGAGATCGGCGCCCAGGACTATGAATTGTATCCGTTCGATTGTAGGTTGTATCGGTTAAGTCGTGTGTGTTTACCGTAGTCAAATCGATACGATATTTCAACAATTAGTTTGTTTTAAATACAATATGATAATTACAAATTCGACTCGACGTATGTGTAAAATCGACATAAGATTTGGGTACGAAGTTCTTGATTCCGGAAAAGTCATTCCCTAACACATCTGTCGCTCAGGACCAAAATGCTGTCATTCATCCATGGCACTAAAGCAAAGGTGCTGCAACTTCAGCAGCAAGAAGTGGTGGTTCCGATGAAGATCATTGGGGGAGAAGGTGAATTGGAGGTCGACATTCTGGGGAAGTACGTCGAGCTGCTTGGGACTAGGGAGTGGATTTGTAGAATCCATGGTAAAATCTTCGTGTTCTTTCCTTGATATTTTACAGTAACAGAAGTTTGTATGAATCAACTTCTGGGTTTTGATATGTGCAATGAGGTTAGTTATAGAGGATTCGGTTAGGGAACGATGATCACTCGGTTAGGAACCAATCTTGTTCAGAAAGGACTTTCCTGAATCATGTAGTACCAAAGGTAATGTCTGAAAGGAAATCTATTTCCCAGTTTTAAGCATGCAAAGCGAGAAAAAGCAATAATGGCCGTAATAGAACTCCAGGCAGAAGCAATAACAGAGTCCCTAACTCTGCTCGTCCCCAAATTGCCAAAAGAAGATATACCAAAATTCCTCACATAAAGATCCCTTTTTTCCTTTCTATTCCAAACACCCTTTTGATTTTCTATTATTCCTGAAACTGATGGATCCCGAAACCATTAAAAAGCATTGCTCCTTGTGCTGCTGCTGCTTGTGTGAGCCTATGAAGAAGAGTTGAGCAGGACCCACTCCACCAGAGTTCCAATTCCAAATCCTGTAGCAGCACGCTTCTTGTCGTTCCAAACAGGTCCAGCCATGTCGATGTGCATCCATTGGACTTTCTCGTCGACGAACTGAGGGAGATAAACCAAGACCAAGTAGAAACCCAGCTTAAGAAGGTGTCTACTAGCTAAGGGTGACTTGCTTATCTGTAACTACAAAGGATGGAGAGAAAATCAGTTACCTGTTTCAGGAAAAGAGCAGCAGTGATGGATCCTCCCTGGCGACCACCGGTATTGACCATGTCCGCTACTCCTGACTTCATACTTTCCCAGTAGCTCTCTTCTAATGGCATCCTCCAAAATTTCTCCCCGCTCGCCTCTGCTGCGGTTGATACTTCCTTGGCCAGGTCATCGCTTGGTGTAAAGACACCTGTAAACAATATCAAGTATTCATGACGATGAATATAACTTTCATCTGTATGACTTCAAACGCGTTCTGACAATAACAATGTTGAGTCCTACTGGAATCAGGGTTGGGTGAGATCGTGTTATACCTGCGATTGAGGGTCCAAGAGCAACTACACAGGCTCCAGTTAACGTTGCCAGATCAATTATCTAAATACCATATAAAAGAATCCGGAGTCAATCATTTTGGCAACATTCACGAATCAGAAACAGAAACAGACATCTTGATCAATGCCACCTAGTAAGCATTGCATCTCAACACGAGCTAACATTAATTTTTGAGATGTACCTTATCAACACCCTGATTGCATGCATAAACCAAAGCGTCAGCAAGCGTAAGCCTGCCCTCAGCATCGGTGTTATTCACCTATCATATGTATTGAACAAACTGAATCAGCAAGGTTGCCAGCTGTGGACTCGACAAACCAAGATAGCGGTTCCATGGCAGAGAGGAAAATGAGAATGTATGTACCTCAATTGTTTTTCCATTTGATGCTGTGACTACATCCCCAGGCCTCATACCAGTCCCACTGATCATGTTCTCACAAGCTGCAACAATGAAGTGAACCTACAAGAACCAACGATTCGGTGAGTACTAACAGTACGAGCAAGTAAGGCCAAATGACAAGAACATGTGAATGTTTCTACCTCGACTCCAGGAGGTTTAACTTGACCTATGGCTTTTGCTGCACCAAGAACTGCTGCTGAACCACCCATGTCAAATTTCATGAGCTCAATGGAACAGCCTGCTCCTGTCTTGATGTTGTAGCCACCACTACAGACATAGAACACTGCTTTTTCAGACATGGCTGAATAATCGAAAACTGGAAAGAACACTTTATAACGCATCATGTGATGTATTTATGAAAAATGCAATCACTTGATCACAAGAAGGTCACCCGTTACTCACCAAATGACACCAAACAAAAGAATCGCCATAACAACTTGACCAAAACTGACAACCACTTAATTGGCTCATGCTTTCAGAAAAGGGATCAATCAGGAACAATTATCTCACCTGTCAAAAGTCAATCCCTTTCCAACTAATGCCAGCTTGGTTTTAACAGGTCCACTCGAGGGCTTGTAACACAAATGAATGAAACGAGGCGGGTTTGCAGATGCTGCAGCAACACCAAGATAGGATCCCATTTTCAATTCTTCGCACTTTTCAGCGTCCAGGATAGTAGCAGTGAAAACGTCACTGTATGTGGAAGCAATCTTGGAGGCTTCCTCAGCCAGTACAACTGAATACACAAAAAGTCATTGAGCAAATGTGACTAAACTGGATGCCATATAAATACACCTTGCTAGCATGCATAAGTATTGAAGACACAAGTACCAATTAGGAAATTTGACAACACAATTAATCAACACTAACCAGGAGTGAGAACATTAGCTGGGGAATTCACAAGCTCTTTCCCGAAAATCACAGCAGTGGAAACATCTTCAGCATATTTTAATTTCTTCTCTATTTCTGCTCCACTTCCAAGACCAACGAAATCAACAGATTTAAGCACCGGTTTCTTTCCTTCTGACTTGTACCTAGTGTCTTCATACAATCCCAACAAAGTCCCTGTCACCAATCCGACCAATCCAAACAAAAGTCAGCTCGAACTCGAAGCACACAAAACATGAAAATGAATGTCATTCCTTGAAACAAGTACCGGATGCTATTGCTGAAGCCGTGCTGAGTTTCGAGTCGTTTGAGATGCTGCTCGTCGTTGCAAGGGTAACAGCAGCACTGTTAGCCTGAGTAGACTTGGCAGCAGCAGCAAAAGCCTCACCGAAGCCACGGAAAGCAAATGTGGTCGAACTAGATTGTCCAAGACCAATCAAGCCTATCCTTTTGGAGCTCATACCAGGAAGCCTAAGCACCATCGATTGACCAGCTTTCCCGGTGAAATCCTCCTCGGAAGATGCTTCACTCAAGAGACCACCCAACTGGGAATCGAGCTTCTTCAGAAGTGAGTTATCAAACTTCGAGCTCTCGTCCTTAGCCATGTCCTTCTCGGTGACACCAACCGCAAGTAAATCTCCTTTCCATTCCACCGCATCAATCTCTTTCGCAGCAAATGCGATCTTTGAGGAATTAAAACAAACACATGCAGGCTGTTTTAGTAATCTCAAACCTTGAGCTCAAAACGCCCCCAAAGAATTCACACTCACTCGATATAAAATAAACCAGACCACATATCCACTAACAAACACCTAAAACTGAGAATCCGAGTAAACAAACAAGCAAAAAGATCAGAGCTTTCAATCACACTACACAATCAAGAGCTGCAGAGGAAAACCAACATTCCGACGAGACCCAATTCTCCACAATCGATTAAATCCAGGGGGAAATACAGCAGACAACAGAACAAATCGATCCAAAAGAAGGGGAGACCAAAACGACAAGAAAGAAGCGATCTTTCATAATTTTCCGGCGATTGAATAATAGAAAGAGAGGAAGTACAGACCTTTGGGACGTCGACGGCGTTGGGCTGAGTGAGGCCCAGAGTGGCCCGAGCAATCGAGTGCGCCATGTGACTCCTCTGTCCTCTCCGGTAACACAACGGCGAGCGAGAAGATGAAGAAGAAGAAGCGAGGACACGCGAGAATCGAACCCCGGGGACTGCAAAAGCGGCGGCCCCGCGGAATCTCGTGAAGAACAAGGAAGGGGGAGAATGGGAGAGAAGGAGACGGGAAGAAGACGAAGACGAGCAAGAAGAGAAGGAAGTGGCGAAGGAGTGTAGAAGACTACCGGCCATTTTTTCCGCTGCGGGGGAGCCTATGGATTTTATAGTGAAACCCCACCGCGCAGTAATCAGCAAACTCTCTACTCTGGCGGTCTGGCCTATGGGATAGAGATAAAAGCTGACGGCGGCAGCACGACTCGAGTGGGTCAGAAATGGTCCGACCAGCTGAGCAATGGCTGGTTTGGTTCGGATTGGGTCCAAATTTCACCGATTTATCCAAAATTCTCCCGTGATTTATGTCTTCTTTTACAAGACAAGAGTTCTATATACCCGTAAAACCCGAGAAATTCTCCGACGGAGGCGATCGGACAGGTAAAGTTGAGGAATTTCTGACGACTGACAATGGCGGGGGCGAACGTGAAAGCAGAAACGGTGAAGCTGATGGAGAAGAGGGGCTTAATCGAGTCGGAGATGAACGTCCTCGTCCAACGTCTCACCCAGCCCGGCGGTCCTGGACTTTCCGGTAGAGGTGGCAATTTCAATCCAATCCACCAATCCAATCCATCAATCCATTAAAAATATCCACCTAATCCAATCCATTTAAATCCAATCCATTTGATCCAAATCCAATTGGATTGGTGGATTCATGGATTGGATCCATGGATCATTAGCAAATTACGGTTTAGTACCTATAATTTTTATTTTTTACATTTTGGTATCTAAAATTTAATTTGTTATACGAAAAATATCATTGGAAAATTACGTTTTGGTACCTAAAGTTTTTCATTGTGACATTTTAGTACCTAAACTTTTTACATTTTACATATTGGTCCTTGGTTGATGATGTTATTTGGATTCATGGATAATCCACCAATCCACTTGATCCAATCCATGAATCTACCAACCCATTAGATCCAATCCATTTGATCCATGGATCCACCAATCCAATTCATCAATCCACCAATCCAATCCATTTGCCACCTCTACTTTCCGGCAACCTCGTCGACTCGGAGGTAAAATACTTCATCGAACTGAAAGTTCGTAACTTTGATTGATTCAGGTGAAGTTTGATTAGGGATCAGATGGACGGATCGAGATAATTTCTGTTGTTTCAGTAGAGTTGGAGGTCAAGCTGCTAGCTCTTAACTGAGCTTCGTTTTTTCCTAGAATGTGATAGAAGAGAAGCGAGATTAAGCTGTGTGGAAGTTGCATTGTACGATTCTGAAGTTATGCTAGGTGAAATATGTGGTGGTGATTTCCTTCTGTGTTTAGATTCGAAGGATGGTTTGTGGAGTTTGCTGCAGTTCGTGAATCTGATGACATATGCGGGTCTTCTGGTTCCAATTGATCTTTTTATCATTTCCTGTTCGGTGAATAACCGAAATTTCGAATGAATGTGTTGGACTTGCATTCACGACTGGGGTGGCTGATCGATTGTTTTCTTTGTTTCCGTGGTGTTTAGGGTTTTCCGCGTACTGATATAGACGTTGCAGGTGTTAGAGCAGACCGGCATCGACTGGCAGGTGTGTAACATGCTTCCCATATCATCATTCTTTCCAGATTTCAGTTCAGAAATAGGAAAGTTCATACCTTCCTGCTTGGAAAGATGCAATTCAGCAGTGAATTGCCTTAGATGTGTACCTTTTGATCAAGTTGTCAAAGCTAAGCTGAAGAGAGACTTGTCTGCAAATTTTGATTTTTGAGGGTGCTATTGCAGAGCTGCGAAATGATCACAAGGTGATTACTAAAATGATAGAGGAAAGCATAGAACTTCTGCATTCAGCCCGGCTTTCTCCTAAATCTTATAGCCCTGAAGATTCAGGTAGCTCATACTACTTCAAAGTCTACTTCTTGATGGGAATGTACTTGAATGCTATGAATCTATTTGGAATAGTTTCTAACTTACTATAGCTCGGTTGAGGGAAGAGCCAGAATATATCTGCTATCTATCTTCCTGACTCTTCTGCCTTATTTCAAGGTAATAATGAGACATCAAGCAGTCTAAACGCATCGTCTGACAATGCGGCTGCACAAGCAGCCATGGATGTGGATGCCTTCATCAGCATACCCTTTGCAGTGATTGATGAGATAGCTGATGCATCCCCAACTGCTGAAGACGGTCTACAGCTTGGAGATCAGATTTTTAAATTCGGCAACGTCCAGTATCAAGCTGGTGAGAATCTTCTGCAGAAGCTCGCTTCCGAGGCACAGGCCAATCAGGATAAAGCAGTGTCGGTGGTCGTACTAAGGCAAGGCTCCCCTATCAACTTGACCTTGACTCCAAGACCATGGGAAGGCAGAGGCTTGTTGGGGTAAGTCCACCATTCTTTCGCCAAATTCCGCATTGCCTTCCTGAATGCTTGATGAGCTATTGATTGGCATTCTTTCCTTCCTCGTTCTTACCTGAATAATCCCCCATGTTACTGAATTCTTGTTCTCCGTTGCATTCTTTGCAGGTGCAGCTTCCGGGTGTTGTAAGCCATAACTGCTAAACGATTTAGCTGGCGTTTCGAACGTTGACACTCTTTTACTGTGGTGAATTTGCATGAACTTGTCTTCTCCAGCTTAACTACATGGTGAGATATATTGGCTTTTGAAGAACCACCAGGAGTGGGTTTCCACACTTCCCAACTGTTCCTTTCTCCTGTTCTTATCCTATCCTGAATGCTGACAGAAAGTATAAGAATATGGATTGTAGTAGGTTGCTGTAAATGATGAGACCCTTGCTTGAGAGAATGTTCCAAGTAACTGATCGTTTGGGAAGTCTATGAAATTGACTGAATATGAAAGGAACCATTGGCCTGAGCTGAGAGGTTCTGATTATGAAATGAGAGTTTTATTTCCTTCTTCTAATGCACAGATATGCATTGTCCTTTTCTTTAGGGGTCAAGGGGAGTATAGAATTGGGAACTGAAGAATCCTATGCTATGAATGAGAGTGACATACAAGGCCGGTTTTGATTCCAATGTAGCCGGCTTGGTATTGTAAAATGCATTGTTATGGACAGCCGTTGACAAAGTAAAGCTTGAAGGAATATGTAACTGCTAATTTGGTGAACGTTGACCTCTATCAAGTTCCAAGTTAGGAGAAGAAGGCAAAGAAAATGAGGGTTATCTCTTCACTACAGTTTTATTTAAGGATTCTGGTCTTCTCTTCTCCATGAATGATCCATGTACTAGCAAATGGAAGATGATGAAGCTTTGGCTAGGGTTGAAGCTGAGCAAACATAACAAAATGGAGGTCGGCAATCGTTCCAATCGAACTATACGATTGCACAAAGGAAAAAATTTATCAAACGATAAACTTGACTAGAATACTTATATAAAAAATTCGATCATTTTGTCCCAGCCAAATGAGTGTTTCAAAAACAACAAAGAAGCAAATGAGGGGGTGATTATGCTAAGTTAATGCCTCCCCATTGATCTCATAATAATTATAATAATAAGGTTGCATTTTCCACACCTAACAACCAAACACATTTTGTATGTTAGGATTAGGAATATGCTTTTTTTGTTTTCTTTGTGTCATACAAAAAGAAGAAAACACTGATCAAGATGGTAGACATAATTAGACATGTAATTACATAAATCAAAATTATAATTATATTGAATGATTTAAGTTTATCTAGAATTATCGTTGTAGATTGTAGAAAAATAAATCTCCTCTTTTTCTCTGCTTAAAAGCCAGAAAGGAGGGGGAGTAAGAAAGAAGGAAGGCACAAGGCATTAACCGGTAATAGCCGGTAAAACCACCGGAATCCAGCACCGGCTACTCCGGTAAAACAAAACCCACCAAGTTTCTACTACTTACTCTCTCTCTACTTCAGTCCTCTCTGCATTTCACTCACCCTGTTCCTCTCTCTCTCTCCATTGCAGAAAGCTTCAAAGATTTAAAACCCTCAATCCCCCCATAGATCAAGCTCCAATCTTTTCCGGCCACCAACATTTTCCCTCCCTTCAAAACTTTCTCGGGGGAAAAACAGAGGAGGAACGCAGGAAAAAAAGGAACGAGCTTTGCAGACTACTTCAGGGCCGAGGATAGTGAATACTGAGAATGTGTCAGCAGCTTTACTGGTACCACTGAATCGCCATAGTTTCCCCCCTGTGCCTCCCTTTACATTCCCCCTTTTTCCATCTCGGTTTCAGCAAAATGCACGGTGGAATCTTTTGTGCTTCGAGGGATTCTCTCTGCTCCTGATTCTACACCCCCTTTGCTTGAATTCCCCCCCTGTTAGCTACTTTTTCTTCGTGGAGAAACCCTAGCCGTGGAAGGTGAGCATTCTTATGCTTTGATTTGAGGGCAAAACAAAGAAATGGAGGACTTGGCGGGTTTGTTTTGAGTCAAGTTCCAGTTTGTGTTGAGCTTTGCTATGGTGGGATATGGATTTCGGCAATTCTATCAAGATCTGTGTGCTGCTTGGCGGGTAAATTGCGTTATCATAGAAATGTCTCTTGTCTGAGAATAGGTGCTGGTGGGTTTCTGATGAAGGGAGTTGGAATCTTTAGGTGCCAAAATTGAATGGTCTTTGGTGAGTTGGTAGATCTCTTGATAAACCCTCCAACTAGAACTGGGGAACTGCTTTCCTGAAGAACGGGATAATGTCTGGAGGAGCTCCAAGAGTGAGGTCGATAAATGTGGCTGATTCTGATCAAACAAGGCCAGTTTTGGGTCCAACTGGGAACACCAAGTCTGAAGCTTTTAGTGCTGGGAAACCCAAGCCATTGACACTGAGCAAAGTTGAGAAATCACCGGAAGAGAAGAAACCAACAAAAGGAATTTACAACAGCCATTCTCCCAAATCACACTCTCTTAGTGCATCTTCTGTGCTCCGTCGACACGAGCAGTTGCTGCATTCCAATCTGTCTATGAATGCCTCTTGCTCGTCCGATGCATCCACTGATTCATTCCACAGTCGGGCGTCTACTGGGCGGTTGGTGCGGTCGTATAGTACAGGGAGTAGAAGGAAGGTGGTTTCAAAGCCGAGGAGTGTTGCTTCTGATAGTGGACTTGAGTCTCCAACTTCTCCTGGTGGATCACAGTTCAACAAGAAGACATGTGCTTGGGTGACACCCAATACAGGCAAGTTATTCTTTGGTTCTTGAGTGAATTGTTATTGTCCGTATGAAGCTTGTAGCTAGTCTGTGTGAGCTATGCTGGGTTTAGATTGCATTGTAGCGCCTTAAATTGTGCTAGTGTAGTTCATCAGCTTGTCCCTCAGAACTACATTTTAGATGACACTTCGTTTGCAAAGAGTAAGCTTGACGTGGTAGAAATCTTCAGCATATGCACAATGACATCTCGCAAAAGTGAAGCAACTTTCTGCTAGGACTTCAGTGTTCTTGGATGGCTTTTTATTGAAGTTGAGAGGCTAAAAGCAGTTCATATACTTTTCTTCAGTACCTTCTCAGCATTTCCATTTTATATTCTGTGTTTCCGTAGAGTTATGTAAAAGATTGCACCCTGCTTCACTGAGAAAGTTGTATCAAATTCGGGTGAATCGAGTCTACCGGGATTGTTTTTAGATGAAGCGATGAAGATTGGCTTTATTGAATTACAAACTGTGGGATCCTTTCCTTTCCATTCAATGGAGCATGATGGTTTAGTTATGCTTGCTCCTAGTTCTAGCACTGACCTTGTTTTGCTACTGTGGAAAGCAGATCCATGCTATGCAGCTTTCCACGACGAAGAATGGGGAGTTCCTTTACACGAAGATAAGTAAGGAACAAGTTTCGAAAATTCCTAATCATTGTGCCAAGCTTTTCAAAAAGGCTTCAGCTTTTCAATAATGTTTCACTATTGATCTCTTGATGTTTTTCCTCTGTGTAGAAAATTGTTCGAGCTTCTTGTCCTTTCGGGGGCCTTAGCTGAACTTACTTGGCCTGCCATTTTAAGCAAGAGGCACATCTTCAGGTTCAGTTTCTCCAGTCCTCTCATTTCCACTTAACCTTCATATATCAGTCAGTACCAGTAGTATTGACCAAAACCCTTGGTCTACACCAGGGAAGTCTTTTCAGATTTTGATCCGATCTCCGTCTCAAAGTTCAATGAGAAGAAGTTCACGGCAACAGGAAGCAAAGCCACTTCCCTGCTCTCGGAACCCAAGCTACGTGCTGTCATTGAGAATGCTCGTCAAATCTCCAAGGTAAAATTCTTATTTCCCTCTCTCGATTTTGTCTTACTTCCGCTTATGGCATCACAAGCTGCAAGTGTACGAGGTCCTGTTCCGTAGCATATGTTCTTGTTGGTCCTTTTGTATGCTTACTGTCTCTTTGACAAGTGGCATGTACCGGGTTTTCATTGACTCCTATCAATGCACTCCCAACTTCCGCGGACCACACACCGAACTCTATTCGAGGTATCAGCCATTAAAGCAAAAGAACATATAATGCTGTTATGATAATGGTCTTCTCGTCCAATAAGGTTAGGTGGAGGAAAAAGTGGTTGGATGTGTGGTCCTGAACTTCCCTTGCAATTTGCAGAATAATAATAGTTTAGGGAAAAGAATACAGCCTGACTACAATTATGCAGTTTTGTATATCTTTCTGCAAATGGCCCTCAAATCTTTAGCCCCACCTATTATTACATTTTTCCTTCCCCTTTAAGATCCCAGATTGATTGATGATGTACAATTCATTAACGATTAAGGGGTCTTTTGGATGTGGGATTTGAACATTGATGGATTGTACACTTGCAGATTTCAAGTTTTGTTTGTTTGGATGTTGGATTTTAGTAGTGGATTGTCATAAACTTGTAATGGCTTTTAAAGGTCCTGCAACTAGACATAAGAAATGATGCTAAGACGGAACTATATGACTCTTCTATTCTAGTCTCTCCGGTTGCGGGTGAGTGAATCACAATGAGGTATTTATGTTCTTGGAGGAGGGCCCGTTTCCTGTCTTCCAGGGCGCTAATGCGGTCCCGGATCCGTTGCATGAGTTGACATTAACACTCTTCCTAATACTTTTAAAGGTTAAATGAATGGGAGAAGGTAGATATGAGGATAGATGGATTTGAAAACCCATACCGTGAGCCAACTAATTCGGTACCCTCGTGGATTCCTTAGGTCCATGGAGTTGGCACCTTTCTGGCTCCACGAAACAAGGGTTATAAGCAAACCCACTTCTCGTGGATTTGGTGCTGAATTCTGTCACCCAAACCAACATCCAAATGACCCCTAAGTTTGTTGCTCTTTCAGCCAATCCAATCATTGTACAAACAATTGTAAAGACATACCTAATATTGCAGCTAACATTATGTAGGTTTCTTGTTTTGTTGACTGCAGGTGATAGAAGAGTTTGGTTCCTTTGACAAATACATATGGAGCTTCGTGAACAACAAGCCTATAGTAAACCGACTCCGGTACCCAAGGCAGGTACCCGTGAAGTCCCCCAAAGCAGATGCCATAAGCAAGGACCTCGTGAGGCGAGGGTTCCGCAGTGTGGGGCCGACAATCGTGTACTCTTTCATGCAGTCGGCAGGTATAACAAACGACCATCTCATCGGCTGCTTCAGATTCCAGGAATGTGTAAATGTGGCAGAAGGGAAGGAAGAGAATGGCACTATCAAGGCCACAGTTGCAGCAGAAGGTGATCAAGAACAAGGACAAGATGGTGGTGAAAAAACAAACAGCGGAATCATAGGATCAGAGATGTCCATAGCCATTGATGACTTGAGCTTGGAGGCATAGCAGCTGATGCAGTACTGTGCTATTACTCAACTTGATGGACCAGTTTTTTCCCCCTTCGTCTGTATAAATCGAAAGGAAACTCCATTGCTGGCTGCTGCCGCATCATGATAGGAAGGAATCTTGTCCCATTCTCCCATTCTAGATCTGTAGATTATAAAAGAAAATTCACTGTTGTTCTTTAACCAGATGATGGTGAAGGAATTGTGGCTGTTGGTGGACGTGGGTTTGCCCGCCCTGTTCCACACTTGGAAATGTATGATTTTTTGTATAGTTGGGATCTTCCTGAAAGTTAGTTTATATTCATACAGACCCTTCGATTTGAGCTCTGCTTGATTTCTACAGCCTCTGATCACCCAGTGGGAGGTAGAGCTCCACAGTATATACTCCCCCAAGGTCACATTATTGTTGATTCTGACGACGCGACTCTCGTATGTTAGTTATTGTATAACACTCTTAACATAGACGACCAAGAAAGGTTCTTCGACGCATCATCAAGATGCTACCTTTCCATCCACTAGGAAAACATTTCGATCGTATAACGATCAACTTTAGTGTGGAGAAAGAGATTAGGTGGTGGGCTAGGCAGACCAGACAGCTCAAAACTTTGAGCAACTGATTGACTTGAATGATTAAGATTTAGACTAAAGGGAAAGAGAAAGGGCAGGGGGAGTAGGTCACCAAGAATAAACACAACTGTTCCCCTCAGGAGGGGCAAGAGGACTCCCCTACACAAAGACACTCTTGTAGGGCACCATCCTCTCCCTCCCCTCTACTTTTGCAATGATTCAAGATGTTGAAACTGATAAGCATTGATTACTAAGTCAAAATCATAACCACAAAAAAGCTGGAAGCCCATGCTTGTCCCATACCAGGTTACTGCTAATCAGATACCTGTCTGAGAAACCATGAGAAATTATGGACATGGGTCCCCTTACAGACAAAGAGAAGGCTCGAACTCAGATCTCGATTAACTCGGCAATTAGCTACTAATCAACTAGATACAAGATTGGTTAACGTTAAATACTTAATATTATCCCAGTCAGTCAACTGGATCAGGGGGCAGCAACATTCCACCACTAATACACTCATATACAACAGTTCTCTTTTTACTTTCTTCTTCTAAGTGTTCACAAACAAACACTCATTCACTAAAAAAGGAAAGCAAACGAGAAAAAGAAATGGAACAGGAAGGGATGATGAACACCCATTGATTACTTTACTTACTTAACAAGGCTTGACTTCGAAGCCAATGCTTATGAGAGCCCGGGATGACGATTCGACCGCCTTGTCCTTCTTGTCGTTGTTTCCACCAGCGACCGAGGTTTCTGGATTCCTCGGGGACTCGGCTCTCTTATTGTGCTGCTGGACGGCATTATTCATGGAGTCTGGTGCAGCTGGGGTGGCGAGGAGAGGAGCGCTGGGTGGGCGGTGACGCTTCTTTGGGACAGGCTTGTCGTGGTCATGGATGCCTTTGTATGTTATGATGACGGCGCTTGAGTTATCTGCTACTGTCTCGATGTGCTTGCGGACTGGGCAACCGGCAGATGTGCATCTGTAGTAGTTCCTGCAGAGTACAAAAGGTGATTGGATCTAGGAATATCAGCATTTGGTGTGGGAGAGAAAATATAAGACCTGAGTCTCAAAAGACAACTTAGCATGTGTAGATTCTATGAATAGACATCTGATTGCATTGTCATGTCATTCATATATGGGGAACCTGTAGATTGTTACTGCCTCATCATACAGCACATTGTAATTGTGGATCACACACAATATTGTTGAAATCTTGGAGTAAACCCACAGATTTTCAGAATGTATGACATCATGTATTCTGAAATTATATGTACTGATATACAGGGTGTTCGTTCCAGATTTAAACAACAAAAACGATGAATTCACAGAATTACAGGGAACTATCCCTGGTTGCCAAATGATAGCATTTGTAGAACGTATCAATAGGCATCTGATTGCATTGCTTCAGTCATTCATAAGTATGTCTGAACTTGCTCAATTGGGTGGGCAGGAATATTTTCCCTCCACAATCAAAGGAACAGAACAAGTAGCAGCATGGGCTTTCCTTAAGGGAACAAATGACACTAAAGGTCAGAGCAAAGAAAATATGAGTCGAATAGACATGCACCTCGGATGAGTATTTCCCTTTACCATCTTCTGTCCGTATTTTCGCCATCTATACCCATCAGCTGAGATCCCAACATCAACTGCTGCATGCACAACAAATTTAGGTTTCTTTCCGGGCTTAGTGAGAGCCCGTGAGCAATCCAGGTCGTCCTTTTTCACCCTGATCAGAAGAGGCAGAAAGAACTAAACATTGTATCCCAGAGACTTAAGAAAATAATTCACAAAAAAGCAACTAATTTGATGAGAAAGAATACCTTTTTGGGGGTTCCGGTACACAAGTGTGTTCCTCTTTCAGTTGACCTTTATCAGTCTCACTCGAGCCACTTGGGCTCAAACGTTTTCTATCAGCAATTATGAACTTCTTTTCTGTAAGTTCTTTAGACGGTGTTGCTGGATCTGATTCCTTAAGTCTAATTGCATGTTCTGTAATGACATCCCCTGAAATACGCCCACTGGATGCTGGCATCCTACTTACCCTTTTGGAATTGCTCTTCCGAGGTGGATCATGACTGTGCATTCCTTTATTTACAATCTGAATAACATGGCCACAATGATCAGAGCACTCGATCTTCTTAGCAAAACAGTCGGAATGCGTGCACCTGTAGTAACTCCTTGAACCATTAGGACTCTTCACTTGCTTCTGACCATACTTCCGCCAATTGTAACCATCAGGGGTAACTGTTTTCAAGACAGGTATAACTAGATTTCTAATGTCAGAGGGCTTCGGTCGATCCGCTTCTTGCACAGGACCACTGGTACCCTTCGGCACAGGCAACCTCTGGTCTGGAACAGTTGGACTTGGACCAGCTGATATGGGTTCGGTAACCGAAGTTGGCGACATCTCTGATGCAGGAGCTGGACAAACACACAACTGAAGCCCATTTTCGCTCTCAGCATTAGCATCATGTGTTGATTCACACTCTGAAACTTCTTGTTGTGATGATCCCATATGTTCCTACAAAGATGGAGATGAAACACCAAGTGAATACCACATTCTCCAAAAATCAGACATGCAACTGAGTGAAGCAAGCCAAAACTTCAAGCAATTCAAAGACTTCAGGTTCTCTAACTTGGTCAAGAAAGAAATATTCAAAATTTCAGCAAATGTAAGGTTCTCAATTGCACATCATAAGTTTCTATTAAACTGGTCTTCAATTGAAAGTTGAAACCAGTTCAAACTCCCAAATGTTTACAGACAGAGGAACCTCCAGCCTAACTCTTACAAAAACTTCACCTCCCCGTTCCTTCCTTAGTTCAACTCCATCACCGATAACTTCGTTTTTTCAGTTCATGCAGAAAAGAAATGAGAAAATCCAGCCGAACCCTTACACAAGTTAACAACAATTCGAACGTTCAACTCACAACTAAGCAACTGAAACGCTAAGACAGCCGATAATGGACATTCAAAAGGGGAAAACCGGACGAAATGGAGAAGCAAAACCTTGAATTCAGCCGCCGTACTCGACTCCAGAGCCGAATTCCTCACTTGACCTGCGAGATCATACACCAGGGCTCCCAGAAATCAGTCCTCGTAACAAACAAGAGAAAAACCAAAACCCTGAAACAGAAAGAGGAAGAAGAAGAAGAAAGAAAACTGCCTACCTACACACTGATCGCTCTCCGGTACTGCCGCCGCACCTAGGTTTCCGGACTCCTCCTCCGGCCTAGACCCCATCGTATCCGCGCCAGCACCTTCTTCCACCTCAGCAACGACTCTACTCAGCTCACGGCGCCGAGCCTCGCCTTCACCACCTTCATCACCATCACAATCACCTCCTTCTCTGTCGTCGTCGTCGACGGCTGGCTCCAATTCCTCCCCGCCCACATCCAAATTCTTGTCCCCATCGTCACTATGTAGCTGTTTCACCTCGTCGTTTTGCTGCGGTTGGACAGCGTCCAATCTTTCGCTCTCGGCCATGGCTGATTCTCCCCCTCTCTGCTAGCTCCGAGACCGAGAGTAAACTTGTTTTTTCCCCTTCTTCGTCTAATAACGGCTAATAAATAAATATTTAATTTTAATTTTTTGATGTGTCTTTGACTCTAGTTGACTCTCTAGTCTCCGCCTCTCCGGCTTCGGCCGGTTCTTTTGCTGTGAGTGGGCCGGTAGGGTCCTTATGGGCCCGGATGGGGAAAGTAACGGACGTCGTTTATGTCTCCGTCATTTAGGCCCATCAGGCCCATTTTATTTGCGTTGTGGTTGACTTGACGGGTTCGGTAACGGCGAAGGTGGGGCCCCCGTTTGTTACTGGTATCTTTGACTGGGACATAGTGACATTTGGAGGAACATATTCATCTTTCCGTTATCTCAGTTGCATTATTCCTTGGACCTTTAGGGCAAGCATCTTAGTATTCTAGCATTTGCTTAAACATTATATTGGGAATTGATTCATCTTGTGTTCAAATTACATGTTAGTGTTGAGAACTGTAAATATTTACAGAATAGACCCTATTAGTCGGAAACCATATCGAACTAGATTGCATAGGCATGATAGTATATTGGTCTAGGATCGTAATGAATCAGATTACATGCATTGACATGATTTTTTTTGGATTATATAGTATTTGGTACAATCTCTGAACTCTACTACAGTCCCTCGATCTGCACTATAAATTGTACATATGATCTGGTCTGGACCGCAACGTTTTCGAGCCCTACCCCATGATGCAACTCGGGTTGGGGGAGGCCTCAAACGTGGTGGTATGGTATCATCATTACCCTTAAGCAGACAGAAAGTTCATGAAAACTCACGACCACAACTTCTCGTCCAGGCCTTACATGCCGTCGGCCAGCATCGTCTTCCACGATTCTTTTTCAAGCTGGGGGGTGACACTTCCTCTACTATACTAGAATTGGTCATGGTTGAATTGACGATATTGAGGAAATTTTGTCAATTCTTTGGGCTGTATCGAATCGAAGTGGTGAATGATTTCATGTATTGCTCTAAATTAAAAAGATTTGTTCTACGTGTCGAACATATTAAACGCCGGATCGACCAGTACAATTTTGAACATATTTGGATTGCTAGCTGGTTACTGATTAGAAGATTTGATCACGTCGATTCTTATCTTATCTCGCATTCTTGATTTTTTTGTTCGAGTTTTGAGGTCAATCTTGCAACCATGCCGGGCCCTGATTTCTTTTCTTAGCCATGTGGCCTTGTTTTGAACTGTATTAGCATTGAATTATTGGGCAAGCAGATGAAATCCATGAAGATCAATGTGGGGTTGCTCGTTCAGAGGATTAAATACTAATAATTTTTGTACTGATGTGATATTTGATTACTTTAATTTGATTAGGTGCTCGGTTTTTTAATGGGGTTGATTGCTAATTTTTCTATTTAGCACCCCCATCGTTGACCTTGTTATATATCTAGGAGGCAGAGAGATCTCCAGAGAGGAGCAAACTGACAATGGAAGAAGAAGCTGTTGGGCTTGGGCATGGTGATGAGATCCTGTGGAAAAGCAATATTCCTCCACTACTCCTCCTCCTAATACCCATCCTCTTCTCCACCATATTCATCCTCAGATCCCATCTCAAGAAGAAGAACAAACCCACATTTCCCCTGCCTCCAGGACCATGGAAGCTCCCCATCATCGGCAACATCCACCAACTCGCCGCCTTCTCCGCCGGCGTCCCAATCCACCGCCGGTTCGCCGATCTAGCCGAGCAGTACGGACCCATTATGCACCTCAAGCTCGGCGAAACGTCAAACGTCATCATATCATCCCCTGAATCAGCCAGAGAGTTCCTCAGAACCCACGACCAGAACTTCGCCGCCAGACCTTACCTGCCGTCGGCGGACATCATCTTCTACGGATCGAAAGACATCGCGTTCTGCTCCGAAGGAGATTATTGGCGGCAGATGCGGAAGATCCTCACGATGGAGCTCTTGACGGACAAGCGAGTGAAGTCTTTCCGGCCGATTCTTGAAGCAGAGGCGAGCAAGCTGATGAATCTGATTGGTAGCGAGCCTGCTGGAGGAGTGGTGAACCTTAGCCGGCTGCTGGTGTCGGTGGGGAACGCGATGACGTCGAGAACGGCGTTTGGGAAGATCCGGGGACTGGAGGGATCTTTCTTGCCGGTGATTCATCGAATCCTTCAAGCTCTTGGTGGGTTCAGCGTAGGGGACATCTTCCCTTCCAACAGGTAAATTAGTTGACTGCTGGCTGATTAGCTGCTATAACTGTTTGTGAACTGTATATGCCAGAGTCTAAATCGGTAAACGGTTTTTAGCAATATAAAACGCGGTTGAGCCGCAGTTTCAACACAAAATACTCTATCATTAACTTTTCCGGATTTATCTTGGTTACGGTTTATTAGTCCTTGCTACTGATTCAGCTACATGGTGACCAAAACATTTCCCTCATCCAAACAGGTTGTTGCGTCTGATCAGTGGAACAGAGAGACACCTAAAGAAGCTTCACCAAGAAGCAGATGTCATCCTCCAAGGAATAATCGATGAGCACGTATCGAGGAGAAGAAATAGAGAAACAGAGCATCTTGACAAAGCAGTAGCAACTGGAGGAGAAGAAGAAGAAGATCTCGTCGATGTGCTCTTGGCTTGCACTGACAACCACCTCGAGGTTAAAGCCGTGATCTTGGTACGTATTTATGTATACATATGGTGAAATTTGTGGTACACATATATATACATATGGTGAATTTTGTGGCAGTATATTGATATATATACATGGCAGGACATATTCTTGGCTGGTGGTGACACTTCCCCTGTTACTGTGGAATGGGCCATGTCTGAATTGATGAAGAACCCAGAAAAGATGAACAAAGTACAGAGAGAGGTGAGAGAGATGTTTGACAAAAGAGGGAAAGTAGTAGATGATGCGTGCTTCAACGAACTACATTATCTCAAATCAGTCGTGAAGGAGACATTCAGATTGCATCCTCCTGTTCCTCTGTCGATTCCGAGAGAAGGTCGAGAAACGGTTGTGATCAATGGATGTCAAATACCAGCAAAGACGAGGATCATTGTTAATTCTTGGGCCATCGGTCGAAACTCCTCACACTGGACCCAACCAGATCAATTTATACCAGAAAGATTCCTCAACTCTTCCATCGATTATAAGGGTAATGACTTCCAACTTATCCCATTTGGCGCTGGAAGGAGAATGTGCCCAGGCATGAACTATGGAATTTTCGTTGTTTATCTTTTACTCGCAAATTTGCTATATCATTTCGACTGGAAGCTCCCAAACCAAATCAAACCTCAAGATCTTGACATGTCTGAAGATTCCGGAGGTACGGTTCCGCGCAAAAATAACTTGTATCTCAATTCCATCCCTTATCATGCGCCTTAAAGTAGATCCCTTCCCTCAAAATCATAAAGATGAGTATCATGGATCATTCCACCCTAGTTTTCCATAGTAGTGGGAAGTTGTTAGTTGGTAATGAATTAAGGGGTCGCTTGGAAGTTGCGATTGTTAGTGTTGTATTTGTTAAATACATGCATTGTTCACAATACAACGTTTGGAAGTGTCAAGTTGCAAAAGAATGCATGAATTGTTTTGTGTGGGTCCCACCAACAATCAACAAAAATGAGGGATTGTACAATCTCAACTAAAAGTTGAGATTGTTGTGATTGTTGGTTTAATAATTGAGCACATTTACTTTTTCCAATTATGTACATAGTTCTTTTTGTTTTATATTAAAAGTGGAGGACAAATATGACATTTTCTTATAAAATAACTTTATAACAATCAATTCATAAATTATAATCTCAACAACCAAACAATGTAATTTCAAAATGCATCTATTGTATCAATGCATGCATTTATATCACAGTGATTCATAACAATACAACGATTTAACAAACGCAACTTCCAAACGACCCCTAAAGTGAAGTGAGTGTGATTCTATTTTCCTTAAAATGTGTGGTTAATGTTTTTATTTATGACTATTGAATAGCCTGTTTTGTAATGTTGTTTTAGTATTAGTTGAGAAATATTATGGTGTACTTTTTTATTGAAGAGAGGCAAAATGCCACTTACAAATAGGGGGTGCATAAAAAAAAAAGGCAAAATTCACTTCCATAGCCATAACTTTGCACTTTGTGACAAATATAGCCAGATTCTGAGAAATACACAAATATAGCCATTCCGTCCATTAATGTAACGGAAATATAACGATTGCTGAATGGACAAACCGTCATATTTGACCGCGTTTAATTTGGACTATGTGGCATGCCATGGTGGAAAATAAAATTATTTATATTTATTATGCTAAATAAAAAGATGAAAAAAAGAAAAAAAATTCATCTATCCGCCCCCTTCTTCATCTTTCCTCCAACTCCCCAAACCCCTTTCATCTACCACCACACAAAACTTCAATCTGCCAAAAATCTCGATCTCCAAAAGCTTCCTCTCCTCCTCCGCCGTATTTGTCGCCGCCGCCCAAGCCGTCCTCCGCCTCCTCACACTCCTCCCTCAAGCCCCACCACAGAAACTAACCTTCAGATCCAGATGATTCTCAGTCACCAAATTCACCGTCGTCGTCATTGAAGCAGAGAAGTAGAGGAAGAAGGCAGCATCGAGCAAGGGGGAGAACGAACCTCATCTTTGCTAACCCACTTTATCAACTGGGATATGATGAGGGAGAGAACAAGCGGATTGCTCCTCCGATTTCTGGGAATCGCCATTGAAGGGGCAGAGCTCTGAGCTCTGAATTCGCAAGATCTGGAAAGTTGAAGACAGAGCAGCCCCTTTTGAAAGATTTTAGAGGACAGAGCAGCAACAGAGTTGTGTGGAGAGAGACGACGGCGCTTGTGCAGGGAGCTAGTGTTAGGGTTCGTCGATTGTGAGGAGATTATGCAGAGTTTGTCGATCGAGAGGGATAGCTCCTAAAAATCCAATTTTAGGGTTGTCGATTGTGTGGGGATTGTGCGCCAAGGTTAACTCCGCCTCATCGTCTCTCTCTCTCTCTCTCTCTCTCTCTCTCTCTCTCTCTCTCTCTCTCTCTCTCTCTCTTGCAGCTGATCGTGACAGCGAAGGAGAGATGTTGCGCAGAGAAGACGGTGGATAAGTCTTCAAATTTGAGTGGCAGAATGAGAAGTGTGGCGGCCGGAAAGACAGACGAGGGAAGCGATTTTGTGATTTACAGGAGGGATTTGGGGAGAATGTTACAGGCTAGGGAAGCGATTTAGTGATCTGAGTGAGCGTCTCTGTTTCTCTCCACCATGGATCTGGGTTTGGGGAGAATGTTACGGCATATCTTTTTGTTTTTTGTTTTTTTTTTTCCATGTAATTATGATAAGAAGTGGAAAGAATGGATATTAAAAATCTCCATTTGAAATTTTTATGTTTTTTATTTGAAAATGTGATGTGGCAATTATGTGGCAGTGAGGGGTCTATGTGGGCATGACGTGGCCGTGACGTGGCAGCCACATCAGAATGACATCCATTTAACTAACGGAATTATTGACGCCGTCAAATTATTTAACGGAAATGGCTATATTAGTCAAGCAAGTTTACAAAATGTGGCTATATTTGTGTATTTCTCAGAATCTGGCTATATTTGTCACAAAGTGCAAAGTTATGGCTATGGAAGTGAATTTTGCCAAAAAAAAAAGAGGTTATAACAAAAAAAGAGGATAGGTCTAATACTCTAGAGCTGGGGAAACAATTATCACCTCCCTTGGTGAACTTATTGAGGGAAACTAATTCTCATAACGTCTTCCTGAATCAGCTTTCTCAATTCTGATGGGGAGTTTTGTAGTTTATACGCATCACAAGGATAAACGAGACTGTACTTTAAAAGCCAGTCTGTTATTTTATTTTCTTCACGATACGTACGTATAAACTAGCCGGGCCACCCATCCTTGAGCCAGAATTCGACGAATGGCCCCTAAAATGGTGGCATAAGGATGCACTTGGCTAGTGCGCTTTTCTATTAGTTCCAAAGCAAAACATGAGTTTGATTCGAGAATGAGGCGTTGGATCTCCTTCTTCCGAGCTTCCTGCAAAAGCCTCCCAATCCAATCATAGTTGTTGCCGAGGACACCTCCTGTAGTTGCTACCCATGAATGGATTTGAACCTTAGCGAACATCGCTTGATCAGCATCTTGTCGGCCTAACACCATCGTCCAAACCACTTCATAATCGTTAAATCGTATACAAATTTGGACGTTTCGATCGAACCATCGATATGATACGATTTTGCAAACACTCATTCTAATACCTATCAAAAGCATCGTCTCATCCCATCATGTGTTACATGTGTAATTGTCGGGATCATGAGACCCACTCGACGGAAGCAGATTCCTCCCCGGCGGCATACAAACAATCGGACAAAAAAATCCACCGTGTCGGCGTTGTCCTGTCAGTCTGTCACTATCCCCACCGCGGCAAGCAAACACATCCACCGGCCAGCCACTTCACCGGCCAACCGCCACTACTTTGCAGGGAATCAGTTTTATGATTGAAAATTAGGAAACGAGTTTCCTAATTCCTGAAAATAATTATCTGGTTTATTAATATATGTTAAAAAAAGTTTAGTATTCATTAATGCCTTTATACAAACTTCCAAAATATTATTCGTTCCTATAAACGTGATCGCTGGAATTGGCTGGAGGGAATCTCAAGGTTGTTTGGTAACTAAGGGTTGTTTGCTTCAAAGATTTTATAACGAGGGTTTTGTCATGGATTTGCTAATTAAAAACCTTGGGATTTATTAAGGCCCTGTTCACTTCCATTTTCGTTTCCTGTTTTCTGTTTTCATGTCATAAATTTGGCAACCGAAACGAGAAAACTTGTTTACTTTTCATTCTGTTTTCTATTCGTTTCCAACTATGAAAACAGAAAGTGGCAACTTCTTGCTGTTTTCGGAAACGACGAAATGTTGTTTTCACCTGTTTTCAACATCTGTTTTCTCAAAAACAGGAAACAGAAATGAAAGTAAACAGGGCCTAAGGATTTTGGGCATGATGGATTTGAGGAAATCATTTGTTTGTTGAGCTATTTTTATCATGAATTTGATGGGTTTTCAACTTGTCTCCAAATCCCAGGGTATGAGGTGGGATTTATAAAACCGTGGAGTCCATGGATTTGGAGATAAAAAAAACCCCAAATTCGTGGGGCCCACAAATTTATCTAAACATTTTTTGACAAACCAAACAATGGATTGTGTGTAAATCCATGATGGTTGATTTTTTTGTACCAAATCCATGATGCAAATCGTTGAAGCAAACGACCCCTAATAATTAGTAAGGTTGTTCACTTGTTTTACATTTGGATTCGCAAGACGGTCGTACATCTAGCAAAGCAAAGGTCGTTATCTAAAGTCATCTTCATTATGGGATTGTGGCCGAGGTTAGATTCCTGATTGACTCGCTCTTGATGAGTCTAGAACTCTAGATAGGTGAATTTCATCATCAATTAATTAGTTATGTTAGGAAACTCTCGTTCATCATATATGAGGGTGTATATTTTTGCTCATCTTTGTCACTTCTTAGGTTACTCGTTATATTTGGATTCGTTTAGAATTGAAACTCGTCGATTACCTAATGAATAGATCTTGCGGCACACCTCAAATAAAAATTATTTTTACCAAAATTATTTCACTCGAGTTTAAAGAGTTTAGAAATTGAAACTCACTAATTAGCTTATGAATAAAAATTGGGGCACCTAATAAATAAATTTATCAAGTGGTTGTTGTATTCTATTTTATTTTATTCTATTGAAATTATTAAAATCAAGTTTTTTTCCCCCATATTAAATTCAAGTTTTGTTTCCTTTTTAAGAAGGAATTTAATTTTGTTTTGAGGGTAAAGGTCCAATCAGGTGCTAGCATCCACTCGGTAATAAAATGCAGACCCACGAAACGGCAGAATCACAGACGCAAAACGGAAGCAAAACCAAAAAATAAAAAAATAAAAAAATCAGGGGGAGAAGATTTTAGGCCAGGGTAGGGTTTAATAGTGAGAGGCCGCGTCTCTCCGCCACTTCTTTCTTCTTCTCCTTCTCCTTCTCCTTCTTCCAGCTACCGAAAACGCCGACGCTAACAAACCAACAGAAATCCCCGCCGGGATCGCCGTTCTCCAGCATCGGCTCGCCGATTTCTCGTCTTCTTATGTGTGTGCGAGATCAATTAGGGGAAAACCATGGAGAGTTCGGTAGTGGCGGAGCAGAGGAGCGACACTTTGGTGGTCGGCAAAGTCGGATCCTCGTCGTCGTCGGCTGAAATTACCGTTGCGTCCACTTCATCGTTTGTTACTGCGGCGATGATGCAGCGGAGGATAGAGTTCCACCCGGCGAGGAAGCAGTACAGCGGATTGGGGACGTGTCGGGATTTCCCGATCGAGACGCTGAACCCTGATTCGTCGAAGAGGCCGGCTAGGTTGGAGGAGCTGACGACGACGATGTCGCGGAAGGTGGTGAAGAGAGGCGACGGGACGGCGATGGATTTGTGGGAGAGCGAGATCAGTAGCTTCGATATTACATTTCAGAGAATTGTGAGTTTTCACCTATCTGCATTTTGAGCATTCAAGTTTTGATCTTTTGCCATGTCTCTAGAGTGGGTACGAGTTTTCCGATCCAATTGTGTAGATGGACAGCTGGAAATGTTGAATGTATAGTTAATTTATGCTTATTGAGCATCTTCCTCCCTTGTCTTCCTGCATGGAATAGCTTGTTTTATCTCTTTAACAATGACTCTATGTTGTGTGGACTAGCTCGGGTGAATCATATGCTCGTGTTATTATAAGAGATGAACTTGTTAAGTAACTTGACAGTGGATGTTGGGTGGGTGATTGACAGGGTGCTGGTTTGCGAAACATCGGGAACACTTGTTTCCTCAACTCCGTGTTGCAATGCTTGACGTATACAGAACCTTTGGCAGCATATTTACAAAGTGGCAAGCACAACAGTTCTTGTAAGTTGGCTTGGTTTGCTTATTCTTCTTCATATATATTCTTTTGCCCTACTTTGCCTCTTACGAAGACATTAGGTGCTTTTCCCTTTACAGCCACATGATACGTGCTTCTGTTGTTAAATGTTCATAAGGATGTCTTTTCACTACAATAGTGAGCTTAATTAAAACTAGGAATATAATTGATCATACCAAGTACGCACTTTTGCCTGCTCATATAAGTTTTGGATCTCGAATATTATGGTGCTTTGACTGCAGTCATTTGCTGAAAGAATTATTGGCCACAGTTTGAAATTTGCTAAACCTCTTGATTCCCCTAGAAAAGAAATGATGGATAAATTGAAAATAGGTATTAGGACCCTTTTTGCCATTTTACGCAAGCAAGTTGATTGTGTAATGTAACCCATGTGCTCTAGATGGAGTTATGACTTATCTTTGATATCTGACTTCTGTTTGGATTCATTTTTCTTGCAGGCCGCATTGCTGGGTTTTGTGCCTTGTGTGCCATCCAGAAACATGTCAACCGTGCGTTACGATCTACTGGGATATCGTTTGTACCTGATCTTGTTTCGAACATGCGATGTATCCTTTCATCTTTGTCGTTCATCTGGATCAAGTTTTATTCTCTCTTAAGAAAAATTATCATGTTAATAATTGATTAGAGCCTTTACGTTTTGTTTCTTGCTATATGTGTCTGAAATAGAACCAGTTTTTCATTCTATGGAACTATACCTTATTCTTATTAAATAGCATTTTCATGTGGTTTTGCATTATTTCTTTCTTGCCTTTCACATTTGGAGTTCTTAACCATCTACTCAGGTGTATCTCGAACTCTCAAAGTTTCTAAGCAGGAAGACGCACATGAATACTTGGTGAACTTACTGGAATCAATGCACAAGTGTTGTTTACCATCAGGAGTCCAGAGCGAGTCACCTGCTGCTTATGAAAAAAGTTTGGTGCACAAAATCTTTGGTGGTCACCTGCGTAGTCAGGTAGCTTTCTTTTGTAATGTGATTTGGAATTACTGTGAATTGGTTTCTTTGTTAAGTTGCTCCAAAAATTTGTTTGAAAATAGTATGACGTCTCATGATTCTTAAAAAGTTTGCTCTCTTTCTGTAAAACTTTTTTCACTTCTTCTCCTTGCAATTAGTTTCATTATTATTTTAATTCTATACAATCTACAAGGATAGGCTATCAGAGATCTACTGCTATAATTTGCTGTTATGAGAATCTGCCCTGTCTCACTCTGTTTGTATTACAGGTGAAATGCCAGCAGTGTTCTTACTGCTCTGACAAATTTGATCCATTTTTGGACTTGAGCCTTGAAATAAACAAAGCAGATGCCTTACCTGTAGCACTCCGGAACTTCACTGCTGCAGAATTGTTGGACGGTGGAGAGAAGCATTATCAATGTCAACAATGCAAGCAGAAAGTCAGGGCCACGAAACGTCTCACGATTCATAAACCACCCTATGTGTTGAGCATACATTTGAAGCGGTTTTTTGCCCATGATCCTGGAAGGAAGGTTGGGAAGCAAGTTTCTTACGAGCGTACCTTGGACATTAGGCCATTTGTCAGCAATCCCAATGTGAGTTCTTTTTCCATTTGCAGACAATTTGCTGACTACTACTTTTCCCCCTCTATACGTGATGGCGTTTTGGAGGAAGATCCGTGGTTTTCTACTCTTTCATATGATTGTGCCTCATTTTCTCGAATTACTTATGTTTGGCAGGAATGCAACTTGAAGTACAGTCTTTATGGTGTTCTAGTTCATCATGGAAGCAGCACCCGCTTTGGTCATTATGTCTGCTTTGTTCGCACCTCGACTGGGATGTGGTACTGTCTGGATGACGAAAAGGTAAGTTATATTTATTGTGTGGCGATTCTGCTGAATATTTGTTTTCATTGGTTGGTAATAGCCTCCTGCTACTTTGATGTTACAGGTTCACCAAGTTGGCGAGAAGACTGTTTTAAATCAGAAGGCTTATATGTTATTTTATGTTCGCGACAGAACGAAAGTGGCTCCAAGGAGACAACTTGACGAGGCTAAAAAAGACAACAGTATGAAAGCCCCTCTTGTTAGTAACATGCTTAACACGGTTGTTAAGCAAACGCCAAATGGTGTGTCAAAGGAGGCTCTACCGATGGAAGTACCAATCAAACAGAGGAATGAGCCAGCAAAGGCTACATGCTCAATTCAAAACCCAGTTCCCGTTTCGGCATTTTCTGCCAAGGAACCATTGCTCGTTGACCCTGCTCTAGGAGAATGCGTTAAAACTTCTGCACAATCTGTGACTGAGAATGTCAGTCCCACCCCTGAACCGAAAGACTGCACCGTCTCATTTACATCAGGACCAAGTGTCTGTGGTAGTGTTTCTTCGTGCTCCAGTGATGAGCGAAACATGGTAACTCGCAAGCTCACCTCTGATGAATCTTTGCAAAAGGTAACATTGTGTTACATAGTCCATGTGTACCACTGTTCCTGGTCCCTGACGGTGCTGACATTTATGTCACAATGCTAATGTCATCACTTCATCCTCGTGCAGTCTAATTCTGCTGTAACCGTGGTGGTTGAAGTGCCTTCTGGATGTGCTGGTGATAAGACATCAAATGCACCTAGTTTGACTGCATCGATTGGGGATCAGAATCAAGTAGATCATGCACCACCACAATGTGATCCCAGTTGTGAGAAGAATCAGGTAATGTTTCAGAGTTATGTTTCACTTGTCGAGGATAATTTGACTTCTTCATTGTTTTTGACTTTTTCCCCCTCGCATTCTCAGGATGGGGGCATTCATGTTAACAAAACAGTGGATCAGGCAGGCCATAAAGTTGAAGTAGTCGGCAAGGAGTGCGATGTGCAAAGTGCTCCTGGTAGCAGTTCAGAGAAAAGAGATAAAAAGAAGCATCTGAAGCACCATATTCATAAACTGCATCTTGGTACAAACTTCTTCAGGACATCTCTCAGGCATGGCATAAAGAAAAAAAATACATGGAGGAAACGTCGCAGTTCAGACAGACTGAAGCTCCTGAAGCAGCAGCAGTTGGAGGAAGCCAAGAGTCTTTCATCTGAAATGGAGCCGTCAACTTCCAAGAACTTTGCTTCTTCGTCTAGTTCAGCAAATTCTCGGAAGAAGAAGAGAGCTAAGCCCCATTATAAGGAGGATTGTGCGGGTATCAATTCCCAAGAAGACATGATTGGGGAGTTGTCACAAAGAACTGGTCAGAATGGTACTATCCTTGCAACATCTGAGCAATTGCAGAAGAGCTCCGCCTCTAACTCTGCAGCAAACAGGCAGGATGCTAACAGCATGATAGGAAATGTTAAAACAGATGTAACGAAGATTGGTGTGGCAGATTTCCTTGCACAAGGTTTGAAGCAGGCAGCAGGTGAGATTTATTCATACCTTCTTTCTTATAATTATTACGATTTAATAAGACAGAGCAGAAACTGAGCCAAAGCTTGGACAGTAGTTCTTTGTCTCTCTGTGTATAGAACACTGTCAGAGCCTACCTTTTGATTGTTGGTGGTGTGGTAGCTTTCTACTAATCAATTGCACTTGTTTGTTGCAGTCTCGTGTTGGGATGAGGTAAATCCATCTCGAACCCATGAATCAAATGGTGCAGAGGTTTTGAGCATTGGTTACGTGGCAGATGAGTGGTGAGTTAAAATTCTTCTCTTTGGCTTCAACAATGTGGATCTAAGTATGATGAATGAAACATATATGTCCCCCATGTCTTAAACAGGGATGAAGAATACGATCGAGGTAAGAGGAAGAAGGTTAGGGAGTCTAAGGAAGACTTCAGTGGACCAAATCCTTTCCAACAGGTTGCTTTCGAGAAGTCGAGACAGCACCAGCACAAGGAAGCGAAAGTAGATGGAAAATGGAGGCGGAAGGAAAAACGAAGGCAAAGACAAACCGCATGAAAAAGAAGCACACGATCCACTCCGTCGGAACAGTTTGTAAGAATGCTACTACTACCATCACTGATTTGTCGACCTGATGAATGTTTTGTAACTCTGTCTGCCAGCATTAAGTTGAGGTTTGATACCAAAAGAATCAAAATGATGGCGAAAATTTTGTATGTGTTCTTGTTTTGTGTGTTCATTTTTGCACTTTTCAGTAGAGAGGTGAGATATTATTATGAACACTCTTTGGAGGGATTCTATCTATCATGTTGGGATTGTTGTGAAAACTAGTGAGCTTTGCTTTCAATTATTTTTGTTGAGAAATGTATCTACAACTCCAGACCTTCATGATCTATTTGTTTCCCCCAATTTTGAATAACGGAAACCATGCATTCTACTTTGTGCAAAACTGGATTATGATGTCTACTGTCTCCATGGTTTGTGGTTAGGTCCAGAATCGGACCAAATTAGATACGAGATTAGATAGATATTGGGTCTGATTTGTCACAAGTGCTTTAATCCTCCCCTGGTGGGAATGAATTATGATATTTGTAGCCGAAAAGTGCAGCATTCCGAAAGGTAAGCTGCATACAATCCATGTTGCAGCATTTTTTGCTAGTAATTGGAGCCGTTTTGATGCCTGGTTTTGGTCTGACTCGGTCTGACCAGCTGGCCGGACCCTGGTTTGACAACCTTGCTCCTTCTAGTTGGTTAGATCATACCTTTCTTAGTTTCTTTATTCTTTGTCATGTTAATTGATCGTCCCTTTTACCGACCAACTCAGAGTTGCTTTTCTGCATTAGCCGACGTTATGGTAGGTGGAAAATGCCGTCAGTGCTGCTTGGGGGAAGATAGGTCACACCTTGTATTAATTCTCTGATGGATATGTATAAATACAAGCTATTTCTCAAGTAAAAAGTGCCCTAAGCGCCAATTATCCTCCTAGAGCAGCCATCATCTCCTACTCGCCTTACAAATATGCACAAATGCAATCTAGTTACTTGTTCATCAAGTCAGAAACCTCTCACAAATATGTTTACAAGCCATCTCCAACCCAAATGCCAAACATCTTGTGGAAGAGAAGATAGGCCACGAACATTGCGATCTTGTATTATTCTCTTACATATACATTACAAGCTACTACTTCTTCTCAAATCACCCAAACCCTGAACTCATTCACCATGTATCCAACATAGCTCTTCTCTGTTTTCCTCCTCTTAGCCATAGCATCAACTACCTGTGTCTCCACCACTCGGATGAACTTGATCCCCCGCAATACAATCTTCAACCCCACCCCACAGCTCGCCTCATCGTCCTTGGTTTCAGACTACGACATCCATCTGAGAGCAAACTCAATCCAATCAAGCCATTCAATCTACTACATAAGGGATATCACCGACGGGTTCCCAGTTTTGGAGATCCATTTCGCTGGCAGGGCAGATCTGTCGATTGATGCATTCGGGAGTTTCATGCAACTGCCGGATCAGGAGGACAACTTCTGCTTGGCTTTCGGGGTAGCTGATTCCACCCAGTTGGGCAACATTGGGATCCTGGCTCAGCAAAACTACAACGTTGGGTATGATCGATCTCCTGGACAAGAGGGTCTACTTCGAGAGGAGAGCCTGCCAGGATCTCAATTAGAAAAAAAAATTCATCACCTTCCACCTAGGGCTGCAAATGAGCCGAGCTGTTCGCGAGCGATTCGGTGTTCGACTCGAGGAAAGCTCGTTCGAAACTCGGCTCGTTAATAAACGAGCCGAACACGAGCTAAACTTTCTTCAACTCGTGAAGCTCGCGAGCTAGCTCGACTCGGAGGCTTGTTGAGCTAAACTCGTGAGCTGGCTCGTTTAGAGCTCATGATATGTCTCAACATGTGGCTAGATAGCCAACTCGATTACCTACTTATGAACGAATCAATCTATATCTTATGTTTTTAATTCATATGGTTGTAAAATTATATATTTCACCATATATAAAGTTTAAAACGTTGAGTATGTGAGCAAATATATCTTATTTTCTACTTTGAAAAAATTATGTATCATAAATTGCTTCGTTACTATGAAATAACATGATTTGGAGTAGTTAAAATTTATTAACTAAATGATATATGATACCAACAAAGTATAATATGATATTAGCTAACAAAATAAATCATGTGTATAATGATATACAAAATGAAGTACCAAATAAAAGTTAAGATTTTAGTAAACAAGCTAGCTCGAGCTCGACTCGACTCGGCTCGTTAATAAACGAGCTGAGCTCGAGCTCGGCTCGTTTATTAACGAGCCGAGCTCAAGCTGGGGTAAAACTCGACTCGGCTCGGCTCATTTGCAGCCCTACTTCCACCATTGACACCTTTGCAACAAAGTTGTTAGAAGCAAATATTGAAAAACCGTATCATATGTACTGGGGGTTCGATTAGAAAAACCTATACCACCGGATGTTACACCGATAGGCGGTATAAAACAAAGTTAACCAAAGTTAAACCACGATTTTAGTATAAAATATCCTATCGCTGTCCTTTTCCGTTACGACATTCGGTACGATTTTACAATTTTTTGTTAGAAGTATATGTGAGTCCTGACAACTTCATAAACTTATCCAGTACATCAATAATATAAACCGTTTTACTGTTGTTTCTTGGGAACCAATTCCCTCCATGTTTTCAACCTTTGAGTTTCTGACTCTTCTAATTTTGTACTCTTTTCTTCTTGTTATGGTAGTTCGTCCATTCCTTATTGGTTTTGCTTGTGTTTCACGTCAACTGCAAATGAACATCTTTTACCCCACGCATTGGCATTATGGAGTGAAATGAAAGCTCTCATTTGTTTGCCTCTTGTGGCTATCATGACATAAGTGCATAACGCATGCACTATTACACTCTCCCTTGTTCTACTTATTTTTTCCCCTTCCTCCAAGAGCGAATCAGGTGCATAGCTTTTAACGGTATAAACATGTTTATCAGAGGAAGATACGACTCTTACCACTATGATAAAATATATTATATTATGATAAGAGATTAAGAGTCGTATGATCCCTTGTAAATGATTATGGATGACTATATAAAAATAGGTTATGTATCTAATATTTGCCCCTTTCTGATCTCGTCCCGTTTTGCTTTGTTTCAGGTTACCACCCACCAATCAATCAACTGTTGAGAGATCAACAATATAGTAACATATGGTATCATTTGCAGACTCCAATACTCAAGAACTCGTGCAGCTGACTTGAGCAAAGCCGATTTGCAGACTCCAATACTCAAGAACTCGTGCAGCTGACTTGAGCAAAGCCGAAATATCAGCAGATGAAAAATCTAATTGAATGACTTTCTTCTGTTTGTGTGTACTAGACAGGTCTATACTGTTGTGAGATCAACAAGACATCACCAATATGTAACTTAGATAACACTTTGAAAATCTATTTTGCCCCTTATTAAAATAGCAAATATTCAACTCAAAATGTTTGCACGACTCTTCTTTGTAAACTCATATGCTTCTCTCATTTTCCACCCAATAGTCCCATGAAAAGACAGCTTTGTCCCCCATAATATATATACCAATCAATTCATATTAGTCTAAGCAAGACCATGCTACCCTTTGGAACCCCTTGGTTTGATTGGTATGGCCAATGGGCAAATTGGGAAATTCCAGACATACAAACAAGATCCATGGATCATTATAATTATTATAGTTTTAGGGCTAATCATTAGTCTTAATAAGATTAGGTACTTCTTCATTGTTCTTTCAAAGTCATGTTGTGTGGTAGGGTCCTAAACCAACTCAAATAATTAATTAACAAGATGGTTCACACCCATAACCCCATAACAAATCACAATCAAATCCAAATATGAACAAAAATGGGTTTACATTTAAAATCATAGATGACTTCTTGAAGTTGGACCATATAATCATTTTTTTCTAGAAACTATTACAAGAAAGTTGGACCATAAGGGAAGAGTATATTAATACCTCCTTATTTGATAGCAAAAGGTTCTTGTTTGGCATTATACGATTAGTATAAATTAAAGTGTGCATATAACCCACCAACGTGGTGGTTCCATGATGTTTATGTGGTTAATCTTATCTTATTTTATGCATGAAAATCCTATTGTGTGGTTATGACTTATTATCATACTGAATACAGAGATTTTTAGGCTAAGAACTATCAACGAGTTAGCAGCTTAACGCGTATTTTTGACTTGTACTCCTTCGTACTTCCAGGTCAAGCGCTCCTTTTGTGGCTTGAGAGACATATAGACATTAGGATACTTGGATGGATTGATATACCGGATATGTTAGGTTTGGATAATTTCCAGACACATTATATCGATGATTATTGTATAAAAGGTCAATCTAGTTCTTACTAAATAACTGTCATATCACATTACTTCCAATGAAGAGAGTCGGATTATGAAAGGTTGATACCTATAGTCAATGTAGATCATAGAGACTCTTGTGATGGATCATTTTACCTACCTCTAAAAATGCATATGCTCTATGAAGGATTTGATAAAATAAAATAAAAAACTCATTTCTTCTTTGTATACTTGGAATTAAATTAGCTTATGAAATAAGGTAGTTGTTCAATGAGAGAGAACATACTTTCCTATCATTAGTGTAACAATGAGGAATATACTTACAACTCCTCAGTTGCTCTTCTACTCAAATGAAGAAGCAAGGAAACCACCAAGTGGGATAAGACCACATGATTAGCCTCATAAGCAAAACAAGAATCTAAGTATGGAGATGGGAGTACTAGTGAAGTAAAGTTCAATTTACCTTCATTTCATTTCTCTTCTCCTGTGTCTGTTGTTCCTCAAACAAAATGATGATGAACAGAAAACAGTGGTAAAAAATAAGTGGGGGAAAAAGTGGGTTGCCATTCTTTTTTGTTCCATCAAAGGCCACAATAACATGTGAAAGCATGGTGATTTCACAATGATTTTGGTCCATGAAATGTAATGCTTATTGTTATAATAACTGTTCCTGTAATATTGTAGTTAAGAAAAAATGATGTCGATTAGGATGTTTTTAATACAACACCCTTAGCATATGTTTGAACATATAAGACCAACAAACCCATCCTCGAAGAAATTGATCAATTTTAGTTTCAGACTTAACTTTGAGATTCATTTCATCTACTAGTATTTCAATGACGTGTTTTTACATACGAGGATTCCATTTTGAATAAAAAAATCTGATTGAAAACTTTCAATAAAGAAGTAATTATCATATCAAATTCTTGAAAATACAATCAACAAAGAAGTAAATATAAAGTATCGACATGAGACTCAACTCAAACAACAGATAGAATCGATGCATGTTCTCACGTAGCCTTAAGTGTTGTCAAGAAGGTACTCTACTGATACAATGTCAAACCTTCACAGCCTTG